ACTCGACCCACTTGGGGGCCGCGGGTCGGCGCGGCGGCGTCGACGTTCGAAGGCGTCGCGCCGGGGCGGCTGTTGGTACGCTTGCATCCAACTGTCGCAAGAACTGCACTATCACGAGTATCAACTATGAGAACAGTGACTATATATATTTATGTTCTAATACCGAGTTTCCAAAGTGTAGCTATCTAATAAAAACAATATTTCAACTTCAAAATAGGAGACTTTTTATATGTTTGATAATATATTCTCCAAAAGATATATATTGATATATTATTAAGTAAATTCCTTATGTACCTATATAACGCAATATCTTCACCAACTCTAAACCGGGAATGAACTAAAGTATCGGCTTAGAACCAGAGCACACTGTGACGTCTTCTTTCTTTTGTCATTCTTGAGGTGCAGCTTCATTGAAACATCTCATCTCTCAAACCGAAATACAGCCATGCAAGCACAATGTTTGACGACAGTAACCAGTGGGACAGAGATACTCAAGCATACGTTGTGTTCCTTTCTGGTATTTTATAGACGAAAGCTTGTAATAAACAATATCAATAACAATAGCGTCGTACAAAAGAATTATAAACTTAAATTGTAAGTCTAACGAAAAATGTACTGTATTTAGATACGGAAGTTATGTTATGTACCTTTCACAAAACTATTAAGCAATTCGCAACAACAATCCCTCAATATGTCTATCTGACAGAGTCCTTGCAACATAACTTTCAAAATTAATATTACATTGGTATGTTATGAAATCGTATTGACAGTAAATTTAGGTATCTACCTACGTAAGTACATGTGTATACAATAGATTTGAATTTATTAAAAGTAACTATTATTAACATACACATGTTACCTATCTAGAACAAAAATAAGGAACTTGATATATGTAAGTATAGTATTTACTTATCGAATAAATTATAGTTTTAACATTTCAACTATGCAGACTCTTTATGGTTTTTGTATATACCTACTTAGACAGAGCTTAGCTAGAATTAGAGAGAGAAGTAGTTTAGGGACTTACTTTTTGTATAAGTGAGTAATAAATTAAAATACTTAAATAAGATGTATGTCGCTTTAAGTAAAGATAAATAAATAGAATATTACTATTGAATATAATGTTGGTATAATAATAGTAATGATATATATAGAATATTTCTAAGTTAAATGTGTAGATGTTTAGAGTACTTTACAAATACCTAATTATTCTATAACAAAGTAATACCCGAGTTTTTATAGGTAAGTCAAAGGCGAAATCGAAAAATCAGTTCTAATCTGTCGTGGCTATTGTGCTTCAGGAATACATGTCTTCGCAAATTCTGTATACGGAAATGTACAGAAATGTAAAAAAATATAAGTGTATGAAATGAAATAATTATAAAAAAATATACCTGAAAGTAACCTAACCTATATTATTAAAAAAAAGATATATAAAAATAAATCCCTACGAGAATTACAATAATGTAACTTAAAATATAAAAAATTGCCTATTAAAGGTAAAAAAATATTACTTTTCTTTCTATCTGCCTGTACGAAGCCAGGAGGATAGTTAGTAATAAATAAACTAAAAAAAATTAACCAATTTTAAAAATTCTTTCACCCATAGAAAGCTATACCTACATTATCAGCGAGTAACATTAGTTATGTTTCATTTTCAAAAACCCGTGTTTAATTGGGGCGTTTCTGTAATACAGGATGACTGAAAAATTTTGGATTTTCAAGTATTTCCAAAATGGGTAAAGGTCAATGATATCGGTCAAAGGTAAATGCACGGGCCCCAGCATGGCGTAGAAGGAGTGGGATCAATTCAAAACCTGTCTACTTCGAAACCTACCTGCTCTAAACATTAGAACTCTTGTTTGTAAATACCTATTCTATTAGTCTTAATTACTACTTAAACTTGTATATCTACAGTAAGCAGGAAATCACAGTTTACTTTGACGAAGTATTTTTATAAATAATATTGTTATCACTTTAATATCAATCTTGACTATCGCTATCTACAAATGAAGCGGATTGCCATTGCTAAGAATTTCTTTGATCTTAGGATTTATTGATAAGAGATATTAAAATACTTATATGTACATCAATAATGCATAATTACATGAGTAACTGACGCGAATTCGATTAAAGACAATATATTCCAATATTGATAGTAACAGGAAAAATGCTTCATACTTAGTACAACAGCCGTTATGTTTATATGTTACTGACAATATGCTATGCTATATGCAATATGCTATATGTATTTGCTTTTGGCTTTCAGGCTTGTTTTACCTCGTCCGCATATTGTAACGAATTCAAGAATAAACCACGATTGTTTTCAGGGGGAACCGCGTGAAGATTGATCTGATATATACCCATATTGCTAGCAATAGGGTTGTTAGATCTTAGTATCTATCGGCGAATATGCAGTGTACAACTTATATTTCGTTTGTATGAACATTATTTTATAAGTTTTTATGTTTAATAAATCAATAAAAAAAACTAAGCTTTTCCCCCGGTGTATATATTCCAGGGGGTGCAGCCAGTTTCCTTTCACTCTTTATAGTAATAAAAACAGCGGATATGTGATTTTTGCACCCCTCATGCTCTACCAAGTGGATAATGTAGGTATCTTTATATAATATAAATTATATAAAATTTAATTTATATTCTATAAACATTTAGACGACAAGTTACAAAAAAAAATCTAAGTCATATTTGTATAAGCATGCCTTATACGAACTACTTACTAATATTATAAATGTCAAAGTAAATTTAATACCTCTTAGCGTCTTAACGGCTTAAACAATCACTATGAAATTGGCATACAGTTACTTCAGGGCTAGAAAAGGTTATAGGCTATTTTTAATGCAGTTAGTGAATATATTCCAGTCACGCGGACGAAGTCGCGGTTAAGAACTAGGATACTTACTTGATATAATATATATAGTATGTAGTCGCAGTAACCTGAGTCGGAAGGTTACATCACTGAAAAGTTAGTTCGAAAATTTTTAGCGTCAGCATAAGAATAAGTACTACCTAGTTCTTATTCTTCATTACCGTAGAAATGACATTACCGGCAATTTTATAATAATACAGTATTCGTTGCTCGGGCCGTCTTTCAAAACTGAATTCTTTTATTCCGCGCAATCCTGCGCTACTCAGAAGACGTGTAAAAATGTACCTACTTGATTTAATAAAATTGTATTAATGTTTTTATAGCAATAATATAATTTGAATTACTTTTTATTTGATCTGTTTTACTACAAAATAGATCGTATGCTTTTTATTGATTTAACTATTTACCCCCCCCCCCCCCTCATTCGAGAACTCTTTTAAATATGCAATATGTTATTTGTTACCATCCACCTTTCTGTCTAACTTCCCTCCTAATGCCTAGCTAAATATATTGTATGTACTGTACCTATATTACAGATTGTCCATGTCGTATGAGATCTAAGATTGTATGCGATGATGCTATTGTAAGGGGGGGGTCACTCTACACTGCCTTTGTCAATATATATATATTTTACAATGCCCAAGTGTCACTTCTACTCAGATTATTTATTCTTATGGTGTTGGTTAGATTCAAATTACTAGTAATAAAAATATTTTATAAGTGATAATACTTGTAAGTACTCTTTCACGTTTCTTTTCATTATATAAAATTTTATGATCCGACTAACAATCATAAGCATACACATAATAAAAATATAAAAACAATAAATTGTTCGTTTTGCTTGGCGAATTCACTATACCTACGTCAAAAGTCCATTGTGGATTTTCATGATATGCTGACTTAAAAGTAATGATGCTATAACATACCGACAAACATAGACTTAAAAGGGGGAAGGGATTGTTAGTAATGTGGACTACCAGTGCCATTGCTAGCAATATACCCTGTCAGGTCGACCTCCAAGTGGTCTCCCCTGGAAATCATCGTGCTGAAATCCAGGTGTATTCATCACGCTGGGCTGACCTGTCTTTTCATTCTCATTTATCATCTTTCACTGGTGTTCCGCCAGGGTATACTTCTGGATCCAGATATCTTTCTGGATGTAAGTATGTCGTATGTATATCAAATTTTATTAAAAAGATCGTAACGCGGTTCTTCCACTACCAAAAGTTGTGAAATCTCATGTAAAACCAAGGCAGTATCTATGGAGACATATTATTTAAAAACTTTGTTATAATTGTTATCTATACAATTACTTGCCGACATTTATAGTGGCCGTATCTATATTAGACATCTTTTACTTCTATAATAGTTATTAAGTGATGTAAGCTGCTTCTAGAAAAGGATGGTACTGCTGTGCTCGACTTCGTAAGTACTGATGACTGATTACACAAGTGACACTTTTTTAGTTACTTCACTACGAGACATTTTTTCAAAAGGTTTGGTTTATTGTTCAAAAGGTATGTTGTTTGAGACCTGTTAAAGTACCAAATTTTTTCTAAATTAATTGCATAGGTAATTTTAGTTAGTATTTTGTAGCAAGTATAACATTATTATTATTTGTGCACCTATATCGTCGTTTAAATTTTGAACCTTTTTGAGTAGTATATCCATGAAAATATTTTTTCCTAGTATTCATAAAGAAAAATGTATAAAACAATTTTATTATCATAGTAAATGCTTATATTTACAAAAGTTTCTAGATTTTTCATTTATCTTGTATAAAAATCAAGAAAAAATAGGTTGATATTTTCAATATAAGCTGACAGAATTTTCGTGAAATAAATACAAAATAAAATGTATGTTTCGTATACTTAAATACTTGCCAAGGAACAAACAAACCGACATAATATAAAAATATTGAAACATACATATATAATCATCATGTGAAGTTCTGTCCATAAATAATTGAATAGTTACTTCTATAAGACCTTAATATTTTTTTAACATTTTACAGCATAAACACCAGAATTCTATCGATAGATCTGTTTTATAGACACTTTTGTTATATGTATGTAACGTATTTAAAGGAAATTAAGAAATGACAACAAAAAGATGACATAAAACTTACACTTTAATGAATTCCAAATATTTATTAAAAAAACAAACTCATTTGTTGTAGTCGCAACTTTTAGATGTGCGTAGATAATTTAAATTCAGTAAAGAATTCACTTTCATTATTTGCCAATACTTACACAACGAAAGATTTACAACTTATATTTTTAACAATAATTGGGAGTATTCGCAATGCATTTATAAAAATGCAATGCAAAGAAATCATATAGTTGTATACATATTTTTAAAAGGCAGAAATAAAATATAACTATACTGAGTAACAATTTTATAATTACTCAAATATTAAAATCACGATAGAAATATATTCCAAAAAAATCCAAGCTAACAATTTTGTTTTGACTAGCGATTAGCTTAGAAAGAATCTAAACAAAAATACTAAGTATTTATTGCACAAATAATTGTGATACTCATAAAAGAATATCAATAATAAAGACCAGTAATAAAAATTATAATGTTTGAAATATTGATTATAGTTGTATAAATCGGGTAAGTAATCATCACTCTTTATCAATATTAACATAGAGGCACTTATCACTTATATTTCCTTGTTCTGCGACTATTTTGATGGCCAGATTTGAAAATATTTATATTTACATAATATATGTAACAATATTTTTATTTGTATATGAAGAACTAAGTTGGAGCTACCTGTATCTATAATAAATCAATATTTAAGCATGTGATAAGGTCTTGAGTATCTCAGCTGATTTTATATTTTATGTATAACATATTTATTGTATATATCTTAAATATACTATAATAAAAATGTTGCTTGTATGTACACATATTATAAACTTTTACATCTTTTAGAAAAAAAAAACAATTGAAACTATAACACTAACTTACATGTATTGTTATATCTAAGATTACATAACTACAAATGATTATGTACTATTGTCTATTGTATAATCCTATATATATATACAGTTTTTATAAAAAATATTACGAATCTCATAATATTGTGCATTATCAACAGATATCCATCTAGGTAAGTATACCTACTAATTATTTAACATCAATAATGTTTGCGCAGTACTTTAAATTCGTATTTGATTCGATTATGACAGAAGAAAAAGTGTAAAATGAGATTTTTAGCTATAACTTCCAAAAACCATATGAATGGTAAATTTTATTGTAATTATTATAGGTACTTACGTGTCTGATATTGACATAAGGCATCGCCATATAGATTAGATAGAAATCTTCATTATCTACGAGCCAATAAATGTACCCATAAAATAGTCAACATAATGCGAGTGGCACAGCACAGCGCACGTAACATAACTTTAAAAATAAATTTCACTTAGTGCTTATTGGCGCTTACTGAATACATAAAATGATGGAATGTTGCACATATGCATCATGCAAAAGGAATTTTTTAATTTAAATTGAAATTATAACTTAAGAGTATAGGAATGTACAGAAATAGAGAATAAAGAATTGCGGAATGCGAGACAGGTTAATCAACCATTAACTAGTTCTTTTGTCGCGACACTCAGTACTAGGTTCCTATTCCTACAATAAATCGTCACATAATATCCACTTCTTTATATTTTAGCACTTATACAGTAAAATTAAAAATTAAAACGATAAAGATATAAGGAAATAAGGCAAAAATACGAATGGGCAACGAAATATACTTAAGTACATGGTGTTCAAAAATATACGACTGCAAAAAATTAAAGAGACAATTTAATATTATATAAAACTATAACAAGATTCAACCTCTGTATGTATATAAAACAAATATTCCATCATTATTATTTTATGGAAATGGAATTTATCAAAATATTTCGCATCTATATTATCAAAGCATATAACATTAAGAACCCCATGTAGGGCATCGACTCTCGATTAAAATAATAAATTTTGCATTCCTGGTAAGCACAAATAATATGTAAAAAAATGCTTTTAAATCTAAGTTTTTATTGTTTTTTTTTTTTTAAACCAAACTGTAAGGGCGGATTTATTCTTGTGCTAATTAGTGCCTATATTGAATAATCTCAGTAGTGAATTTTAAACACCATATACATAATTTTAACGCGAACTACAAAAATATGTCCATGAGTAACTTAATTGTAACGGGAATTATAGGTACCTATTAATTGAAATAGTTAATACCTATTAATATTAAATAAGAAATTAATAATACCTACGTAATTGATCGTAACTACACATTCAGAATGTCTTATTGTTAATATCAGATATTTATTCGTATTTTCAGTACGTATCTCGACATAGTTAATATGTAAAATTTTTTTTTGTAAAAATTAAGATATACTTAATACAAAAAAATCTCGTGTCACGATGTCCATTCACTCTAATTTCCGAAACTGCTCAATAGACGTTAATAAAATTTTATAAATGTGTATTGCTTACTACAACTTGAAACATAACTTTTAGCCTGATGAGAAAAAATTAAGCCGGTGGTTGACAGTAGGAGGGAAAACAACATTCGCCGGGTCAGCTAAGTAGCATATACAAATTAATTAGATAGTAGTAACATAATCCTATTGTTTATAACTTTACATAGGTAATACAAACGCTGTTCTATCATTAACGAAATTGTTCTTCGCTTAACAAGTTATAAGTTATGCTGCCAATTACGGTAGGTGTTTTGTAAAAGCTGCTTTATTCGACGGTAACAGATTTGGCCAGGTTACGCGGGCAATCAACATTGCAGCCCCGCAAAACTGCGATATGGTAGGCGAGTAACTGCATTGGAATCACTGTGAGAATTCCCTGCAAACAATCTACTGTTTTCGGCACTTGTAAAACGCGCGATGCTAGAGCCATGGTATCCGTGTCACCTTCCTCGCACACCACGATCGGGCGACCTTGGCGAGCAGTCACTTGTTGCAATGCGTTCATGCATTTTGTGTAAACAGGGTCGCGCATCATTATCATTATGACTGGCATAGAGTCGTCAATAAGGGCGAGTGGTCCGTGTTTCAATTCTCCCGCCATGATACCTTCACTATGCATATACGTCAATTCTTTTACTTTAAGCGCTCCTTCTAGACATGTTGCGAAATTGTATCCACGACCCATTATAAGTAGCGACCTCTGACGGTATAGGTCTTCAGCAAGAGCTTTGACCTGTGCATCAAGAGCTAAAACTTGGCGAATTTTACTTTCCAGCTCATGAAGTCCAGCTATAATATCTGCACGTCGTTTTTGGAAGGATATACGATCCTCACTGATAACCAAGGCAAACATTACAAGTGAAACAAACTGAGATGTATAGGCCTTTGTTGAAGCAACACCAATTTCAGGTCCAGCATTAATATGAACACCACAATGTGATTCACGACAGATTGAACTACCTACTGTATTGGTAATACCTACAATAAGAGCACCATGACGTTTACAGTATCGAAGGGCCATCAGTGTGTCAGCTGTTTCTCCTGACTGTGAGATAAAGAAACATACATCATCACGGAACACTGGTGTGTTTCTATCTAAGAAATCAGAAGCCAATTCCACCATCACTGGAAGCTCAGTCAATTCTTCTAAAAGTTGACGAGTTGCAACTGCACTATGATAACTGGTACCACATGCAATTAACATCAATCTTCTACATCTCTTAATTTCAGGTATATAATCTTTAATACCACCAAGGGTGACAGTACCATTTGCAAAATTGAGACGTCCCCTCATAGTATTTACAATAGACTCAGGTTGCTCAAAAATTTCTTTCTGCATAAAATATTTATAATTGCCTTTCATAATTTGTTGTAGTTCCAGTTTTAGAGTGAATATTTCACGTTCATGAGGATCACTGCTACTGCCTGATAAGCGATGGATACTCAAAACACCATCCTTAACATGAGCAACATCATCATCTTCAAAATATAATACTCGGTTGGTATGTTCAATTACAGCAGAAGCATCAGAGGCAAAGAAATATTCAACATCTCTCTCTTCTTCAGGTTGGAAATGGGCATGGCTATTCACCCTGGGTACTGGAGGTACAACTCCCCGTGTGGCTTTGTTGTTGGTGTACATAATAGGTATATGATCACTGGACAGCCGACGGCGAGTTTTAATGCCCACAAGCAAGGGGCTACCACGACGAGTTGCCACACATTCATTAGGAAAATGACGAGATTTGAAACATAAAGCAAAAGCACCTTCCAATTGCTGGATTACCTGTTCAACCAATTCTTGAAAACTGTAGTCTTTGTGCTGGCTATAGATATGGTGGATCAATTTTGCAATCGCTTCCGTGTCTGTTTGGGATTCAAAAGTATAGCCTTTATTTTCCAGGAATGTTTTGACTTCCTTAAAATTAGTAATGATACCATTGTGAATCACTACAAAGGAATTATCTTCCCCGGAGCGTTGCGGGTGCGAGTTCAAAGCACTTGGCTCACCGTGGGTAGCCCAACGAGTGTGGGCGATACCGCAATGCGAATCCACACATTCCTCAAGTGATAGTTCAATGCTGCGCTCCTGAAGGAGCTCTTCGAGCGCAGCTACTTTACCGCTGCGTTTCACCACAGCTATGTCTTTCTGATCGGCGGCATCAATAGCGACGCCCGCAGAGTCGTAGCCGCGGTATTCCAATCGTTTTAATCCATTGACGAGTAGTTCCAAAATTTCACGCCGGGTTTTGGGTGACAAGTGATTGATGTACGCAAAAATTCCGCACATTTTTAATAAAGATGAACGTACTTTACAACCGAGTAAACGAAACCACTACTCGCGATAGACTGCAACACTTCGTCGACTGTATTACCGATATTGAAGGCCTACACGTATTCCTCCTACCACTAATAAGTTACTTTCACTTACGGCAAAGCACACGTCATCGTGTTTCGTTATCAACAGCTCGCTGTTGTTGTGTTGTTCGTAAAATAATTTTTTACCTACTTTTATATAAACTCGTAACCTGTAACAAAATACAGACAGTGCTGCACGAACATTCAGATGTCAGCTGGCTGTCACTGTCATCACTACTGTCAAGTCAGTGTCAAATAGCTATCAAAAGCGTTGATAGATACAAAGTATATAGGTACTTATCCATAATCTATGTGACTACCCTGTCATAGCGGTAAGCGAAATTGAATGATTTTGTTATTCCAATAATAAGTAATTACTACTTTTGAAATTCAACTAATAATTTAGTAATATACTAATATCCGTATTCTAATTATTATACTAATTAGTAATTACTAATCTAAATCACCGCTAAGGATTTTATGTTGGCCATCATTTCTTTTCTTATCAAATCTTAAACTTTCTATTATTATTTCTTCCAGTTTATTGCTCAAAGCCTGCACATCTTCCAAATTAATCAGTGAATCATGTGATATTGCTATATTCTTTTTCAGATTCCGTATATAGCTATTTTTTTCCTCAGTGGAGTTTAATTGATTTAGTCAAGTGTAAACCTCTTCTGCTTATTTTTGACTTTTTAGTTTTTAGGGTGCATCTCACTTATCTGTGATTAGACGGAAAACTTATTTTGTTCAACACCTCTATATTACGCACAGAATTTGGATTGGGGCTCAGAATGAAGTCGATTTAATTTTTTGTTTTATGGTTTGGTGATATCCAAGTCTATTTTCTAGATGCTTTCTTATTAAAACAAAATTCATAATCGATAACTTATTCTCGTAAGTATATTGTATCAGACGTTCACATCATTCATTCCGTTCTCCATATTCAAATTTTCCAATTATAATGATTTCATGTGGTTTCGGATGCCCAATTTTTTCATTAAAATCTCTAATATCTAAGTTTTGTGCTTTTGTTAGATCATTACAAAATTTTGTTAGTTCTTCTTCACTTTGTTTTATAACACAGGGGCAAACGAGCATGCGGTTTACCTGATGGTAAGTGATTACCGCCGCCCATGGTCACCCACAACACCAACGGCATTGCAGGTGTGCTGCCGGCCTTTTAAAAGGGAATATGCTCTTTTCTTGAAGGTTATGTTGTCGTATCGGTTCGGAAATACTGCTGCTGGAAGTTGATTCCAAAGAGTGATTGTGCGTGGGAGAAAGTGCCTTGAAAAACGCACGATGGAGGACCATCACTCGTCCAGATGGTGGGGATGAAATTTTAGTTTATGGCGGGTTGTACGTTGGTGAAAATCAGCAGCAGGTATCAATCCGAACAATTCTTTAGAGCACTCCCTATGATAAATTCGGTAGAAGATACACAGAGATGCAACATCTCTACGCAGTTCATGTGGGTCGAGTCGGACAGTAAGGCGCCGATCGTCAACAATTCAAGCTGCCCGACTTTGAATGAGGTCTAATGGAAGGAGTTGGTACTGTGGCACTCCTGCCTATTTGAGCTCTCAGTTGGAGAATAAACTTGTATAATTGATATTGGTAATTACTTACTAAAAATGAATCTCAGTGATAGCACTGAGATTTATTCTTAGTAACGCGACTCCGATATTCCCAAAAAGTTTAAATGTTGTTCTTTAATGACTTCTTAACAATGAAACCCACTCCACGTAGGCCCACTGTTTCGCCTATGTAACAAAGTATATATTTTTCATGTTCTTCTATAGCGCTTACCATATTTTTTGTTTATACAAGAGCCATATTGTCCCAATTATTTTATTCAATTGCTTGGTTTAGTTCCTACATTCTTACTTTGGTTGAGAGTGATCTTACATTATATATGCATTCCTTTTGGTATTGATCTATTTTTAATTTTGGTTTTTCTATTGTATTGCTTGAGTTGATTTTATTGCTACTTTCATTTTTACTTTTGGTATTTGTTATTTTATTTTATGGGTATTGATCGTCTTCCCCCATAGAGACCAGCCGGCTTAGGATGCATTCTGTTACTGTTACATTTGATGGTTTTAGTAAATTTGTTTTGTTTTGGTTTCGTTTGCTATAGATAGTTATTTGTTTTTTGCTAGTTCCGACATGGATGATGATCTTCCACGTGCTACATATGTAATTAAGTATGTTTTGTTTTGGTTTGTCTTACATTAAATCTGCAGGTAAAACAGAAAAGAAAATAAGAAAATTGACCTAAATTTGAATACAATCAAAACAAAGATCATGGCAAATCACAACAAAAAAGTAATCAAATTAGAAGAGAAACCTATAGAATATGTGGTTAATTATGTGTACCTTGGTAAACTGGTCTCCTTCGAAGCGAACAGCAGGGAAAATGAAGTTAATAGAAGAATAAATATAACATGGAAGAAATACTGGGCTCAAAAATAAATCCTTAAAGGGAATTACAACCTTAACTTGAAAAAGATAACTATGGATTCCTGCATCCTTCCAAGCCTAACATCTGCATGCCAAATATGGACCTATTATAAAAAAATAAAGAACAAAATCCTATCATGCCAGCATGCGATATAAATGAGACGTCATTACGTTAGATACATTTGTCAATATTAAGTTTGAAACTAATTGTTTCGATATTAAAATTTGTTTATATTTAAGGTCAGCCTACCTAAATATCATAATATTTATAAAGAAGTAAAGGTCCTGGTAAACATTTTGTGCCATCTACCATGTTAGTATATAAATATCGAATTGCAGTTGATATCTTTGGTTAATATCAATGCTATTTAATTCATAGATTGTGTCGAGACACATGTCATGACATGTCTTATGACAGCGGAGCGGTGACATTAGATTCCTACACAAAACGATCAACCTTAATTAGATAAGGGGGAAAGGGATTCTTAGTAATGGAGACTAAGAATCCCATTGCTAGCAATATATCCAACCAGGTCGACCTCCTCGCGGTTTCTCTCCTCTGGAAACTATCATGATTAATTCCTAATGAATTCATCATGATGGGCTAACTGGACTGTTTTCATCCTCATCGATCACTCTTTACTGGTGCCCCGCCAGCGTATCCCATTAGCGCAGGCGGGGTTACCACTCCATTTTCATCCAATAAAAAAAAACCTTAATTAGATCCTCTCTCTAATCTGTGATTTAAATATCTATCCGTTCTGTATAGCTTTTTAATAGATGATAATAAAATGGTAGTCTCGCCTACGCTAACGGTATATAGTGCCCTCTTATCTTATCTTATTTAACATCAGTTTCATTCACAGACAATATCTCTGTGATTTTATTACAACATTGCAATGCATAATCAATAAATTAACGACTACACATTAATCATCAATCAGTTATAAATGCTCACTTTTGTACTTTATCCGAGCAGTAAGTACTAACTCATTTTCGTGTATAATATAGTAGATAAAATTTATTTGTTATCTATGCATATTTATTTTTTTATATATGTAAATTTTAGTAGGTATATATCAATTATTACTAGTACTGCATTCGAGTATTCTGACATTTCCTAAAATTGACTGGGAGTAAATGCTTTTAACATTATGTACGCCACGTACACATACATTGTTACTATTATTTTTTTAATGTTCAATCATCTTCCCTCTTAAGAAGAGGGGATGGCAAACTAACAAACTAACCAACAACTAACAAAACTAACAAAGGGATTCAAGGCCTCAGAGAGAGAAACCGGCGTATCATGTGGACAGTATTCAAGAGCACTGCTTTTTGCATCTTTTCCGGGAGTGAGCTGCTTCGGAATTTCAACCGTCTGTTCCAGACTTGTGGGAATAAGACTGTTCAACTACAGAACGATTGGAATGTTTTCAGCGGATGTCACCCCAACCTTTCGGTCACTTCGTGAGTCAAGTCAATAAACAAATAATTTCTCTTATGGGTTTCGGCTTTCACGAGATTCTCGTCATGCAATATGGAGACATCCACCAAGAACCTCTTCGAGAATAAGATGCATATAAATTCATAATTATTATATCAGATTTATTATCTGCGAAGGTCATTATTATTGTTTTGCTTGTGAACTTTCGATAGATGTTTGCAAGGCCACATCTGAACTAAGACATGAATAATTGAAGGACAGTACTATTCACAGCCAAGTGTAAAGCCAAATTTTTCAGCGATATTCGACGCATTAGGGTATGAAGACGAAAACGAATGATTTTCAGATGCTTATATCCACGAAAGTGACAGGTTTTGGGGATCTTAATGTATTAATGTAAGGAATTATAAAAAAAAGTGCTAAATTAGTTCCAAAAATTTTGGTGATTTGTGATATAAATTTTTTATAATATAAGTTTTGGAAATGTGTAAAACAAATTCGTTTTTAACTTTCAACACTGGCGTTCGCAATGTCAAGCGAACTAAAGCATTTTTAGACGAATTACATGCACGCCGTAGGCATCAATCGCTTATTCAGTCGAAAGAAACAGTTTTGATATGAGGTAAACGATTTGAAATAATAACTTTGAAATACCAGTAGCTTCTTTATTGGTTTTATCAGGATAAGGTCTTTACAAAATTATTGAAAAAATTACAATTACCTTTAGCTTAAAATGAGTATTGAGTTTCTTTCCAGTACTTTATATAATTTAAAGCAATAATATAAGTATCATAGTTACATTTTATTCAAAATAACTCTTTTATATGCGGTTATAATAAATACAACTGACTAACATAATTCCATCGTAAATAATACATAGCAACAGAAATACGCTATCTACGTCATATAAAGTTCAAATTTCTATCAAAACGTTTTAAACGCTTTAGTCATACTGCTAATTCAACTACAAGGCGTTAGTTTACAACCAACTACCCTCATTTTCTACACTCTGATGTTTTCCTTATTATAATAACTTTGACCACATATAAATACTGAAATATTAATTGAAAAGATCTTTAACACAATTATTCTTAGTTTCCTTTAATAACCGGTGAACATCAGTAGTTAGAAAATGTCAATTTATATCAGTCACAGTCAAGTTATAGGAAACATAATATTAGGAAATATTACAGATCTAACATTCGAAATTGTGTAACAAATATTATGGATTATTTTACTGTACCTATTATGAAAACGAATTAAGAGAGATAAACAATTGGACAAGACATATATTACGATTACAATATCTAAATCAAATTTGTACAGAGTAACATTGAGTAAGTCGTGTGCATCGCAAACGTTGACATATTCAACAGTGAATTTATTATTTTTCCTCCTAAATTCCTTGCGATGGAAAAATAAAACGTAACGAGCTTTTAAATATGGAAACTCAAACTTGTCAAGTAACTTACCACTAAAATAATCACAAATACATAAACTTAACACGTAAGCGTAACTAAAACGAACTAACTTTAAGAATATCGTGCTATAATAAATGCATAATATAACGTTTGGGATGAGCGTGATGTTACCAGTGAAGAAGCTCCGATTGTGGGGGGCTAGGGGAGGTGTTACACGGCTACGACTCAACAGCGACAATGGGTAACATTTTGTAATGTTTGATGCATGCCAACCATCGTCTGCCCGTCGCCTCGGCTGTACCACAGTTCCCTCTGTGACGTTCGTAAAGCAAGGGAAATCTACGCGTGGATGAGGAGTTTGAGGGAAATAGGGGAAAGGTGATGCGGGGAAGTGGGACAGTTGGAGAGACTTTGCAACTGAGCAAATGATGGTTATCGACTGCAAAACTTTGTTCAATGTGCCCCATAGTTATTTCTTCTTTTGGGCCTTCTCAGCGGCCTTGGTAATTTTACCCGTAGTTACTTCTTTGAATGTAACGCTCTGTAACAAATGATAATCGTATATTTATATAAAGAGATGATGAAACTACATCATCAAATTTGGATGAAGAACAAGGACAGATGAAAATTTCAATTATTCATTGAGTATTATTATATACCAGATTATAGTAGATATTTACCAGAGGAAGACTTTGTACAAAAGTCGTTTGCTTGGGCACCTCTGTCCCATTCGTGTTTCAACCGTGAAGCAGTTGTGTTTACATGGCTGCGTTTCGGTTTGAAGGGTAGGATATGGTAGTGAATTTACAGGTTACAGAGGAATAACACCTGAGTCCTCAGGAATGGCAACGCATGGGGGTATACTCTGTTATGTCCATGGGACTGCTCATGTCTATAGGTAATTGTTACTACTTTCTATCAGGTGGGCTGTCAGCTTGTTTCCAATTCTAAGTTGCATAAAAAAAAAGAGTAGACACCCCAATGTAATAGCCTCACTCATTTTTATACCAGTAGGTATTACAATATGCCTACTATACATAGGTACATTATCCAATATTGAATTAGATATTCAATGCATTAAAATACTAATAAATTCCAAACTTAAGGTCTATGGGATGGTAAGTAAAGTATCACACGTGTGTAAGTGCTCTAAAGCTAGCTGAATGCCGAGTGTGTTTCTAAGTGCAAACAAATTGTTTATTACGGCAAAAAAGGTATTTGTCTTTGTCACCTTGATGACGCCGACAGCGACGGTCTGGCGCATATCCCGCACGGCGAAGCGGCCGAGTGGCGGGAACTCCTGGAACGACTCTACGCACAGCGCCTTCGTCGGCACCAGCATCACAATCGCCGCGTCGCCAGACTTTATCGACTTCGGGTCCACTTCCGTTGTTTTACCTATTACAGAGTCGACAGTATAATATGTTAGGTACTTAAACTCGACTAGCGATACCTAATGATGATAAATGAGATTTTAGTTTTTATTAAAGTCGATCCCGAGACTCTTTCTTATACATATGTTTCCGATTATGCTCTCTTGAAAACTTAATGTGTCTATTTTTTTATTCACATATCAACTATGGAATGCCAGAATCAATCATGAACTATCACACTTACTGTGTACTTATAATCTTCTATGTATACGAGTATAAATAAATCACTAAAATGTGTCGTTAAGCGCAAAACTTGAGAACGACTGGACCAATTCGTCACTTTTTTATGAACAAAAAAATTGCGCGGAAAAACGTTATACCCCCCTTTTTCCCATACAAACTGTTCTAATTTGTAATAGGAGGTACCACTTCTGTTGAAACAACAAGTTCTATTAATATTATAAATGCAAAAGTTTGTAACGATGGATGTTTGTTACTTTTTCATGCAAAAAACGGTTTTGAATTAAATTTGATACACGGGCAGGCTATACCCTAACTTAGCATATGGGATACTTTATACACTATTTCACGTGGGGGAAGCTGCGGGATACAGCTAGTTCATAATAATGATAAATATCTAGATAGGTCACAAGATCAAATTGGTGAAGTATGTATAGACAAAAAAGATAATAGGCATTTTCGTTGCAGAGTGTACATACCGGTACGGCGGTCGCACTTCTCCTTGATCTCGGCGAACTTGCAGGCGATATGAGCGGTGTGGCAGTCCAGCACCGGTGTGTACCCGTTACTGATTTGGCCCGGGTGGTTCAGTACGATCACCTGGCCGCAGCACCAAAATTTTAATATAACTAAATAGATAACTTAACACATATATTTACAACCTATCTATTGTGGGGGGGTTCCCCCTGGAAGCCGTCGTGGTTAGTTCTAGTGGAATTCGTCACGATGGGTTAACTGACCTGCCTTTTCATCCTCACCTGTCATCCCTCATTGGTGCCCCACCGGTGTATCCCTGTGGCGCGGGCGAGGTTACCATTCCATTATCACTCATTAAAAAAACCTATCTATTGTGGGGGAAAGGGATTGTTAGTAGTGGGGTCTAATGAACCCATTGCTATCAATACACCGTATCACGTCGACATCGACGTGGTTTCCCCTGGAAGTCATCGTGAACAATTTTTGTAGAATTCGTCACGATGGGCTAACTGACCTGCTTTTTTTTATACCACTGAGGTGGCAAACAAGCATACGGCCCACCTGGTGGTAAGCGGTTACCGTAGCAATGTATGTACCGTAGTACTGCTTCATCCTCACCTATCATCTTTCACTGGTGTCCCGCCAGTGTCTGGTGTCCCGCCAGTGTTTACCGATAACACGGGCGGGGTTAACATCCATTAAATCACCATAAAAAAAAACCTATCTATTGTCCACTGTTGTACTAGATCTCCTATATTACGCCACAAAGTATGATCCTACGCTATTTGCATCCAGCAATCCCTAGCAGCTATAGACATCGTCCATCATCGCGTCTAACATTTGATGAATCCAGTTTAAGCACGTAACAATACCTAATTATAATAATAATGCGCTATCCCAAGTACCACCTACTCGTGTATATTTCCAATCGGTGCCTGATTTAAGTATATTTTCATAGAATGAAATATAGACTATTTATCATCTTATACTGTTAGTAAAATCTACAGCACTGTTCCCGAGTCATAATCTGTGAGGGCGTAATGAGGTTTCATTCATACAAATACATATCATATTTGTCAATATTCAAAAATAATTGAACATATCACCAGTTTGAATACTTAAAAAATATTCTGTTAACGGAATAATACGTTGCTCAGCTTAAAATTTAAGCTTAATATTTTCTGTGATCATTCTATGAGAGTTGCTCTCTTAAAAATAACATTGTCATAAATATCAGTAAAACCTAAGCCGCAAAATATACGATACTTCAGTTATGACATAGAGTATGGACTAACCTTGAGACACCAGACAGACGAATATGTTTACAATTAGTTTAAGAAACCAAATAAACTTTCAATATGAAATGCTAAACAAAACATGAGATATTTCTTTTTTATTCTTTATTGTACACAAACATAATGTTAAGAACAATTAATTTTAAACGTAATGTACAAAGGCGAGCTCATCTCATATAAGAGATATTCATAGTGAGCTACGATTATGAGCAAACTGCAACATGTACAGTTAACTACAAATTTACGCGTTAAAATATAATACGTAAGTTACTTCGTTAATATCATAATCATCATCCATGAGGCTTTTTAAATTGTTAATGGTCAGTATGTTTTTCTAATAGGTACACGTTTTTAAACAGGAAATGAAGATTACCACAGGAATGTCGAAATCAGAATTAGACCTAAAAATAACAATTAACAAACAGAAATTTTCAACGTGAACAGAATAAGCAGCTATTTAAAAGCAATAAAAATGAAATTGCATAATAAACCAAATTTTATCAATGTTACCGCATATTAATAGATGTTATTATACAAAGAAGTTCACAATTTGTGACCGGATTAGTTAACGGATAATGATCGCTAAGTTGTTTTTAATTATTTATACACCTATGTATTAATTACAATAAGGTTAGGGAACAAACGAAGCGAAAAAAAATAATACTAACCTTATAGTAAATAAAAACCAAAAATCTTTTTGCCTTATTATATTGCAAAATATTGTTTAAATATTTTTGTTTAGAGCATCATAACCCGGTATACTACCCTGATATATTAGAATACAATTTATTCTAAAGGCTTTATGACAGGTTTTTTGTGGAGTAAAATGTACTTGTTAAGATATGTACTGGGTGTACATTATAAATACTAGACTCTAATTGCTACTACTAAATAAGTAGGTACCTACAAGTATCCATATGATTGTGAGTTTTATACAGCCTCCCTGACTGTATAAAACTTGTCTGTTTGGGTAAGTACCTCTATACCACTCGTGCCTCCGTCGTAAAGCAATTATATTTCATGGCTGATCTTCGATTTGAAGAAGTTTGATCGTAGTGAAACTATAGAGTACAATACTTGTTCACACATAACACTTCGGTATTTAGCATTCCGTTTTAAATGTAAAATAGTCTATAATCAAAGTGTGAATCTACATATTTCTTTTTAGTTTGTACCTGAGCGGTGAAGTCCGAAGCGCCTTTGGGTGGTGCGTTCTTCGAATCACCAGCCACATACCCACGACGCAGCTCCTTTACGGAAACGTTCTGCAATATCAACGGAAACTTTCTATTATAACGTTCCAGTCTCTGTTGAAACTGGGAAAAGAACCTCTACCTATCAATAGATTATGTTTCACTGCCGCATGCATATGATAGAAAAAAATCAATATTACACGGTCTTATTTTCCAAGCTTGTAATAACAATTACTAATAATATTACTATTTTCTGCCTCGGCCTTCTTGTTTATCGTTTCGTTTTAATTTACAAACTTATTCTTCACTTACAAAAATGTCACGTTTATAACTAAGAATGGCACAATAAGGAAAAGTCTGAATTCCCTTCTTAAAAAAAACTAAAACCAACTAAAACCTATCTTAACTGTTATAGTATTTTGTCACTTTCTTTCAAATTAAGAATTTAGCACAAAAAAAAAAGAATACTGTTGAGGTTTTTATGAATAAGAGCATAAAACTCTACAATGATTAAGATATATGACGAACTAAACAAAACAGATAGATATTCTGAATGATTACAACGAAATTGTCATGTACCTTGACGTTGAAGCCAACATTGTCCCCGGGCATGGCCTCTTGCAGCGCCTCGTGATGCATCTCCACCGATTTCACCTCAGTGGTGATGGCCGCCGGAGCAAATACCACCACCATACCTGCGCGATCAGGTCATCATCCATTAGGATTCGATAACACAAATGCTCACGCAAATAAAAATACAAATTCATTATCAATTTTATAAAAGTCAGGATTCTTTCAAATACAGTTACAAAAAACATATATAATAAAAATTATCTGCCGCTAAATATCAGATTGTCCTTTAAACGTTTATTTCTATTCGAGAACTTTCTTCTGCATCAGTTATCGAGTCCGATTATGTGTTCTATTTATTAATTACATATTTGCGATTCCCGATGCTTCAGACGATATTGACCTCGGCCTTTTTGTTGTATCTCCGGACATCCTTGTTTCGAATTCGTGCAACCGTATCACTTATTCGTAATCTTAGTTAAACTCCAATTAATTAGTCCAGTACGAAATAAATATTTTCTGTGCGATTAGCAATACCTAACGTTTGATAAATAAAGTCGTTTAAACGTTGTGCTGTCAATATAATTGTAACGATCTAATTTCTGAATTCAGGTGCTTTAAATGATTATTTTAAAGGTACTTTAAGATAAGTATATTATAAATCACACACCAAATTTATTATACAGAAAACATTCATCTTTTGTGAATATCTCACAAGAGGTTTTAGTGATGTTTTAATAGGGGCGCTGGTGCCCATCATTCGACCATTAACTTCCCTTAGTCGCCTCTTACGACACTCACGGGAAAGGAAGAGGTGGCCTTCATTCTATGCCGGAACCATACGGCTTATTTATAATAATATTAATTCATTTTACAATTACATTATTATTTCGGTCGAGTTTTAAGGACCCCGAACATTGCCTAACATATGCTCCTTAGAGCCACTCACCAGGCTTCAGTATCCCGGTCTCGACGCGGCCGACGGGCACGGTCCCAATGCCGCCGATCTTGTACACGTCTTGCAATGGCAGCCGCAACGGCTTCTCCGTGGGACGCGACGGTGGCTGAATTGCGTCCAGCGCCTACGTACGTACATAGTGAATGTAAATAATATTCTATACTGTATAAGAGTTGTACCTATCTGAAACCCAGGCTTTTATGAGACTCAACAAGCTTACGGCTCACCAGATGAAAAGGAGTAAGTTTATAGACAAATTACTGGAAGAATACAATTATATTTTTTTATTATTTCAGCCCTTAACTGTCCACTTCTGAACATAAACTTTCCCTTCCCCATAAGGGGAGTTTAGCTAATAGTTGTTAAGCTAGGCAGGCGAATTGGCAACCGCAGTTAGGCTTTTACAGTTTTGTGATGTTTTAAGAGCCCATCCCTCCACCATAAGTTCCCTTAGTTCTTTCGACACCTACGGGAAAGAAAGGGGTGGTCCATTCTATGCCGTGACCGACACGGTAGATGACAGAAGAATACAATATATTGTGTATATAATTCGCGAGGATTAAGTTGTTCAATTGCTATGGTCTTCAACTTTCCCCATTGAATATAAGAATAATTTTTATTCAGTTTCATTACAGAAAAGTATTAATGTATGACCATGCGTCTATTTATGTAATTAATAATGTAATGTAACATAATTAATACAGTAATGTATCTTAAAAGTATTGTATTATAATTATGTGTAAGTATATTTTTATTTATATTGTTTATTCTGCGTTTAAATTTAGCCCTTTTCCCCCCTTTTCTAGTTTTATTACTTTTCTGTTACGGCTTGACCAGACACAATTTTAATTATTCCTCTCCATCCTAAGGTTGCCCGGAAGATTGCTATTTAGCGATAAGGATGCCCATTGACGCCTCTTTAACTTGCTAGTATGTAATTAAGTATTAATTTTGTTTGTGTACATATTGTTAATCTTTATAATTTGTATCATTCTTTAAAGGGAACAATTAAGAGTTTTTATTCATTCATTCATGATTACTACACTTTGCGAGTTTCAGAATGACATGTCCCATCTGTCATTCATTTATAGGGTAGGTAAAGAGAACCAAATACCAAAAGCCCCTTACCTTAACATGTTGTAACATTCATAACTACTATCACTTATGCAGTAAACGTCCTTACTCAAATGGAAATTTTATCTCAGTCAATTGTAAATTATAATTGTTGATCTGATTTCCTCTTAATAAATAAATGAAATACAAGTATGTCCTAGTCGCAGATTACATTTAAGATATAGACAGAAGATAGCAAACTTAGAAACGTGACCATACTTTTTTATCAATAATATAGACAAACTTAGGTATCTCATTTATCTACTTTCTTTTGCTTGCTTCATAGTTGAACAGTATCACAAATAAATAACATATCACATATAGTAATTTATTCAAGCTGGGCGATTGCGAGTACATATTATGATGGTAGTTTCTATGTGACATGACCAATTATAGTTACCTCGATAAGCGTCTTCCCTTCGACCTTGCCATCCTTCCGGTCAATGGTCCAGCCCTTGAACCAGGGCATTTTGTCGGAAGGCTCCAGCATATTGTCCCCGTGCCAGCCAGAGATTGGCACGAATGCCACCGTTGCCGGATTGTAGCCTGTATTTTCCGACATCAATTTAATACAAATATTATGCACGATTTCATAATCAAAGTTGATAGGTAACTAGTTATATAATTTAACTAAATGTTAAAGATGAAAGTAGAGTTTTATTAGCTAAAATTCATATTTTTGTTTATGTTAAAAAATGGTAAAATTGCCTCCTTATTTCAATAAATGCTATATTCACAATTCTTATAGTATTTAAGTTTTTTAGGAATAGCGGGATACCTATAAGAGAAAATAAGTGACGATGAAGTTAGGTCATCTACATCACCTATCATGACGAATTCATTAGTACGATGGCTTCCAAGGGAAACTGCGCAGTTTCTCTGACAGGGCATATATTGCTACTAAGAACAATAACACTACCAGTTCTTCCCTTGAGTATAATCAGTTGGTTTTATGAAAGCTTACCAATTTTCTTGATGTAAGAAGACACCTCTTTTTTAATTTCTTCATATCGCGCCTCGTGATACGGCGGTTCAGTGGAGTCCATTTTATTGACGCCCACAATCAACTGTTTCACGCCGAGCGTGAACGCAAGAAGCGCGTGCTCGCGCGTCTGGCCATTCTTGCTGATACCCGCTTCAAACTCTCCAGTACCAGCTGCTACTATCAGCACTGCACAGTCCGCCTGATAACAATAATTACAATTGAGTGACGCAGTCTAAATTAGATGATCCTCAAAATATTTAGAACGTGCGTTGAATATAACATTGAATTAAATATAAACAATAATGGAAAATAACATAGGCAAATAGCACTTACCTTACTACAGATTTAATTATTTTATAGAGTTTTATTATTAACATAAGATCTAACAATAAAGTCTCAAATATGACCTTCAATGTAATTATGCACCTTAATGTGTATATATGTATATTGAACAGGTCAGTGGAAGAACAAATTGTAATAATAATTGTAGTATACCTGGGAAGTTCCGGTAATCATGTTCTTGATGAAATCGCGATGTCCGGGGGCATCGATGATGGTGACGTAGAACTTGGCGGTCTCGAACTTCCATAGGGCGATATCGATGGTGATACCGCGTTCACGCTCTGCCTTCAATTTGTCCAATACCTTCATGGGATGAAAGAGGCGCTTTCAAAGTTACAGTATAAAAATGGGGATAGTTTTTATGAAATTCGTAATTTACGTTTAATCAGCATAAGCACATAATAATTATAATATTGAAACTTCAAAATTTTCTCATTTAGTAAAATTTTTGTAAAATTTATTGCACTTTATAATCATGCCTTTTATAAGAGTCAAGCTAGGATATTGCTACTATTTTGAATATCTTTGTACAAAGATATACCAATAGAAGAGTTTGGAGTCTTAATGTTGAATAATTGAGATATACTTCTATATAGCCTATAACACATACCCAAGCGTACTTAAAGGAGCCTTTGCCCATTTCTTGCGCCTCCTTCTCGAATTTTTCGATAGTCCGCTTGTCGATACCACCACATTTGTAGATGAGATGACCAGTGGTAGTGGACTTGCCAGAGTCCACATGACCGATCACCACGATGTTAATATGAGTCTTCTCCTTACCCATGTTGACCTCTTAGGTATCAAAACACGATCTAAACCGTGCACAATCTTAAACAAAAAAATATATATGATTTTTTTATAAACGAATATAGACTACAATAATTTCCGTTCAGTGCCGACACTAAGAGGGTGGGAGGGAGTTTCTTTAATGGAATAGTATACCACCAAAGGGAGAGTGTATAAAAGTCAGTTACTTAGGTACCTCTCTCCTACTCGTGTTTTTAACGTAAAGCAGTTGTGTTTATATAGCTGTGTTTCTGTTTGAAGGGTGGGATATAGCAATGAATTTACAGGGTACAGAGGCATTATTCCTTAGTCCTCAGGAATAGTAACGCATGGGGGGGGGAGGGTATTATAAGCGAAACAGTGTATTCTGTTATGTCCATAGTACTGTTCATGTCTATAAGCGACGGTTACCATTTTCCATCAGGTGGGCCTTCAGCTTGTTTGCCATTCTAAGTTGCATAAAAAACCCTGCCTGCGCTATCAGTATATTCTGACAAGGCACCAGTGAGAAATAATAAACAAGGATGAAAAGGCAAGTCTGTTAGCTCATCGTAGTGACTCAAGAATTAACCATCATGGTTTCCAAGGGGGTCTGCGTGGAGGTCGACTTGATAGAATGTATTGCTAGCAATAAGGCTGTTAGACCCCATTACTAACAATCCCTTCCTCCAGGGGGAGGGAGGCTATCTCAATTAGCAGGGGTGCTGAGATTTAAGAGAGAGGCACCATAGGATTAATTTTATAATAAATAATATTTTATCAGGTAATTTGGAGAAACGCTATCCTTTTTCGCTACGGGATATTCATTCATCCATTCATTTCGTGTAGGTAACCTGCTGAAGTAGATATCTCTGAGTCTAGATAGATGTCTCAGTTATAGTTATAGAGTTATCAGTATCTACATTCAAATACAGATTTATATTTACTATTATAATAACATTTATTATAATAACATTCAAATACAAATTTTTGTTTATGAATAAATAAAATAAAAAAAAAAAAAAAAAAAAAATTGTATTATAGATATTAAATTGCTGACTAATAATAGTGGAAGGGGAAAAACACCGCTTATCTGTATTGTAACACATATCTCTCGTAAATCGTCGTTTAGGCATTGGGCATTTACGAATCCAAACAAAAGACTACCGACTCTATAACGATCAATAGAAACATTTAAAATTTATTATTATTAATAATAGTAATAGCTATTAGTAACAATAATAAATTTTAATAGCTCAAAAAGTTGATAGAGTAGATTGTTGTGGAACACAAGTTATTTTTGAGATATGTCCTATATAGTGGCGTAACAATAGGGTGGCCGAGCGAGTAAAATGCCACGAGCTCCCGGCCTAAGGGAAACCTACTGTTGCTCTTATGAAGTGCACATGATGTGAAGAGTTAATAAAGTTGATAATCTGTGGTGATCGATAAGCGATTAGTATATTTTATACAAAAGTATAAGCGCCATCAGGCAGATTTACCGTATATAAATACAGCAACATTTATTAAAATAAAAAGAATTCTAAGGTTTTATGAATTTCTATTATCATTTATAATAAATTCGCATGGACTGTTTGTTGTCTAGGTACTAAAAATGCCTTGTATTAGTTAACTATATATTAGGTACCATTTCCTATTATTGTTATTTCTTTATATATATATTTTTGTTTATTCTTTTTTATTACAAATTAGCACCGAAAATTTGTTTAAAAGTACATTATACCTACTTTCCCTAATATTTACCGACAGAATGAAATTAGTAAATAAGTATCAAATTGGAGCTTATATAATATCCAAAATAACTTATTATCATACTAATCTTACTAATATTACAAATATGAAAGCTAGTAAAAATGTTTGTGCGTATGTTTGAATATTTGATACTTAATCACGCTTAAACGGTAAAATTATTTAAATTAAATATTGATAGGTACACGCGGCGGGTAGGCTGTATTCTAGCTTAACAAATTATACAAAGTATCCTATGTATCACCACACTGGCAATGCCGTGGGAAAAGGCTAGTTTGTAATAATTATTTTAATCGCATAAAGATATTACGTACGATTAAGATTATGAAATTGTAGTAGATAAATCCTACATGCAATTACCTAACGTGCATTTAAAACATAGAAATAACAATAAAATACAACGTAGCAATTGCACTCAATGCATCAAATGCAAGTAGGCACCTCGTAAAGCAATTAGTTGCAATATTCCGCGAAAAGTATTAAAGCTCTAAATGCCGAGCGTGCGCACAGGACGTCCGGGACATCAATACAGGCGCCCAGCCTTCCAAATATAGACAATCTTACGCTCACCTTCACAACCCCTAATAAACTCGGAAAAAAAAGCAAAAGCATTTATTATTTTGAGATGTTCTAACGATTTAATATTAACAACATATCTCGTAACGCATTTCGGGAACTCTATACTAAAAAGTCATATAAGCATTTTACATAATCAAATAATAAATTACACTTGCCTATATGTATAAATATCTATACATTACATTATGGGAGGTCCAACTATTGTAAAGTATCAAGTATTTTTCGTTCTCTAGGTACACATATGAGTGGGACCAAGTATTTTATAGAATTGGTACTTAAGCAAGTATATTTTAGTTGTACAAATATTCATCTGCATAACTTGATATCGGTATAAACTTTATATACAATTTTAGTACATTACACGAAAACAAATATAACAAAGACTTATTCGAGTATATGTAATTTATAGCCATATCTATAGTGGATGTACGTATTTATATACAAGATACGTTTCAAAATTAGAATAACGGCATCCGTTGCACTAATACGTGGCTAATGTACCTATTCACCGGCGACGCACATGGGCTTCACAGCTTGATCGCGTCCATCTTGTATATGTCTCTGTATCTTATTTATTTTTTATTTATAAAATCATAGGCACCATATAAAAACTTATTCATGTTTAACGTATACTAGTGAAGATGAACAATGACACGTCTTAATAATAATAAATTCAAAATTCGAAAAATACAATTTGGCATGTCATTGCCCAAAACGGTTGAACAGCAAGTATACTAAAGGTAATTTATGAAGTAGCATTTTCCATTAAAATAATAATACTAATGTAAGCTTTAGAATTTATACAACTGAATTACCTATAGTACAAATAGAATACGACGACAGACTATAACGATATTTTTAAATAATGTACCCGTCTACCTACTTACCTATTACTTAAACAGCAACGTTAAAGATTTAAATAAAAACTATACATGATATTACGCAAAACCAAGCACAATATATCTCATTTAACAGGAAAATAAATTGCGTAATTAAGATATGCGGTAGGTACCGGTAGAATTACAACAATCTGAATAAGAATGAAAATTAGATAATTTTATATCGAAAATCTTTGCACCGCTGTATATAAATAATGTGTCTTACACTTGAGTTATATATAAATGATTAAAAAAGCAATAATATTTAGTAATAAAATAAGAATCCTTACCCTTAGCAGCCGCAGTCACGAATTTTCCGAGCGATTTTCTTCGAGCATGCGCCGTAAAGTTCGCCCGGGAAACACAATCAATAAAATCAAATAGTTTTTTTATTAATTTAAATTTTATCAAAATCATATATTATAAACATTTTTAACCATAGTAAATCATAAATTAAATTATTTATGCTTTGCCTAATTGCATTATTTTGTAATAGTAATAATTGTAAGAAAAATATACCCGCACAACCGGATGTATGAAGTTTTCAGAATACTTTGTCTATGATTTATAAAGAAAGGAAATAAATAGGTAGGTATACAAGAGTACGTAAAAGTGGCAAATACAATAAATTATGAAAAAAATAATACGTTTTTAATCAAAAAATCTATGTCATAAAATTTACTACTAATTTTATTTACTAATGATATTACATTACTTTTTCACTTACTGTAACAAATAAAAATAATAAAGCATAGCGAAATCTATGTAATGGGCAAAGACCAAGTCATAGAGGCACTGGGCCCTTGATATAGAAAACTTAGGATTCATTTTAAAATTCTAAATAAGTGTAGATATTACTTCTAAAGTATCAAGATATTTGTAAATTTTATGGGAACACCGTAAAGTTTTTGCGGAGCATGTTTAAGGCGTTATGCCGCTAGAAATCTTAACATTTTTTTTCATTTCATAATACATATGAAACTGACCAAACAATAGTAATTATTTATATTTATTATTACTCGCAACCATCGACAAGTGAGGCACAATATCAAAATCGTTTAGTATGTTCGATGTTTTAAATACAAAATAATAAATATAAAGATCATCTAATATCGGTCAGAAGTCCATGATTCAAATATATTTAAATAATTTGAATGGTCTATATACGATGATTTTAGACGCAAAATATCAAAATATACAACTAATATTAAAATAAAACGCCTTCATTTCGTCTATAATTATTTATTACATTTATATCACCTCATTTACATTAATCATGTAGTATACTAATAATTTCAATTATATAAATATTAATTAAACATAACAATAATGATAGTTATAGCTGGATATCTAGTTACTCATTTAAATGTATATAGCTATTTATTATTACTATTTTATGATATTAAAGTAATATAAGATTACTAGATACACTACAGGCACTATACAGTTTATACTTCTTTGATGATAAATAATTGTGATTTTGTTGAATACATCCCAGATTTGTTGTGAAACATATGTCATTATAAAAAAAAGAACAAAATAAATAATATATTATACATTAATTTACTCAGTTGTTGCTGAATAGGTGTTTACACTGTCAGTTATTCTTGTTGACCATATAATAATTATATGCTACCAGTTTCATCAACTTGTTGAATTAATTACACGAAAATGCTGTTTTGGAATGTCATTTCCATTAGTAATATAAAACCAGACAACATTAGATTACTAAATCACTAATATTATTTAAGTAAAATAAGCATTGTAGACTTAGAGAATAGAATTAAAAGTGTAATATGTAATTCATATAATTTAAATAAGTAACAAAATATATTTTCTTTCATTATAATATTGCAATGGAAACATATTATTAGAAAAATATAACAATAATATAACTAAAGTATTTATATAAAACTACAATTAATGAGCTTGTTTTGATCGCATATTAATGTACATAAAAAGAAATTAACCAAAAAGTTGAAACTTTTTTCTTTCTACTACGAACCCTGTTTAAACATTTTTTTTTAACACGTACCAATAAATTTTCTCTCATATGTACAGTTCGGTTTCTCGTTCAGCTGATGTCTATAATTTCTATATTATTCAGAATACATTTATATGTTCGCATTTCATATAAGTATTTCTAAATTATTAGGAATCATTATTAACATAAATATGAAATAACATTCAATATTATAATAAGGATGGTAGCAGTTTTAACACATGTTCCCTATTAGTACAATCATGATTGTGCTATCATTTAGTTAAATTAATAAACCAATACTTGTCAAATATTCTTGCTATGAGATACTAATTAATACTAAAATTGAATATACAGACACAATATTGGAGTTTTCATTACCGTTTCCATTTTTTTTTTTTTATATTAAAATTTATGAAATATAAAATTCAAAATACATAAAAAATGCTTTACCAAAGTAAAAAAGAAATGTCAACTTGGATCACAGACAATCATAATTGGTATCTGACGTTATGAATATATCTAAATACCTATGATTCATTATAATAATACACAATGAAATACTTTATTTTCCTCCCGGCCACGGTAGATAACTTCCCCAGCCTTTAGGATTTGGATCTAATCCTGAAAATAAAAATTTATAGGTAAATTATGTAAAATTTATATACCACTTTCAAACATTTTAATTTTTTTACAATGGTAAACCAGCTGACCACCTTCACTTACCAGTAGATGTCGTAAGAGGCGACTAAGGGAGTTTAATGCTCAAAGGATGGCCAACAGCATCCCCTCATAAAACGAAGCGTGGTAGCTACTAACTAAACCCTGGAGGAGACCTATTATTTAAAAGTGGACAGTTAACGACTGTTAGGATGATGATGATGAAACCAGCTGACGGTCCACCTAATGGAAAGTGGTCGCTTATATAATTCAAAACGAAACATAGCTGTGCAAGCACAGGTGTTGGGGGGGGGGGAGGTATTGTTAGTAATCATTATCATATCAGCCTTTTTTTATCTTACAAATTTGTTCCTTAGAAATTTCATCAAGGGTTTTGTCACAATTGATTCAGTTTTTTTTTGAGACACAATCTTTAATTATTTAATTACTTTAAAACATCCAAATCTTTGATTATTAATGACAGTTATTAATATCAGAAAAGCATTTATATCACTCATGTTATGGCCCTAGCCCTTCAGGTATCCATAGAGAGTCCATAGATTAAGCAACTGTTTATCATTAGACAACAAGAATAATATTTAAAAATTAGTAAAAATTAAGTAATTCTTTGTAATGTAAATTACGAGTGAGGAAACAACTGTAAACCGATAGGGAAACACAGTGTCGTAGCAAGATAATGTTATAATTATAAATATATATCTTATAAAGTAAAAAGAGAGAGAGAGAGAGAGAGAGAGAGAGAGAGAGAGAGATTTGTCACACAAATCGTAGTGTACTATACTAGCGGCCCGGTACGTGCTTCGCTACGTATAAAGTGAAATAATATATATTTTTTTTAATTTTAACATCAATATCGCTGACAATTTGCTTTATTCGAAGCACGTCCAAGATAAAATGACCGCATGAATGACATAACAACATACTTGTACTGTCAACACTGGAAAAAGTTTCAATATGACAGCACAAGACCCATCTTAAAAAAGTTTGAATTTGACACAAAAATCCCCATTAACAAAATGATCTGCCATTTATTGAATTCATTTGTTACAAAAAATGTGATAAATGAAGAACCGCTCGACTGATTTTGTGCAAACTTCATATAAACCATCTACTAAATAGTACAAACAAAGCCTAAACATTTGGTTTGGATAGGTGAACCCGTTCTAGAGTTATAAAATTACAACGAAAAGTTTGTATTATTCTTTGTGTATACATAACTTATGTGTTTATACAATATATGCAGATCGTATGACTGCCTATTTTTATTTTTAAAATAACACAATTAACATGGAAAGGTTTTGCTAGAAGAAATCTCTTATTAGGGATAAGCTCACCTTTGTACATTATGTTTATAATGAATAATTAACAGTATGTTTTCTGTACAATAAAAGAATAAAGAAAAGTGGCATTAATATATATAAAGGGAATAAAAAGCAACGAAAAATGCGCGTCCACATAATATATAAATTTTACCTTTAGCGACAGCTTGTATCTTCTGCGTCTCGTCAGGTGTAAGTGTTAGAATTTTCTGTAAAACGGGCACTAGACGGCTGCGTTCATCACCCGGCGCCAACGTCAGAAACTATATTGATAAATACTATATTAAATATTGTATACAGATTGGCAAAAAGTGAAATAGTGAATTCAAACTATCATTCTGAATAAAAAATTAGTGGATTTTTTTTTCCGGAAAATTTCTAACTTTTTTTAAATAATAATATTTTATAGTGAAATACTATGAAATATCAAAAACTAACAATTATTAAATATTAAGTACAGTAATCGAATCCCCTATGACCCGGTAGATTCGTTCCGCGTTATTGGAAAACGCGTTGTAGGAGTATTTTAGTATAACGCGCTTGTAGGACCCCGTATAAGGCGTTATGTACAAATATTTAAAAAAAAAACTATGAAATGAACGAAATATTATATATATTATTATATGTTTTATTAAAATCTAAGAATATTTTAAATAAAAACTTATACATTATATATTATTTTTAGAACTAAAAAACAGTTAATTTAAAATTAATTAACAATTTTATTACATATTTATTCGTTATCGGAGCTATTTAAAATAACGTTCCATCGATATTTTTTTTTAAAAAATATTTAATCCCCACGTTATATGGGGAAATACCCGTGTTATACGAGGGACTGTAATCGTGTAATATGAAAATTTATTATATAAGAGTACCCTGTTATAGGGGAAATTACTGTAGTAAAATCCTACCGCGACGCAGGGAATCAGCTGTGTAAAATCAACGCAACAAGCGTACGAAATTACCTACGAAAAAGCGTGCCCTGTAGGTATCACGCGTCGTGTAGGTCGTAAAATTTTAAATACATTGTACGGCGTAAAAACTAATAATAATTAATTATATGGCTGTGGTGTATTTTCAGTAGGAAAATAATCTGCCACCTGATTCAGATCATATATCTGAATCAACAGTTTTCGTTTTGGGCAACCTGTCCCATACACCCTGTATAGATGTCCCCTTGTTGGAGCTGCCTTAGATTAAGAAAATAATTAAGATTAAATCAAAGAATTTAGAGTACCTTACACATACTACACCAGTGATATAAACAGCGCCCAATACTTACCTTGAGCGTGACGTTTTTCATATATTCGGTGTTGTGTTGGAGCGGCGAGGAACGTACTCGCCGAAGCTCACCCTTAAGTAGTTCACTTAGCTGTGACAGTCGCGCGCATTCTCGCTCCGATTCTGACAGCAACATGGTCACATGTTTCACCCTGCAGGATAACAAAGAGATTTAAAATAAATGTTTCAGGATTCTTTCTTGATCTTATGGTTTTATAAGATCAAAATTTTGTTACATATTCATATATATATGTAGATGGCAGACAGTTGGTAGATACTATTGTACATGTCAGAATGTTACATAAAGACCAGTAGTTGTTCTGACACTATTGCAATTTGATAAATATAGACTAAAATATAGCAACTATTTGAACCTTTGCTGTTGAGCTTGTAGCCTACGCCTGAGATCGCCAAGTTCTTGGTCTGGTGTGAGAGCGAGCGAAGCCGAGTCGAGGGCCTCGTCATCTGGTACACCTTCCTCGAGTAGTCTCTCCAGTGGCACTGGTGAGCGTCCACTACCAGCGCTTAGGTACGCCTTCGACGGCGGTGGAGATGGAGCTGACTCAGATCCCTAAATCGGTATGATATTATTTTAATATGTATACCTATTTAGAGAATCTCAATAAATACTAATTAAAATTGTGTTCCAAAAAAAAAAGACTTCAATTATAACGAAACCAGTTATTTTGATTATTAATAATAATATTAAATAATTTTTATTCAAGTAAACTTAATAATAAGCATTTTTGAAATGTTATTTTTTTATGAAGTTAGAAATTTTCTTACAGGAAAAATACTGTATTATTTCACATATAACTAAGCAGCGGAAACAAATAAATAAAAATCAGTTTTAAAATGAACATATAAAGCATTTTCATATGATAAACCATCTGGACTAGTTGGTCAATTTTAAAATTTTGAGTAGTTCTTTTGGAACTTAGTAAAGAAAATAGCAATACGTATGGGCGAACAATATGTAAAAGTATTCGAAATTTCATATCTATAACAGTAATGCTACATATAACGCTGTGAAGAATTGACGGACGGACGGACGGATGGACAAAATCGCACCTTACGAGTTCTTTTGTAACTTTTTGGTACGGAATCCTAAAATGAATTCAGTAGATGACGCTATGGAGGGCAAACTGTTTGTTCTGTCTGCTAGAAACAATATATTTGAAATCTAACCTCAACTGTTATCAATTACTTCAATATTTATTATAAATATGATAATATTATTTCTTATCTCTTGATATATTAACAGCACCATGAAATTTAGTATAGCTGCACAGTATTTGATTTGCAGAACGACATATTATAGATATGCAAAATATTTTCTATAACACTCTAAATATTAATCATATTGCATGACACATATACTGTACATAGCACCCTAGCACCGCTCGCCATCGACAGGGAATTCATCCTCACACGCCAAGACTAAAATGGTCACGTACAGTGCGGTTTCAAAGGAGTTTTACGTAAACGCTCAGGCTGTGAAATAAGCTCCCTGCATCGAAAAGGGTGTATTAAGATTTTTTCAAGTTAGCAACGTGCCATTCCTGGTGTTCCAGGCGTCCATAGTCTAGTGGCCGTTTACGGGCTGAATGCTTATTTCCTACCGTTGCGGTATAAAATAAAAATAAAAATTATTACATACCTCGCCTTCTTCTCTTGGTATCATGGAGACATTGATATCCATTTCACCGTCACTGTTCTCTTCTTTCGGTATAACTGGTAGTAAATATTGGTCATGATTAGATTCGTTCGTCGCCGCACCCGCCTGGCCGACTTTGTTGTTTTCTTGCGCGGCCAGCAACTGTTTCCTCAGGGCTTCCGTATCTCTTTGCATTTTAGCTTCTAGTTCATTTATTTGTGATTTATAGCATTGGGTAAGCGTTGCGACCTTTAGAATAAAAATAGGTATAATTAAGTACACAGTAATAAAAGGATTTTGTAAAACCATAGTAGAAAATTGCATTGTAATTACCAAATTTGAATATTTAATCAAAACGCTGCACGGTATCAACTTGTCAACGTGTCATCATGGCAGTGTAAATGCAGTAATAACTTTACCTGCATTTTACGTATAGACCGGCAGGGCATAACGAGGGATGATAGATGAACATGATGTTAACCCATCGTGATTAATTCACCAGAAATTAATTACAACTGTTTCATCACGTCGACCTGCTGCTAAATGTATATTGCTAATAATGGTGGCCTCATTACTAACTACTTTCTCTTCTATAAACATGTTTTAAGTCGTCGAAAATATGACTTAATTCCATTTAAAGAAAAATAAGTTAAATTGATGTGACATTACTGGATTTGATTGGTTGTGTTTCACAGTCATCATGCAACAATCAATCAACATTCTCAATCTTTTCTCGAGTAGATCGATTCAGAAGACTCATAAAGCCTATACAGTAATCGTTTAAAAGGCGTATAGCAAGAGATAATGGACTACATATACTCTGTATGAATATCATGAAGGATTTTTTCAATTCAAAACGAGTCAAATTTCGATGTGGTTTACCTGTAGTTTCTGGTGGTCACGTTCGGTATCGAGCTGGTGTGCGAGGCGCGTGAGGTCGGCGTGCAGGCGGGCGGCCCGCTGCTGCGCACGCGCCGCCTCCGCCGCCGCGTCGGCCGCGTGCCGCGAGCTCGCCTCCGCTGCCGCGTGCTCCGACGCACACTGTTCCCTGTACACACGTTCATTAGATACTTATCTTATTTTTCGGATATGGGGTCAGCTAAGCCGATACACGTCGACCCATACGGATCTTATGTGCTTCTCCCTGCCTTATACCATCATTTCATAGATCCTATGTGTTACCCTAACGATATCCCGCGGTTTAAGATATCTGTAGTCTCCTGGTTCTGGATAAGCCGATCCCAGTAGACTCATACGCATACTTGCCAACGAATCGCAGTTGCACATCAAGTGTTCCATGGATTCCGATTTCTCCCCACACAGTCTGCACAGTGTGTCCGAAGATTAGGTACTTACTAACCTAGTCATTTTGTAAGGGGCGAAAGGGATTGTTAGTAATGGAGTCTAACTGGCCTATTACCAGCAATATACCCTATGAGATCGACCTCCACGTGGTTCCCCTGGAAACCATTGTGGTTAATTCTAGTGGAATTCGTCACGATGAAATAACTGATCTGCTTTAATCGTCACCAATCATCCTTCATTGGTGCCCCACCAGCGTATGCGCAGACGGGGTTATCATTCCGTTATCACCCATTAAAAAAAAAGTCGTTATGTAATACAGACAAAAAATAACTTTTAATAAAAAATATAAGCTTTTACTCGAAGTTGCGAAAAAAAAAAAACAATGTCCTATTATTTCTAATATTAATATTGTAATACGAGTTATATAATCGAAACACACTTACAAGGCAGCTGTCAATTTGGCGTTTAAGGTCTCTAACTGGGTCTTCAGAACAGCAGCTTCCTCCTTCAACTGCTCCTCCTGGCTGTGGTCTACAGTTTGATTTTGTCGTAAAACCGCCTGAGCTCTCACCTACACAAATATAATAAAATATATATTCACACCGTAGCTGCTTATATAACATTTGATACTCAGATTCACGTTACTTCGATTAATTTAAGTTTTTTCATTCGTTTTGGGGTAGGTACCTTAATAATATGGTTTTAACTGTATAATTTATAGGATACCTTCTGTTGACTTAACAAGTAGGTACAACAAGGGTTTTAATAAAACTGATATAACCAAAAATTATTCATTGTTACCTTATAACTAGTGTATTCAGTTTTTAAATCTGCCAATTCAATGTTTGTAATCCTCAAATTTTCATTTAATTCGGCACATTTAAATTCTAGTCTCTTAACTTTGTTATTTAACTCTGCTTTGTCTTCACCCAAACTCATAATAATCTTTTCCTTTTCACTTATCAATGATGTCATTTCTAGATCAGATTCTTCATTCTTCCTTTTTTCATCTTCAAGATCCAATTCTAATTTCGATATGATGCCATTTTTAGTTTGTATTATATTATCTTTCTCTCTAGCTTCATCGACAGCATGTTGCAGTTCTTCTCTAATAAGTCTATTTTGTGTTTCTTCTGTTTTTATCTGTTCTTCAAGTAATTTGATTTGAGTCTTCATTGATGTGATGGTTCCTTCTTGTGTGTCTATTGTAGATTCCATCTGAAAATATTATAATTATGACTATAAAAAACTGCAGAGTGGATATATTTGTATAAAATGTGTAATTGTTTCCCAGCAAATTTATGCCTCTGGAACACAATTAATTCCTTGAAATTTCTGGAAATTCTGTCTACGTCAGATGTTATCACACTATACTATATAAAAAACCTCAGTACATAATTTCATGTTTCTAGAACCGTCAGTCACGTCTGAGTAAATTTATTACTGCTTCACATATAATTCTTAGACCTCAAATAAGATTGTATTCATAGTTAATAGAATCAAATATCTTTAGTAAGTAGATTAGTGGTATTATTATTTTCAGTATTATATTCAGTAAAGTTAATTTTCTGCACAGAGCAAATAAAAACTTTATTTAATTAATGTCCGTTACCATATTAATAATAGAAATGATCTATTATCAGACAAAACATATACACGTACATACATATATTAGGTATACATATTTTAATGTGAGCAAAAAAAAAAAATAAATAACATTTAGATTATTGTTTATAACATAATTTTTATAGTAAGTAATTACCTGGACCATTTTTTTCTTCTTTTCTTCCATTTTACTTGTAAGTTCTTTCATAGATCTCTCATAATCCTCCATCTCAAGACTCAAAACATTTTTCTTTTTCGCATCTCGTCGAGCTTTCTCCAAATTATCTTTAGTGACTTTGTGAGCCTCAATCTCAACAGCCAATTGCTTGCATTTGTTATCTAATTCAACTGGGAAAAGGATAACATAATTTATATATCCAAATATATATGCTATCCTGCCAAAATAAACAATTAAATTTTGTGGACAAAAATTGAGAGGTAAACAGGCATTTCACTGTACTATGTCCATACTTAAACGTATTGGGGTGAAGGGTTTGTTAGTAATGTGGACAACCAGTCCACATTGCTAGCAACATACCCTGTTAGGTTTTTTTTCAATGGGTGATTATGGAATGGTAACCCTGCCTGCGCTAACGGTACTAGCAGGGCACCAATGAGGGATGACAGGTGAGGATGAAAAGACAAGTCAGTTAATTCATTGTGATGAATACACTTGGAATTCAGCACGATGGTTTCCAGGTGGGACCACATGGAGGGTGACCTGGTTGGGTATATTGCTAGTAATGGGGCCCTTAGTCTTCATTATTAACAATCCCTCCCCCCCTACTATGTCAGGTTTTTTTAATGGGTGATAATGGAATGGTAACCCCACCCGCGCTATCAGTATACACCGGCGGGGCACCAGTGAAGGATGATAGCTGAGGATGAAGCAGGTCAATTAGCCCATCGTGACGAATTCAATAAGAATTGTTCACGATGGTTTCCAGGGGGAACCACGTGGAGGTCGATCTATTAGGGCACATTGCTAGCAATGGGGCTGTCAAACTCCATTGCTAACAATACCTTTCCCTCTATCCTGTCAGGTTTTTTTTAATGGATGATAATGGAATGATAACCCCACCCACGTTATTGGTATACACCGACCGGGCACCAGTGAAGGATGATAAGTGAGGATGAAGTACGTTAGTTAGCCCATCGTGACGAATCAACAAGAATTGTTCACGATGGTTACCAGGTAGAACCACGTGGCGGTCGACCTAATAGGGCATATTGCTAATAATGGGGCTATCAAACTCCATTGCTAACAATTCTTTTCCCCCTGGCTTCATGTTCCATGGCTTCCAGACATCATGCTAAATTTCAGATGAACTCATTATGATGGGTCAACAGACCTGGCTTTTCATTTTCACCTATCATCGCTCAATGGCGCCCCGCCAGCGTATACCGCTAGCACAGACAGGGTTACCGTTCCACTAGCTTCCATTAACAGAAACTTAATCATATTATGCAGCAACAGATTTTTTTTATTATTATTTTTTTTAGTAATATTTATTTATTAAAATACCTTTCAATCTCTCTAATTCTGCAGCAGTTTCTTTAGAAGTTTCAATACTAGCAGTTAAGATCTTCACTTTATCTTGAAGTTTAATTATGTCCTCTTCTACTTTTATACTACTGTTGTCAACTTCATCAGTATCCTTTACTGGTTTAGTATGCTTTGTATTTACCTCATGAAGCAATTTCTCTATTTTTGCTTTATCCTGTTCTGAATTTTGCAATTGTGTTGTTGTTTCATTTAATTTCTTTTTCAGTTTTAATGCAAATATCCTTAATTTTGTGTATCTGTAAAAATAAAGTGAATATAAAAATTAAAAGTAGTTATTTTAAATCATTTTATCAAACATTTATTATAAATATAATTTTATACTTGTCTTCAAATGTTTCATCCAAATCTTTCATTCGCGAATGTTCCTCAGCTTTTGATATTGTAGACGTAGACATATCCTCATGAGGTAGTTCTACTGAAAATAAATTTATATATATTTGATAAGAATGATAACATATAGTTATATAGTGAAGAACTGAACAATTATCAATCTTAACAATATAATAACATACCAGGAGCAGACTGCTGTTGTTTAAGTTTTTCTATCTCATCTTTCAGTGATGTTATAATTGCCTCTTTTTCAATAAGTGACTTCATAGCATTATCTCTCTCATTAAGAATTTGCTCAGTGACTGCACTATTTTTATCAGTTTTTAATTCTGCTTTTTTCAAATCTTCCTGCAAATTTCCAATTTTTATAGTTAGATCATCTTTTTCTTGTTTCATATTATCTCTGTCTTTTTCTAATGTTTCTATTAGTCTTTCCATTTCAGCAATGGCTTTTTGTAATTTTGATATAGCCTCACCACGCTCCTTCAATACCTGATTAATTTCTTTCATTTCATTTAATAGTTCTGTATTCTCAGTTTTGTAACCTGATAATTTAGATTTAAAATCTTCATATTCAGTAGCTAAAGTATCAAACTCTTTAACTTTCATTCGTGATTCCTTAAGCTCCGTTAGAAGTGACGCATTTTCCTGTTTATAAGCAGCTAGCTTAGTTTCTAGCTTAACAATGTCCGCTTGTAAAGATACATTTAAATCTGATAAGTTATCACCATCTTCTTTTGGTTGTTCTAATGAAAGCTTAAGTGTTTCTACTTCTTCTTTTAAGAGCCCATTCAAATCTTGTAACCCTTCATGCTCTTTCTTAAGTATATCATATTGCTCTTGTAATAAATTGATTTGACATTTCAAGTTATTGACATCACTCTCTTTTTCAATTTTATTATTCTTTTCAATCGTAAATTTCTCCTGGGTCAATCGCTCAATATTTGATTTCAATGTCAAAATATCTGATTTCATTTTATCTAATTGATTTGTCAGAACTTTATTCTGACCTTCTAATTCTAAGACATTATCCCTTGCATTCAGTTTTTCTTTGACCAATATTGCCTTTTCACTTTCTAATGCCTTTATCTGCAACACCATACTTTCTGTAGTATCATCTTTAGCTTGATTTAATTTCATAGAATGTAAGATTTGATTTTCAGATTTTAAATTTTCTATCAATATGTGTAGATCACTATTTTCTTTAGAAGTATCTTCAAACTTTTTATTCATATCATGTACGAGATCTTTTAAATTTTTAATTTCATTTATTTGAGCTGGTATTACAGTGGTATTTAAATCGTTATAGTCTGTTTTTAATTTTATTATATCTTCATTTAGAATATAATTACTTTTTTGATAGTTATCAAGATGCTCTTTTGTCACAGATAATTCAGATTTTAAATCTTCAACTAATAATTGAAGTTTATTGTTTGTTAGTGTGATATCATGAACATTTTGAGTACTTTTATTCAACATATCTTTTAACTGTTTGTTTTCATTTAAATATTGTGGTAGCTCAAATTCATTTAGTTTCTTATAATCACATTTTAATTTCTCTAATTCTTCTTCCAGATTGTTTTTTATTTTTAAAGAATTATTTAAGTGCTGCTGTGAATCAAGTAATTCTAATTTTAAAACTTCATTATTTTTATTCAATTCTGTTACATGAGTATTCTTCATTTCAGTATCAAGTGCTTTATCAGATGGCAAGAGGTCTGCGAGTCTTTGCTCTAAAGATTGAAGTTTCTCTTTTAGTATTGCATTTTCATTATTTAACTCATTTATTTGATCATCTAAAAACTTTGACGCCTTTATTATATCATTTTGCCATTTTGGAATACTTTCAGAGTACTCTTTAACAGTTTTAGACAAAATGAATCTGGAGTTTTTAAGTTGATTAATACATGCTGCACATTTCAGTATTTTATCCTTATAAGTTCTCAGTTTAATATTTGCTTTTTCTTTCTTATTTTTTTCAGACTCATATAAGTTTGTAACCTCTTTCAATTTATTTTCGTAATCCAATATTTGGTTATTATTTTGTAAAGAGCCTTCCTTTAGTTCAAGTCTCCTTTCCAATTCCAAAATTTGGTTATTTAGTTTTTCAATTTGTTTTTTATAAGAATCATCTAAAATAAATTTAATATAAATTATTGCAGTAGTTAAGTAGAATTTTAAATAAATATCAACATAAGATCCAGAAATTACAATAAAGATTGTTGTTATTATAATAAATCTTATAAGTTTTAAATGATTTGTTTGTTTGTTACCTTATAGGGTCTTAGTGGCTTAATCAATCACTATGAAATTTGGTATACCCATACTAAATGAGTGGAGAAAGATATAGACTACTTTTTATCCTAGTCAGTAAACTTATCCCGATCATGTGGACGAAGTGACAGGTAAAAGGTAGTATTTTATAAATGTAGACAGTGAAGCAATGCCAATTTAAGGGGTCAAATTAAATGCATGTAAAAGAGTAATGTACCTGTTTGAACTCTCTCTTCTAATATTTTTAATTGCTCTCTTTGCTGTAAACCAATATTATTAAACTCAGTAGTTTTTGCTTCTAAATCAGTAAGTTGATTTATGAGTTGCTCATTTTCATCCAAGAGTCGTTTATTTTGCCTCTTGAGAGAAATAATTTCACTATCTAGATCAGATAGTTTTTGTGTAGCATCTGCCGCTTGTTTGTTTCTTATAATCAAATCTGCCTTATATTTATGTATCTCTTCTTCAAATTTCAAACATTTTCCATTAAGTAATTTTATTTGGCTTTGTGCTGAATCTACTTCAGTTATGTAATTAAGTTTCTGTTCAGTGAGAGAATCAACAAGTTCCTGTAATGTTTGTAAATTTTCCAAACTGGATTTTTTCTCTGACTCATACTTGTCAAGTTGTGCTTTATAATTTTCAATTTCTTCCTGTAAATCTGTAAATATACAAATGCACATTTTTTTAAATAATGGTAAAACATCCAGGTAATGGTGCCATATGAACATGAGGAAATCTAAATTATAAATAGTTTACTTATTTGCAAGATAGAGATTTTTCTGCTATGAAAATATATGTGTGTGTATGTGACATATTTAAATAACTATGATTGTGAGGGGGTTCAGAGAAATACACTGAGATGTGATATTGTGGATGTGAACAATGAATCCTACATTATTCTCCTCACTCCTAGCAAGGATTAGTATGCTAACAATGAACACTATGTCTTCATCATTTCTTCATACATTTTATATTTTTTAAATATGTAGCTCAAATTGATAATACAAAAGTTAAAACAAAATACTAAGAAATAAAAAATAAATTATACAATAGACATATAAAGAAATCGTTAGCTACCAGTTACCAACAGATATCGATGCCTAAATTTTGACCTTGTAAAATATTAGAATTATCACATATTTATGAGTCAAGTAGAATTTCAATAAGAATTTCTTATTATTGCTATTCTATAGTGTAATAAAATAAATTATAAAAATTTAATTTCTATTTACCAGTCTTTGCCTGTTTTGCTTTTTGAGCTATTGCAAGTAATCCTTTACATTTTTGAATTAGATCATCTCTATTTAAATCGTCAAATGGGCTCTTCTTGACCACACTATCTTGACTCTATAAAAAAGATTCAAAATTATTACTAGTTCCATGAAAATACGATTACATAGCATATAAAATTACAACATTTTAAATAAATAATATATACCATATTTTCAGGATGTTGATCCATTGCAAAATCACTTTCTTAAAAATGGGAAAAATTTAATTTTTCATCTTTATACATTTTAAGTATAACATTACAATATAATATCAGATTCTAAAAGTTCATAATATTATTATGAACTCTAATGAAAGAAACTGAAAAATTCACTTTTGCAAAAAAAATTAACTGGTAAACATATTCTTCCCAGTTTTGCTCGACTTGACGATCATATCACTCTGTAATCATATCACATCACGTCATTTCATTCAATTTTCGTTTTAGTTGTCAATGTCAACTGTCATTGAGTTGTCATGTCGTCGTCATGTCAACCTATCATTTTTCTAAACTTATCTCTAAAATAAAAAAAATAATTTCATATCACAGCGATATCTTTATTCTACGGCTCAATATGAACTAAATTACTAGTAGATTCACATTAATTAAAATTATTAAAAATGTAGTTTATGATGGGTTATAAAACAGTAATTTACAAAATTATCAATTTAAAATATTAGCTCAGGAGATAAGTTTAAAGAATTGACGTCTTAGAATAGGTCCCAATATTTATAATAACTAATGAAGTTTATACTTTATTTATAGTATCATTTAGTGGATCATTAAAATAACTATATCTGGAAATTATTATTTTAATCAAACAACCACGTGTTAGATATTTTCTATCTCTTGTAAACTTAGGCTTAAAATTCTCCATAGGCCATTTTAAAATTGACATGAATATTCAATGATATTTTATGTCTGTAGCAATTTAAACATACATATAATAATTAAAGCTATTTACAAATCGCCTATTTCACAATACAATGGATACAGTATAGAAGAATGTAGAACAAACAAAGGATTAATGGTAATTAACAGTCGCCTACGGTGATCGTCTACAGTGATCATTACCGATTGTCTTCAATTGCAATTTAGAATTGACTGAGAGAGACATCGCAACACTACATCATAGTGTAATATTGTAATGGCGGCTCTAGTCATCGCTATAGTCGTTTTAAGTGTGTGAATGTATTTAATGAATAGTTTCATACTTTTGTCTTTTACAGGTGTTAAATGTAGTTGAAATGTGATACAGATTTTGTGTTCTATTATTATTTAAAATAGACTGGTCGTCTAGTACACAGGTAATTCATTTGTATGCTTTCGTGTTGTAAATTTTTGTCGCAAACCTTTACGGGGCGCGTCCATGAGTAATATTGTGGATTGTGGTAGGTATATACTTTTTGCTTTTATTTAAAACACTAATCTTACTTGTACAGTTACCAGTTGTAATCATTTGCCCCAAATTATTTTGATGACAATGAATTACTTCGGTAGATACTCTTATCATAATTTATGTTTCCTAATAGTAACAGTTGACTAGGTATTTTGAAGATTACTAAAACTTCTAGCGTATGTGTTGGCTATTTATATTTACTTCAGATTATAAAATGACGTATGTGAAATAACGTATTCAAAACTTCATATGTAAGCAGAACGGGCGTAAAAGAGTCAACATGTCGAGTGATGAAGATAAACCTCCCGCGCCTCCGGTGCGTTTAACCAGCAACCGGGCCACAGACCGAGGGGATTCAGTAGCCTCTGTTGATATGAGGCCTTTGCCAAAAGGTAACAATAACTACATTGTAATAAGATGCTTTTTAATATTCATATTCCTAATATGAAAAGTTATATTCAAATTAGACACTTATTATGTTGTAAACATTGAATGTGTTGTGTAAATTATGTTTCTGTGCTTTTAATTGCAGAACCTGATGATGGGGGTGATAGAAAAAAGAAAACATTGAAAGCTAAAATAAAAGGTTCCAAAAGTACTGCACATAATGACAACAAGCCAAATATTAGCTATCCAACTAATTTTGAACATACAGTCCATGTTGGATTTGATGCCGTCACTGGAGAATTCACAGTAAGTGCTATCATTGTTTTAATCATTGACTTTAATGTAACATATATAAAATAATGTTTATTAAATTATGTAAACAACCTATTTTGATATGAAATTGTATCTTAGGAAAAACCCATGACACATACCCTTCACCTTAGTGCTTAAAATATTTCCCATATTAATTGGAATGAAACCATTGTAAAATCTTTTCATTAGTGGGTGTTTAGATAATCATTAAAGTTGAGATTCTTAAAATATCCAACATCAGTAATTAACCAATACTTTCAATTATATTACACTGATAATCAATAAATGGATATTAAGTATTAAATTTATAAAAAGCAAAACCTATTTATGTTATTATCATTTTCAAATAACAAAGTTCTAAGCATCATTTTAATATTTTTGTTAGATGTATATTTTTATGAATAAAACATTATAAATATTATTTTTATATTATTTCATAATGGCCTTATCTTTATATTTTCAAAGATACTAAGTGAATACTCACACAGTTTATTTTAGTTGTGTCTCATTTTTAACAAACTAGAAAGACAATTTAGAGAATGTTATATTGTAATTAAGCCTTACCTAGTACTGTATAATTCACACAAATCTTTGATTAAACATCTTAAGTGACAAATAATGTTATGTAGACATGTATTTCACAGTGAGACTAATAATAAATGGAAGAAAAACTATAAGTAAAATAGCTTTTTGCTTTTAAACAGAGCTTTAACGCTTTGCTTATTTTTAAAAATGGTATATTAATACTTGGTTTTATTTTGTTTATTATATCCATTGGCTTATTTATTACACAAAAGAGAAAACATATGATATGTGTCCTGTGGTAGATGCAAGAATTCACAACTGACTTTTTATATATTTTTTTTATTATCCCTCCATCAGATTATATTAATAATATTTAACAGGACCTTAAAGCATGTCTAAACTTAGAGTATGATTTAGATTAAAAATATTCCTGTCTCTGCCAGTTTATAAATATGCCAGTAAATAATATAAAATATAAACGGTATTAAACATATACATACTCAAGCACTGTCGTCTGAATATTATGACAATTTAGTTGTAGCATATTAAAATGTACTAAATGTTATTTAAAATAAATATGTCAATGTTATGGTAATGAGTATATTTTGAAGTCATGTAATGAGTTCCATGTATTACCGCTTTTGTTTCAAGCTGCCTATGACAGTAAGTAATAGCTTGTATTATTACAACATGCTCCTTCATTTTATAGACAATGTGAATGACTAGGAGACATGAATATATTATTGTTTATTTTATATGGCTTATTTCCTTATTGTAAAGAGTTCAATTAATCGCAATGTATTAACTAATATAATGCATTATTGTGTGGCATGCTCTCTACATTTATTGTATCAGTTTAGCCATAAATCTAGTGTTTTATTTTGATTGATGTACTTATCCTATTGTTGATCTTATAAATTTCTATTTTAATATCTTTATCATTTAACATGTATTATTGTATTGTTATAAATATATAAATTAGTTTAAATATTATTTATTTATACAATATAATATATTAAAAAAAAAATGTATTTTTTGTAGTTAAAAATTATAAGAATACAGTTTAAGAAATATTATTATTATCAACATTTAAAACCAATTTGAATAATTTAAATTATTCTTATCATTTTGATGTTGAATATTTAATTATTTATTATTATTTATTTCATCAGGGACTTTAAGCATGACTTCCAATATTAACAATACTACCAAAATTGATCTTCTTATCCCACAAATGTCATTTCTGTTTCAATATTGCATGAGATAGAGATGACATTGTTACATGTTCACATTCAAAAAACTTTGGTTGTAATCTTGAAATTATTTGTCCATTATAGGGCATGCCAGAAGCATGGGCGCGGCTTTTGATGGCTTCAAATATTAGCAAACAAGAACAGAAGAGCAATCCACAAGCAGTTTTAGATGTACTAAAGTGGTATGATGCATCTGCAACACAGCCACCACCTTCCAAGTATATGACTTCAGCCCAGATGCATACAACTCATTCAGGTATATATTGGAAGTCACCCTTATATAGTAAAATCCTAAGTAACTATGTTGTCAAATTAATATTTAGACACAAATATATAATTAGAGCAATAATAAATGACAATTATAGCTTGATTTGTACATTAATAATCATATTTTATTATTTTAAAAATTTTATTACAAAATGATAATGTAAATTACTACTTATTTTTAGTTCAGAAAAAATCAGAAGATTCTTAATATAACTATATGTTTGCGTGTAAGTTATGTATTTGCCAATTGTGAGTTCATTATGATTATTTTTCGGTAATTAAAAGCTGAGTCGCAATAAAAACAGACTTCAAATGTGACAAACAAAAACTAATCTACTGAACCGATTTTGATAAAATTTTAATAGGACTAATTTGGCCTTGGCTTGACTATTTTGGCTTCTTTTGGCCGAAACTAAGACCAAGGCTGAAACTTCAGTTTCGGTTTTGGCTTTTAAGTTATTTTGTGAAAGTAATATTAAATTAATTATATTGATTTTAATTTAAGCCTTATACTTTCTTTCGGGGGCAGGTTCCTCTGTGTCGCGCGTATCTTCTAGTAGTCCATCATCCTCTACGCCCACTGATACGGAGCATCCCGAGCCACCGCCACCACCTCCCTCGCGACCCGATCGCACTAAGAGTATTGTAAGTACATTTTATTGTCTTATAATTTTGTATAAATTGTGTTTGTATGGTATAAGTGATGACATCTCTATTTTATTTAGTATACCAAACCTATAGAAGAGGAGGAGCCTACGCCCCGACCTATACAAGCGAGTGCCTCGCCTCCGCATGTGCCGCATCCCACACATACAACACATTCGGTTAGTGAAAGTTTGTTGTTATCAATATTTAAAGTTTGGCCTATTTCAGGCAAACCTCTGTTCATTACTAGTTGTATTGTGCTCGTCCTTTTTTAAACTTTGCTGTGTCAGGAATTTTAGAATATTCTTAGCACTGATGTGTGTTAATTATCTCTTCAGTAGATATATTGTTTATGTATGAGTGAGCTGCATCAACATGTCCATAAGCATGTTGTTATATTTACCAAAACTATCACTATTGAGACATAGATATAGTTAATCATAAATATTGAAGAAAGGTATTTCTGTTGTCAGATATGCAGCAGAGCGGAAGTGGGCAGTGGGCCACTGCCGCTGGACCGCAACAAGAACCCCGCATCGCTGGCACCCGCGACTCCGCCCGCGCCCCTCGCACCCCTTGCGCCTCTCGCGCCACCCGCCAATGGCGCACAGACCAATACCGAAACCGGGTAAATATCGTATAAATTGTAATAAATTAATATCAGAATAAATATGAATAGCAATAACTTCATGAAAACTATTGTTTACAAGAATAGTACATATGATTCTTTTTCTATTTTGACTAAGTCCTTGAGTAATTTTGTTTCTGTTGTAGAATAGTGTGTATGGCTAAATACTTTTATTGAACTGCATTTGTTAAGCAAATCAAATAAAATTGTATTGTTTTCAGTCTGTAAAATTTAACCTATTCTAAGATAAAATCTTTGAACACCTTACGTGACTTATTTATTTACCATTGTTTAAATTTATATTTTGTTACAGAAGAGCAACTGGTCAGCAACAAAGGAAAAAGAAAATGTCAGATGAAGAAATTTTAGAAAAATTAAGAACTATAGTCAGTGTGGGTGATCCAAATAGGAAGTATACTAAAATGGAAAAGATTGGTCAGGGGTAAGTGAAACCAGATTTACTGTTCCAACATAACCTTTATTCCGCATGCAGTTTCTTTTGAGGATAGTAGTCAAATACATTGTCATTGAGACCATTCTGTAGCACTGTGCTCTAAACTTAACTCTAAAATTAAAATTTAATATCACAACATAATTTTTATTCTAAGGATCAATATGAGCTAAATGTCTAATAATTTTGACTAAAAGAAATTAAGTTTACATTAAATTAAAATATTAAATGAACAAATTTTCAATAATTCTCAAAGTTTCAGATTGCACATCTACACTAATATTATAAAGAGGAAAGATTTGTATTTTTATGTGTATATATGTTTGTAATGAATAAATTAAAAAACTACTTTGCCGATTTTTAAAAATACTTTCACCATTAGAAAGCTACCTTGAGTAACATAGGCTATATATATTGCTAGAAAAGATTAGGGATCCTTACTAAAACTTTAGTAACCGTAACTCAAGGTTTAAAAAATGCTATAAAATATCTTTCGTCGCGTGCGCTGCGGAAACTATTGGGGATAGAACAAAAGTATATTCTACAATATTGAAAAAAATATCAATAACTACAAAAAAACTTGGCGATACTATATGTCCAACTATTATCATTATGTCACAATAAGCACTTTTATAAAATGTTGTAAAAATGTCGAACCATGCGAAGCCGGGACGGGCCGCTAGTGTTGTATATAGTAAGTACTTATTTAGATCTACTTACTGGAAATTTACTTTGACAACTTTTTTTGGGGTTGGTGCAGGTTATAGATTTGGTCATTTTCAGCATTTATCATTCAAAACAACCTTCTACACCTTACAGTATTTAGGATACACTACTATTTTCTCTAATTAGTAAACATAATTAGAGCATTGTTGCCTTATATTATTAGTAGTGGCAACATTCTATAAATCCAAACTATTGTTCAATGTGCAACAGTTTTTACTATCAAACAGTTAGGCTGTTGGCTTATTTACTATTCCTAGTGAATTACTTTTAAACAAGTTGCATATTGTGTTTATATAATTATTGTTGTGTTGATGGAGTAAGAATACATCACTCCTTTTCATCCTCAAGATGTTATAAAAGATAAGTCAGAGAACAAATCCCTGTACACCAGCATAGGAAAAGGAAAACTGGATATAAACCCTGTATAGAAAATCCTAGCCCCGCATGTTAATAGTAGGTTATGTTCTCTCATGGGAAGGCACTCATGCACAACTGAAGGATGTTAATATTATTTAAGTTAGGAAGCCAACCTGGGAGTCGCAATATCAAACGTCTATATCTGCGGGTAAAGGTATCCCTGACGAATTGACGCCAACCTAATATACAGACATTCCCTATGAGACTGGCATATTCACCCAAGTGTATTGATATCTCAAGAGAAAATAGAGAAAAAAAAGTTGAAAGAATTTATTATTTCACTTTTTTAAAATGTACTTTTCCTTTTTCTGACAGTGCATCAGGCACAGTGTATACGGCAATCGAGACTTCAACTGGCATGGAAGTGGCGATCAAACAGATGAATCTTAGTCAGCAACCAAAGAAGGAATTGATCATCAATGAAATCCTCGTCATGCGGGAGAATAAACACAACAATGTGGTTAACTATCTTGATAGCTATCTTGTTAATGAGGTATGTTTATTAATAACTTCGATCAATAATATTTATTTTTTTGCACTTAGCTATTAGAAGATGAAAAAATACGCGCTTTATACAAATATTACGAGCTCCCACGATAGGGCGTAATATTAACGGACTAATACAGTCATAGCTATATATATTATAAGTATTGTGATTTATGTAAAGCAGGTTTATAATCTCCTTGTGTCCTCTAAATATTAGTAATCTGTCAAAAGTCGTTATTTCATCATCATATCAGCCTTTAACTGTCCACTGCTGAACATAAGCTTCTCCCTTGGGTGGTTTTGCTAGTAGTATTGGGCGCCGGATTGGCAACTGCAATTAGGTTTTGGAGATGTTTTAAGAGGGATGCTGCTGCCCATCCCTCGCCTTCACTTAGTCGCTTCTTATGATGACACCCACGGGAAAGGAAAGGGTGACCTATTCTATGCCGGGACCAGACGGTATGGCACCATAAAAGTCGTTATTTAGAAGTGTATAATGTAGTGCATATCTATCGTCTCCAAATCTGGCCATATATCCAACATTTTCATTCAATATGGCTATCTCATTTACAAGTAAAAACTTTGCTATTCAAATATGTATACTTGTTTTCAGGAATTATGGGTGGTGATGGAGTACCTAGCGGGCGGTTCACTAACAGACGTGGTGACCGAGACATGTATGGACGAGGGGCAGATCGCAGCCGTATGTCGCGAAGTGTTACAAGCGCTCCACTTTCTTCATACAAATCATGTTATACATAGAGATATCAAGTCGGATAATATCTTGCTCGGGCTGGATGGTCAAGTTAAATTAAGTACGTAGATTTTTTAAGGTTTAATATGTGTGTGTTAATTAGTCACCCAATGTTGTAGTCTAATTGCTCCTACATTGCAGTAGATTGATAAGATCTGGCATTGCAATAATAAAATTTATATGATAACTCGAAACTCAGTGATAGTAATATTTATAAAATGAATGATTAAGTATATACTTATTTCAAGGCTTATATTATCATGACGTGCATATTTTTGATATTTACATTGACAAAAAATGTATAAAAATATATGATGTACCGTGGTATAAAAAAAAAGATGCCCTACTAAAAAATGGAGGGCTTAGCATTTTTATTTCTTTATTAAATTCACTAATAGTATAAGTTTATTTACCAGTTCCTTACAATTTTACTGATATAATAAAATTGTATCAAGATGATGTCTGTACATGAAAGATAAGAAAAATGAATATGAGGGGTCTTAACAAGATCAATAGATGCGAAACAATAATTGTAAGCGATATGTTTGTTCCGGCATCATGCAAAATCTATTGCATCATATTGGATGTAGTTTTCACAATTTTACTCCTAAAGATCTTATTTAAAAACTGCGGGTCTACCATGAAATGAAATTCCGAAATTTTGGACTCAATTTCGTGTTTTTGTTTATACCAAAATTGGACCAATAAATGGAGTTTAACATTTCGTTTATCATACATCCTATTATAAAAGTCCAAAGAAACAATATTTTTACATTTTTAATATCTCCAAACGGCATAAATTATATAATTTTAACATCAAATTTGTTTTTCGTTTGTCTCCGAAATTTCGGAAAACATTTCATGGTAGGCCCTCTGGTGTATGTTTTTATCTTGATACACCATTTAAAAATGGTTTTCCTACTTCTAAAATTAACGCATATAAAGTAGCTGACAAAAACTATTCTCAATAAACTCGTTTATAAATTAACAGATTTGCTTAGCCTAGTTATAAAAAACAGCTCATATTGACTATTTTAAATCTATTTCAGCCGATTTTGGATTCTGCGCGCAAATATCTCCCGAGCAAAATAAAAGAACAACAATGGTCGGAACACCTTATTGGATGGCACCAGAGGTGGTTACAAGAAAGCAATATGGCCCAAAAGTAAGTTTTTTGTATCATACTTATATTATAAATGCCAAAAATGAGTTTGTTTCAATCAGTGTGCATTTTCATATACATATACTATATATATAGTATTGAAAATACACATGGAATGAAGGACATATGCTATTTTAATCATTTCATGCAGATGAAGTCGCGATTAAAAGTTTGTAATCCAAAATTAACAGGTTACATCAGAGTAGTTGAGGTGGGTTAAGAATTGATAATGGTGACCCTTGTGTGTGATGTAGTGATTTAACATACTGCCTTACTTTTAAACAGTCACTGGTTCGATCACTACATAATACAATTATTTGTATTCATGAGTATACCTGTTGGTATTGTTCTGGGTGATTATTGTTTTTGGATTTTGGAAGATATCTCAAAATTTTTTTAATGTAATATATACCTAGATTATGTAAGCCGTGTGGTTCCGGCATAGAACGGGTCACCCTTTCTTTTTCTATGGGTGTCGTAAAAGGCGTTTAAGGGAACTAAATGGACGAGGAATGACCAGCATCGTTTCTCTTAAAACATCACTAAAGCCTAACTACAGTTGCCAACCCGTCCGCCAAGCATGGTAACTGCTGGCAAACCAATATGACGGAGGGACTATATTCAGCAGCTAATAGCTGATATAATAATAATAATTATGTTACTACCTGATAATGTAACTTTGTAATTTTCAAAATCAGTTGAGCAATTTTTTAGTTTTAAACATATATAACCTTTCATATTTATTATGTATATTTTTAATTAATTCCAGGTGGATGTATGGTCATTGGGCATAATGGCGATAGAGATGATAGAGGGTGAACCGCCGTATCTAAACGAAAACCCGCTGCGTGCTCTATACCTAATCGCTACTAATGGCAAACCCGACATCAAGGACAAAGAGAAGCTCAGTCCGGTCTTCCAGGACTTTCTCGACCAGTGCCTTGAGGTGGACGTCGAACGACGCGCCACTGCACTCGACCTACTCAAGGTATGAGATAATTATTTGAGACATACTTTTTAGTATTATTTTATTATTATATTTTTCGTATTGTATATATGTGTCAAAAACCTAAGACTAGCATGACTCGTATTGTTATTCTTAAATGATACACTCGCTAATGACCAACGTTCAAATTTTATTGATTTACATGAAGTAAAAAATAAATGTATTTCTTCAGCACCCGTTCCTGAAGTTGGCGCGACCATTGGCGTCGCTGACACCGCTAATAATGGCGGCGAAGGAGGCCGCCAAGGGGCATTAGCGGCGGCCGCCGGCGCCTCCCGCCGCGCCGCGCCGCTAGCGCCCCCGCGCCCCTCGCGCCCCAGCGCCCCCTAGTGCCTACAACACTTATGTGTACTTCGTGTGCGTAACATACACTCCATTATACATACTAGAATGCTATGGCCCTGACGACACTCCGGTGACGTACATTAAGTATCAAACTCTATCGTCGATTAGCATCGTATGAGTATTACGATCGAGCCGACGAGTGTGCGACGCGGAGAATCGTAATGAGCATGCATCGATTACAGAGCAATATTTTATCTGTGTAAAACGGCTGCCGATGAATATAATAGAAGTAACCATATTTTTACAAGAAAGAGATTAATAGAAACGCAGTCCAGTAACTATAAAAACTGTAGTATCGTTTAGTAGCGTTATTTATTCTAATTAGCGACGTAATCTCTTATTGACGTGTTTCATTCGACTGTTTATTCTATAAGCAAAAGTCGAATAGAGGTATAGATAATACTAGAAACTAGATACGAATTTTAAATTTTAACGTTACAGCTGCAAACGAAGACTGGCAGTTAATGTTTAGGTGACCTTGTAAAGTATAAATAGTAGAATACATTAGGTCCATTATTTTAGTACTGACTCAGCTTACTCACTGTGATGGTAGGATGGTAGCTGTGCAGGCAGTTAGGTGGAAACACATCAATTCGAGCCGAGTGATTCGCGCGTATCGCTCTCTACCGAGCTCATACGTGGTCGGCGAGGTATCGATTATTGATTGTATTATCATTGGCAAATGGAGTTTTTTATTTGCATTCATTAAATTATTACATTTTGTGTCTTACTATTATTGAAATGAGTTTAAATATTTTTATGTTGATGATTTAAATAGTACGAACTGATTTTATATTAATTATTATGAATGAGTGAATATTTTAAATAAACGTTAATTTAACATATGATACATAGGAACAGTTGGCCTGTTTGCTTACATGCTTTCGATAGTTACTAGTTAGGTTTATGTGTAACTGTTAATTTATTGAAATCGCTTATTACTTGTAATTACAATATTATGATTTGAGATTATTATTATTATTATTGATGTGGTTTACTTTATTTTCAAAATTTAGTTATTTTTTTATGACGAAATATTTCATGATGCTTACTGTCAATATTGTAATGTAAACATCAATACATAACTAGTTTGATTGCTTTGTGAAACTTGATGTTGGTACGTATCATTTATTGTTAGTCATGGAAGTGGAGCATTTACATAGTATTAAGTTTATAAAGTTTATTGGAATGATGATGCATAGCAAATTAATTTTCTTTTGTGGCACAAACAATAGCATTTATAAGAGTTTAATAAAAAAAAAAAGTACTAGAATTGTGTTAGGTTTTCACCAGTCAAATATATGGTCACGTAAGATTTTTACGGATTTTATCGTCTGTATTCACCCATATGTCTTGGTCAGTCTTTTTCGTAAATAGATCAAGACATTGGATGTATAGTAAATATTTCAGAAACTGCATATTCGTACCACATTTCTTAAATGGTATTAGGCAAATGGTTTTGCTATTAACCTATACTATACTAGGTATCCTGGCTATGGACCCTTCATGATACAGGATAGGAATTCATGAAATGTTGTATTATTCGAGATGCAATAATTGAATTTTTTATTTTTCTTTGCAAGGAATTTAAAAAAAAAATACAAATAAAACCCGTTTAAATCTTAATTAAATTAAAAACAATGTTTTCCGTTATTAATACTGTATAAAAATTAACGATATATTTAGATAGATCATTTAATATCATTCAGCATACATTTATGACAATAGTAGCCAACTAAGCATTCAACAATAACGATTTATTCATATTATACATTAACACATAAAAGTATTTTAAATTAATTTTGTGGACTTGTAACTGTCCGCATGCTTTTATTATTTAGGTTGTGCCAACAGATGCTGTTAAATTTCGTTTTAAATTGCATATGTATAGTGTATTCACTATGGATGGTGTGATTGCGGTGTGAATATGGGTGAAGTATGCTGCGAGTTGGAGAATTGCAAACTCCTCTGATGAACTGTAAACCTTCAGAGTGTGGGCGTGTTGCTGACGCAAGTAGTTCAAATGTACACTATATACTCGTATATGCCGCTACGTACATTCGAACTAAAAACCGCGTTTGGTTAATACACTCAATGCACTTATAACATAGGTAAATAAACATAAATAGCACGATACGTAAATCAGCATATAATATTACATTCTTTAAATTTTTGTTTTCTTATGTAACATATTTCATTTACTTCCAATACTATATCTATTCATAACCATATCATGTTTCTACTATATTTATGTTAGTAGTTCTTTCACCACTGAACGTAAAAACGCTAAGACCACAGCACATGCACCATTGCACTCTGAAGGGCCACACTATATTGTACAGACACAAGTTAGAAAAGAGTAGTTTACTTGTTGACAATATGAAATGACCAATTAACGCTATGTAGACAGATTCCGTTCAGTTGTTCCAGGTTGGTGCAATAAAATTATATTATTTACTTTGTGTTATGAAGTGATACTATGGTATTTAGAAATGAACTGCAAATATCAGGTGGCTTAAAACAGTAAGATGAAACAGAATAATTTATAACCTTATTACGAAACCCATCCATTTATAATTAGTTTTAAATAATGAATTAATATATCAGTAATTAATATAAATTCTGCAGCAAACCAATATATTTTTATGGAAAGAGTGGTTTTTTGAACTTTAATTTATTTGCAGAACATTTTTAACGTCACATACATTTGATAGATCGGATAACCAATTTAAATTAAGGATCATTTCCAGCAAATTGCTCGCGTTCGACAAGATGTAGACGCAGACGATCACCAAGTCTACTCTTAAATCTAATATCAATGTCAATCCAATCTGTTGCCAATGACTATTTTATAAACAAAAGTTTGGAAAAAAAAAACAGCTGAAGAAATGCAGTAAGTTATAAGGTCTCAGGGATTCTTAAGTTATTAAACAACAAGCCTAAGGGATGAGATATACTCATCTACACTGATTGCAGACAACAGGCAAGATTCATAATGGACGCCTTAACTGAACATATGCCAGTAAGGCATATATGAGTATTATACGAAATGGCTTTATGTTCGAATATACTGAGCAGTGAGGAATCAGAACCCATGTAACACCTGTTGTGCAAATGTGATTCCTTGGCAGGTATGCGTATGAGTCTACTGGGAACGGCTTATCACAAGCTAAGAGACTATAAATATCTTAAACTTTAGGTTATCACAAAGGTAACACATAGGGTCTCTAAAATTATAGTATAAGGCAGGTGAAAGTACAAAAGTTCCCAAAGGATCGACGTGCAGCGGCTTAGCTGATCCCATAACACAAATAAAAGATAACATTTTGAATTTTTAGTTATTGAAAATAGGTGAAATTGTCGTAGTATTGTTGGTCACTTACGCTTTTGCACCAACAAATTAATATTTCTTCTAAATCCACGTTTTTGAGTGACGTCTGCAGCCCGTGCACTTTAGGAAATGAGTGGTGCCGCCCGGTCACAGCTTCGACCGCAGACTATGATAACAGAAAGGATCTGTAATATCGTTTAAATATTGTAAAATCCGATCCGATGAGCCGTTTGCTGGAAATAATTTTTTAATGGTGATATTATTAAGGGTACGACAGGTAATGTCTGGCAAATGGTATCTTGATTGTGTTCTGTTGAGATGCGGCCTAAATTCTAATTTTATTTTACTGTAAGTTGACAAAATTTATATAATTTTACTATGGCCTATCAGATGTGCAGAACAACTAAAGATGCACCAACCCTAACAAAATACTTGTGCAATATTGTAGAAATGTAAAAACTATAGCCAAATCTTTATGAGAGCTTGAACAAAGTTATTCAGTATCTAAATATTGTATGAAGTGTATTAACTATGTGATCATGAAAATGAATTTGAGTATGCGTTAGCGTATGTTAAGAGGAGAATAACTGTAATTATGAACATAGTCCTAAGTTGAAAATGTATTAATACATGTAATAGGATATTGTACAAGACATATAATGCGGTTAGAACATTTTTTCATGAATTTTCTCAGTTGTAAAACACCAGTGCCATGTATGAGCAACTTGTGCATATAAATTACAACCATACTATAATAAAAGACTCACCATGAATATTTCGTTGTTTCATTGAACTCTCTTGTTGGTAACTGACCATAAAACGTTTATAAAAGACTAGTTTTTACTCGCAACTTTTTTGGCGTAATTAGGACACATGTCCATTGACTAATACATAAAGTACCCTATGTCCTTCTCCATTTAATATAATGCGTATATACCAAATTATAATTAAGTCCGTAAGTGGTAACAAACAAACAAATAGACTTTCACATTTATAATATTTGTAAAACAAATTGTCATCATCATATAAATGATTGTGTTATCAAAAGTTAACACAATCATTTATAGGTCATCATGTATCAATTATTAGGTTTTTATTACCACGTACCAAATTTAATATTCTATAAATAACATTTTGTACTGATTTATTTATTGCTTCAAGTGTTATACTAATTTATTGTAGGTAAATTTTAATAAGTTTATTAACAGAAATTACTCGACTTCGCAGCTTAAGAGAACTTAAAAGATTAACAACTAGAATTAAAAGTGCTTTCCTAATATCAACTACAATTAAAATTTTTTGACGTATTATATGTAACTAAACTGCTCTAATAAAATTCTAGTAAATTAAATGTTTACGAAATTCTCATTTGGAGAGTAGTTAAATTAATTAGTTTAATTAATTTTTAATTCTTTTTTTTTACTTAAATTTTATTGCTAAATATCGTGTCTATTTCTAACCAACTTTAAAAAAAGGAGGTTCTATGTTCCACTGTATATTTTTTATGTAAGTCAAATGTTGACGCATTTTAAAAATTTTTTTTGAGAGTATACTCCTAAGTAGGTCCCCTTATCACCAAATCAGGACATATGGTGTTTCATATTTTTTTCTCTAAAGTTATACGCATATTTTCATCTAGTAACATTCATTTCATATTGCTGAGTTAATGATAGAAGACACATCACCTTGATATTTGTAAGAGGATAATTATTTAAATACTATTTGGCACGTGAAGTCCGTTAGTTGTTATACTCCTTTAAATTATTCAGATGAGCTGATCCCTCTTTGGATATTACATACATACATATCTGTCACGCCTGTCTCCCATTAGGGTAGGCAGAAACAGTGGAACGCCAAATGCTTCGATTCAAACAAACTCTTTGGATATTATAAGCGCGTATAAATTATTTCTGTGACTCTTTCGAGTTATTTGGATGATTTCTTCTGGAAATAATCATTTCAGGTTGCTGAGATTTATGTCCAATTTAACCCCAAAAAGACACAAGTCTGCGCGTTTACCGCAAAAAAAACGCCGTTTGGAGGGCACTTCCCTTGATAAAAAGTCAAGTCTAGGAACGTTGATATATTAACAAAATACGTTTATACATTATGATGAGATGATATTCTATTAGTAAGTGATTTATTCTGTATTAGCCAGAGTTATTTAAAGTTCTTGTTAGATACGACTAAAGTTTCATAATTATCACTAAAAATCTTTGGAATCAAAAAGTAAAAAAAAAAAAAAAAAGATTATTTGTAAACTGCAACTTCATGGGCGGCGGTAGTCACTTACCATCTACAGTTTGCTATGATATAATGACAGTTTCATTGTATTATATGAAGTAGTGTTTTACTCACTGCTTACTGATTATTTACACTAAAAAAGAAGTGTTTTTTTCTTTTTGGTGATATTAGTCTTTTAATTTAAAGGACAAAACTTGTTTGAAGTCGATGCCAAGCTCAAAGAGAACAAGAACATATATATATATATATATATATATATATATATATATATATATATATATATATATATATATATATATATATATATAACAAAACATAATTGTAATGAATTACTTAAATATTTTTGTGAACGATCAACCTTTAACAACCATAACTGTCAAATTATACAAATCTATTAAATAAATAAAACGCATCAATTCGAACACATTTTGTCGTTTAAATTAAAAGTCTAATATCTGTTTATTTTTCGCTTTTTGTTTCTTTTTATTTGGTTTTTAAGTTTTTTTTTCTGTATTAAGGCATGCTCTTCAGTAATAATACCAGATTGGTTTTCGTTTGTACAGTCCGTGGCGATGGAGCAGTGTAGACCTGTAATACAGGTTTAATATAAAACCTACATCAAGACCAGGTTTTCACAGAACTGGTCTTAATCCATGTGCCCAGCCAGTTTAAGTATCTAATTGACCCGCGACTATATCCACGTGACCGGGACATATTGATTAACCGGAACAAAAAACGACTTAGTCGGTATGTTAGTATGTTCTCCATATACTAGGATACAAACATGTAGGTATGCCCATGACGATGAACCGTTAGGGTGCAAGGTTAACAAAAAGAAATAATAAACCATAAACTTACCACTAAAATTACAATTTTAAATTGATAATTTTTCTAAATTATTCAATAAACCGGTTCTGACGCAATTCTATTAACATTAAATTTATACTGATCTTTAGAATAATCATTTCGTTTCAAATATACCTGGAATTTAGCAACAACAAAAAAACAAAGTTATATAGATAGATGTATTAACAATATTTATAATCAAAACATTTGTATGTTAATACAAATTAATAAAAAAATAAGTCGGGAGTGGTGAAATATTTTTTCATACTAGGAGGGTCGTGTCAAAACTGTTGAAAAACACTGCGCTAGAATATCAAATTAAAATTTTTGAGATTGATAATGATGTTTCAGTATCGACTAACATGGGCGCGAAAATTAAGACACATCATCAGTATCATCATGATAACTATTCAGTATATACCTAAATAAGGATGCCCTAATGGTATCTTTGATCATATTACCTTTTAATTGAAGAAGTTATAAAGGAATAAGAAAATTTATTACAGAAAATAAATTTATTTATTAAGACACAATTTTCTTACAAGAATAAAATTGTTCAGTACACAAAGTAGCTTTACAATAAATAAACACTGTTTTGTACATAGTTAGACAATTTAAATAAAATTAAACAACAAATAAACAAAAATGACTTAGTGCGGTAACTAAAAACTTATGTAAGTTCCAATTAAATGCCTTTAAGAGTTATGTAAAGCAAACAAACAATATTGGGACATAAAATTATCAATAAATATACTTATTTCTTTTATTAGGAAGTTTACAAATGTAAGCAATTAGATCGCCCAATGTTTAAGTAAAGGTAATACAAAACTAGATACTTTTCTAAAAAGCTAAGCAACCAATATTTTAATATTACTTCAGCATTGAAAGCTTATTGGTATACGAATTTAATGAACCGGCACATATTCCATTCACAGTCATGAGAGTATCTATGTATTTTTCAAAATTCAATTTGATCTTGTCCTGTACGTAAGTACAATTACAAAAACATTAGTCTTTCCTTTCCTCGGCTGGTATGAAGTCTATGGATGCAGAGTTAATGCAAAATCGTTTCTTGGTGGGCGCTGGCCCATCATCGAACACATGTCCCAGGTGAGCAGAGCACTTGGAGCATCGCACCTCAGTTCGCACCAAACCTGGTCGTGTTAAAACCAGTAATATATTTGCTCCAACTTCATTTTCAACACATATAGTCATTCACCAAAACCATTTATTTACATGGATATCACAAAAAACCAATGATGACAGTAGGTATGAGAGTCCCGTATGATATTCACAACGTTCGTGTGGTGTCGTCGGAGTGGTCGAGGCGGTCGTCGTCCAGCCGGCAGCCATCCAAGGAACCAGACGGGAAGGGAGGAAGACGAGTAGGCAGGAAAAAGGACAATGCGTATTATTGTCATGCACATTCCAGAACGTTACAATGGTTATGAAAAATCATGAATGTGCGTGAGTATTATTAGAGTCGGTGAGTCAAATCAAAATCCATGAACGTGTATAACATCGAATGAAGTGTTCATCGGTGTATTGTTCGTGATCGTCGAACCGATAGAAGAATAGAGAATACAATATTTCATGTAAAACAACGCATGTAAGTACATAAATTATTAGCGGTGCGTAATGTATAATGAACAGCGATTTGGCACACATTTATTTATATAAGAAAGTTGTCATATGAAATAAAGCGTAAAAGTAGATAAATATTGTTTACCAATTGAGGCCGACTTACGGTTGATGTGGAGTCAGGATTGTATCGGAGGATGATCAAGGGTACGGGAAAGACAGACAGAAAAAAAGATAAATATGTATTAGCACCAAAATCCTCTTTCCCGGCACCAAAAATAAATATTATATAGGTAGTTATATACATAAGCAGTAGGTATATTTTTGTAATAAACAAATTAAAAACAAACATAATAATATATCAATTTTCCATTCATATATGCACAGTATCTGATTATTTACATTTTTTTTTATTTCCCAAATAATACATTTTAATCAAAGCTAAAATAGGTATATCAATATAAATTTAGTGACAAAGAACTAAAAAACTTTTTATTTATTACTTTGTATCTAGAAAAATCAATTTGAGTGGAACTAAGCATTATTTACCACAATATAATACTCAAAAATAAAATTAGACAAGCCCGGTAGCATGTTAATATAGTTAGGTCTAAATAGTCTATAGATAGTATTATTACATATATTATTTATATTGTTTACATTATGAAATTATTAATCAACGACTGTAGTTATATAGTTTATCATTCAATTGAACTAAATTATGCCAATCATGCATCATGGTTATTTTTAAATAGACCTCTTGAGAGTTTTGTGATTAAATTGATAAAATAAAAAAAAAACTAAGTGCTTTTGTACAATTAATTGGTTGATATTATACAATAATAATAATATAGTGTAAAATAAAAAGTGATTAGTACTACATTTACGTGTCTAAAAAGGCTCTAGGTTTGTTCTCCTAAAAATTATATAGATCAAATGTACAAGGGATACTTAAATTTATTATAATTTTATTTATATATTTTTTTGCAATATACTTATAGATAATAAAAAGGTTGTCTAATTTCTAAATGTGTAGTCTTAAGCCCTGTGCTCACTGCCCCGTATCATGCCACAACCGTGATACACGCAAAAAAAAGTATGGATTACTCTCAGGTCACACCCACTAGAGGAGGAAAGGGTTTATTAGTAATTGGTTCAGCTCACTAGCAATATTCCCTTAACAGTTCGACTTACAATCGGTTCTCCCTGGACACCACCATGGTTCATGACGAATACATGGGTGTAGAACAGTTGTAGAGTAGTTGCGGTGTGTATAGTGGCATTTAGAACGTATCTTTTTGTACGTCACACTGTGCTATTACGGATATGGTAGGAAACAAGGCAGTGACCACTAAGCTTTAGAAGACATTGCACCTTTACGCTGCCGTATATATATACCTAGATATTTTTTTATACTCTTTATTTCTAACAATGAGGAATGAGAAAACGTGATCTTTAAATAATAAGATAAATGTAATGTCGCCACTATGTCTTTTATTTCGTTAAAAAAAGTGATTTTTTAAATAACTTTTAACTCGTCGCCGATCACAGGCGCGTGACTTACTGCGCTGGTTGCGCAGTACCACTCGCGATACAACCGTGAACCGCGCTCATGTATTAAGACTCCTATTGAGTTTGAACTTGTCGGGCATCCCCAAATTTAAAACGTTTAGTATGACTCACGATAGTTATACAATGATTTTTAATTCGTTTATTAAAACAATTTTTTAATTCATTATGATGAAGAGACATGTAACATAACTATAATATCTATATGCTTATAGTCTGTTACAATGAGAAAACACTGTAGGTGCTATGTAGTGCAAGGAGGTGAGATAAGGAAAGTGAGTGATAAATACGTTACTTCAAATGTTCAAACAATATCATTCTATTTCAAAATATTTTAAAATGCATAACTTTTGCATTCCTTCGTATCCTTGGAATCCTAAAATATAACCGGGAACGCAATTAACCTATAATAAATTATATAAAAAATAAATTACTGAGATGTGAATTTAAATTCTGCCGGGTCAGGTAGTTGAGAAGTAAAATATTTCAAACTAAAGAAATTAAAACATTTCTTTGAGAGGCGAGTTTATGTGTCTTGTTTGTATGTATGTCATTATCACGGCTTATTACCAATACAATATCAGTCTATCACATAAAAGTTCAAAATCCTCACTTTCATTGCGTAACTTAAAGTGAGTAATAGCTAACTACTAATAAGGAAAGGTCGACATGTGGATTGTCATTGTATCTACACTTATAAGCATGAAAGTGAAGGTCAAATGAAATATGGATGAACAAACAACATTGACCTAGCAATTCTACGTATGTTGTAGGCAGGAAGGGAGTTCTCAGGGATTTATAATATATAAATAGGTAGGTATACATACAACATTTATATCTATAAATAAACAAGAATATGTACATGGCACATATTAAAACTATTAAAATTTCTATTTACTGAGTATTTACTTTCTATTTACTGAAAGAACACAAGCTGAAGATCCGCTTGATAAATTATAACCGTCGCCTGTAGGCATAGACAGCATGGACATTATAGAATAAGTAACATGCCACTCATGGCAGATCATGTATCGTTGTTATCAAAAATTATTGTTTGACGTCAATAAATATGTACATTTCTATTAAAATCTTCAAATACTAGTATTTATCTTTTGTATGTCAAATGTAATCTTTTGATATGACACTTTTCACTTATCATGTCGGGATGGTCTGATCTAAACAGTCATAGTACTTGATAATAGACATAAAATATGCTTGCTAATATAATCTTCCAAATGATGCTACTCAAACCGAGATTTCGCCTTATAGTCCCATATATGGGTTTTTGTCACTATTCTATACAACTTTTTTCATATCAGGACCTTTCTGGAGTAGGCAGACTGCATGTAGGTTGGATTTAATTAAAGTTTAGAGATGAGAGAAATTACTATAATTAAGAATATATCTCCTCTTATGGAAGGTACTTTTGCCTAGCAGTGAGATGGCAATAGACTGTTATGGTATGGAGAACATAAACTGAGATCACCATTGAAAATGTAAGTAACTATTCTATCAGTTAATCTAGTTAGCTACAAACATTGTATTGTATGGTCTATTATTCACTGGCATTGAATTTTTGTTCCGCATGGCTTCATCCAGCTCATATCTATACAGCCTAAAGGTTCACAACTGTACAATAAATATTATATAGATTTCTAATAGTTTCATAAATTAATTAATGATTATGATTAAAACATGAAAAACATAATAGAATTATATTTAGTATATTGTTTAGTATTAATTTTAAAATACTCATAACACTAGAAGTCCACTTACTACATACATGGTGTATAAAAACTTACTGCAAAAAATTTTTGTGATGTTATATAGCATCAGAAAGTAAAAAAAAAATTAGTAGTATCAATAAAAAGTATTTATTAAATGAGGGTTGATTATTAAGATTAGACTTTAATAATTTGTAATTTTTTCTATGTAAAAGTACATTAAAGAATTTTATTCAATTATATGAATGAATCATTATATAAAAAAATACATATAAATAAAATATTAAAATGAAATATTTTATTTTTATATTATATGTATCATATCTCCCATATTTAGAACTAACAAAATTTTTCATTGTGCCTCCCACCAAATTGTTTATAATTACTCCTCTCCATCCAAAGGTTGCCTGGAAGAGATCTCTCTTAGCGATAAGGTCACCCATTGTTTTCTCATTGTGATTATTTCTTGTAATTATTTATATTTATAATAAGTTTACTATTGTAATCTTTTGGAGGAAACAATAAAGAGTATATATCTATCTATCTAAATAGTTATTATAAATAGTTACTTACATTATATACAAAACAGTATATTTTTAAACACCATGTATAATTACATTATGAAATATATTATCAGAGTAGTCATGCTTACAAGGACATTCCACAGATAAGTTTTAAGATTATTAAAACATAATGTAATTACAGTAAGTATACAGTAATATTTATTCAACAGTGACATACCTGCACTTGTGTCCTGATGTAGAGTAACCTTGTCCTTAGCTAAAACATCATTGAATGCTGGCCAACCACAACCAGAATCAAATTTTGTATTTGAAGTGAATAGCTCTTGTCTGCACACTATACAAACATACAGGCCCTCTTCATAGAATTTGTTGTAGCATCCTAAAATATATTTGGACCAAGATATATTACAAATAAAGAAAGATTCAGACAAAATGATAACACAGTAATATAAAATGATTTATGAACATGATATTAAAATTCTGTTAACATTATTTAAATATAAGAATGATGATTCAAATATTTTCAATAAAAAATTTGTTAAATAATTCCATATTATAACAATTCTAACCAATGTGTAAATTTAATTACCTTTAAAAGTTATTTAAATAATTTTAAATGATTGAAATAATTCAATTTTCTATATTTATAAATAAAAACAATTTAAACTATAACACAAAATATTAATATTAAATTCCATCTAAGTGACCAGTGTTTTTAAATAATAGATATAAAATGAGAAAGCTTTACAGACTTAAAAATATTTATTCTTCTTGAAAATATATATGTATAGAAAAATTTATGATTATAAATTAAAAAAAAATGAAAATATGGTCTTTTAGTAATATTTAATTATATGAGTTTTACTATACCTGTAAAGGGCCTTTCCGTGCCGGCCTCCTGTGTCACATGATACTGTAAAGGTGTTAAACGTTTCTTCAATGCTTCCTTGTCTTCCATGGCTCGCCAAATTTGCGCTGTTTATACAAAAATATTGTGATGAAACGTGTGTAAAGACTACTGGCATCTATCCAAGATGAAACGCAATCGACGCGTTTCCGTGTTTAAATACTGATATACGCACACATGTATTGCGGCGAAAACTAGAGTAGTCGTACCTGTTGTGAATGGATGCTGTAACTGCAAGCGGATATTTCTATTTAGAGGCACTGTTTTCTTAAATATTATAAAAGATCTGAGTAAAACGCGCAGCATAACTTACATTTCTTGTTTAAGGAAAAAGTGAAAAAAGTAATAAAATGTTAAAGAAAATAACTGTATATTTAAAGAATCTTCAATACCGAGTCATATGTCAACTATCAATTCTGACATACACAATGTTTTGTTTTAAAATTCGTTCGAATTGAATGTACAAAGAACATGGCCCATACAGCCTTTTAGTAAGTTTCTTGGTTCTTTATAAATGAAGAGGAACTACATGCATGCTGTCAATCAAGTAAAGAAAAGAGAAATTTATTCTCCCCAATTTTATTCTATTCTTATTTTTTAGATATACCAGACATACTTTCTGTAAAAAGATTTTGTGTAATTACCTATTCTTAAGTAATTTGTGATTCTTACGCTTAATACATAAACGTCTCGCTCGTCAAAACGTCAAATCACTCTAATTCTTGATTGTATAGAAAATGACAAGTGAAAAGATAATAAAAAGTAATAAATTGATATTACAAAGATCCAGCTGTTTAATAATTTAGAATAAATTCAGAAATTAAAATTTGTTAGGTATATAATATTCTTTTTTTCTATAGGATTTACACTAATGTCAGTTAAGATGTAAGTCTCGTACACAAACTAGACAGTGATACTAATTTTGCAAAAAAAGAATTTTATTAGATTCATTATGAGATTCATCAAGTAACTTACACAAATCGTATTTGAACTAGAAGAATTTAATTTTAAGATAATAACCAAGTACTAATTTGTTAGAATTGAAACCGATTCGTAAGAAAGAATTCATAATATGCTACCCTCCAAGAATCTGACGTTCTACCTTTTATCGACTTTTTATTTTGTAATTACCTGTTTAATTTCGTTACTTAGAAGGTATTCAATACGTGATGAATAATTTAAATAGTAACACACTCAACATAATTCATTTCTAAATTAAGGTGAATAAAAAAAGATACTAAAACAGACATGCAATGATACATAATAACAATTTTTTATTAACATATAGAAAAGTTTATTTTAAAGGATCCATTTTATCAGTTATTTATTGTAGATTTACAATAGTACTGGTTTTGTTTTCGAGTCGATATTGATACAACGTCATTCGATTTCATTTGTGTTCTCTGTAAGCAAAATAAAATCTTTAAAAATGTACACCTAATTAATTTAAGTAGAATGGTAACCTCACCTGCGCTATTCGTAAATACTGGCGGAGTGTCAGTGAGGAATGAGAAAGAGATGAACTCAGAAAGATAAGCAAAAAATTAAGCCAGTCAGCCCATCGTGATGAATCCACTAGAAAATAATTACAATGATTTTTAGGGAGACCGCATGAAGATCGATCAGATAGAGTACACTGCAAGTAATGGAGCCATCATAAGTACTATCTAATACTAACGACACGGAATCTAAAAGCGGCGGTTTTATTTGGTTGCAATTAGTCCAGTTTTTATTTAATTTAGTTACTATTGGTAGTTATGAGTACTTACAACAATAATGCGTTCAAATAATAAGAGTATTTAATTTACATTGCGAAAAAAAAACTAACAGCAAGTGATTCTCGACTCTTTTTCATCTGCATGAGTACATATTCCGTATCATCTTGCTCAGAGTCCAAACATGAAGAATGAGTTTCGTCTTGTCTTGCTTGGGTCTTTTGATAAAGTAACGGTCGCATCTATTAATTAATAAAAATGTTATTCTGTCATCATCATCATACCAGCCTTTTACCCGATAAAGAACATTTTATCAGTACTTGTCACGCTTAGCAGGCGGGTTAGTAACTGCAATTAGGCTGTGATGATACCTTAAGAGGAATGCTGTTGACCATCTCTCAACCATTAAGTTCCCTTAGGCGCCTCTTATGACACCCACGGGAGATTAAGAGATAGCCCATTCTATGGCGGGACCACACAACAAAATGTTATTTACTTGGCAAGTATTATGATTTTGTCTATAAATTTAATAAGGTACTGTAACAAGTGTTGGAATTGTATGGATTGGTATTGGCAACACTGGACATATAGATTATTAAAAATGGCTTCCTTGTACCACGTCTTGTATTCTGCTACAATAAAAGTATTAATAAAATAACACTATTTATCATTATAACAGGTACTTTATTCATCCTCCATAATCTTTAAATGTCACTTTTCATTTGAATCAGTTTGATAGACAGCCAGCGTACATATGTCGTGACCAGATCGAAGAACTGTATAACTGATATGCAAAAAATAAATGAGAAATCTTACAATCTCGACACCGTTGACCGATCGTTGTGGACTTAATCCTTTATGCCAAATATCAGCAGTGAGATCTTCAGCTTGTGGTGTCATCCATTGGCGTAGACTTCCACGTCGACGTCGCGAACGCGGCTCCAAACCCTATAAGTAGCAAGGAATTGCACTTCGGGTCCCAAGAAAAAAACTAAATACATACTTTATACTTATATAGCTACTGTAGAATAATTCTAGGCGGCAGTTAATTTACCAGGTGCAATTCCTCACTATTTAGAAGACTTTACCCGCCTTTCTGCCAATACGCAAGTAAAGATTTAAATAAACTGCTGCACATATAATAGTAAAAAATACCTGTAAATCTATTGTGTTAAAACAGTTTTTAGTGTCCATATTCTGCGACTTAGATTCAGTATTATTTTGAAATCTGTGCCATTGAGATGCTATATGCTTTAAAACATCCCATAACATCAGACAAGGAACCACAATGAATATTATTATGTTCAATATAAACTCCATTCGCCTGTCAAAATCATCATAATATTATATAGTGCATTGCTTAAATCAAATACTAACCTTATCCGAGCACGTGTTCATCTCCTCGATGGTATAAAACTAGTCTTTTATAGGTAGATTGAAACGGCAAGCAAGCCGATACCTGCTAGAAAATTATAACAGTCGCTTACAGAGGTGAACAACTCTATAGTACCCGTCATGCGTTTTTATTTCTGAAGACTAAGGTATTATACCTCAATTAATCATCATCTTCCTGCCCTAAACATCATTATCTGGGTTCGGAGTTATATGATTTTATTTATATTCTACAACAACAACAACAACAACAACAGAGTCTTCTCTTTGCCCGCCGGATGATGTGAGGGCGGGCGAGATCGGGGACCTCGAGGCGTACCCCATTACCCCGGCTTCTACTCCGGAGGCGACGACCTCCGGGTCGCTGGGTTTGCAGCCTACATACACTGTTGGTTTGTGTATGCCGGTGTGGTGTCTTATATATATATTCTACAAGATTTTGGCTTTCAGTCTTATTACTGGCCACCTGTCTGACGTGAACACACTCTCAGAATGTTTTATAATTGTATCCACTACCTACGGTATGGATGAAAGGATTGATGAAAAGGAAGGCGGACGGTCAGAGAGAGTAAAGCAAGTTGGTAAAAAAGGAATGGTATTTATGGGTAAAAGTTTCATAATTCCTCCATTCATACCCAGTAATTTTATTTCAATATTTTTTTATACAACTTAGAATGGCAAACAAGCTGACGGCTCACTTGATGGAAAGTGGTAACCGTCGCCTATAGACATGAGCAGTACCATGGAAATAACAAAGTATACTGTTTCGCCCATGATACCCCCTATTCGTTGCCAATCCTGAGGATTCGGGTGTTATTCCTCTATACCCTGTAAATTCACGCCATATCCCACTCTTCAAACCGAAACAGCCATGCAAACACAACTGCCTCACGGTTGAAACACGAATGGAACAGAGGTACCCAAGCAAACGACTTTTGTACAAAGTATCCCTCTGGTATATATTACAATATTGCACGGCAGAAACACATGAGTGAGACAGAAGCACATGTACCTTGCTAGTATTATGTCTATATACTTATTCTATCGGTGCTCATGTAGAAGACTTTTGTTATAACTTATTAGAATAGATTAATATAGATATTGTGAAACTCACTTGTTTACGAGTCGTACAGTACGTCGCTTAGTATCTGGATGGACAGGCCAGCCTTCCTCGTCATAAATAACAGGTCGATCTGACAAGGAGCTTTCGTAATAACGCTCGAGCTTTCGAGGCATAACTAGCAGACGTTCCAAACCCCACGAACCCACGCATCGCAATACCAGGCCTACACATGCCTTCACAAAACCTATAAAAAATATATCCCAAATGAGAAATTACTCAGAATAAAAATATGTAAAAAGCTTATTTGTCTGATATCAAATTGGTAATAAAACGTTTTAACAATAATATTTTTTTTGGAGTTGTTTAAAATGATGATACTTTTTCTATTCAGGTAGCATGATGAAATTATACTAAGCAGTTTCCACAGACGATTGCAACAGATGTTACATTAGCATTGCCCATCTTAGTAGTACAACCGTTAAATTGAGAAGCATTACCGCAATCCATAAACATTACAGAAGTGGATCCAGCAACAAAAACTGAAATCGACTTAAGTACCCTGAATTACACAATAACTATAACTAATAAAACAAAACTTCTATGCCATGTGGTCTTGTCAAAGAATGGGTTACCCATTCCTTTTCAGTAGGTATCGTAAGATGCGACTAAGGGAACTTAATATCGTGGGATGTGCAGCAGCGTCCCTCCTAAAACATCACCTAACCTAACTGCGGCTACATTTTTTTTTGGTACAATTCTCTTTATAGGGAAAGCCTATGTTCAGCAATGGAGAGTTAACGCCTGATGTAATAAATAATAATATCTAATAGTGAAATGATTACTAACCAAGAAACAAGAGTGTTATGAGTACACCGACTATAATAACACATAAGTTTAAGAAAACGATGTCAGGGTAACAGACAGAGCGAACATGGCGTGATTTCTTGCTAGCTGGAAGTCCAGCTGCTGCACGTTTTGCATCTGACATCTCTCTACACAACAATTTTGGGTCGTCGCCTAGGAGAAAAAAAAAAAAATTATAACGATGTAATTTTAATAAACTCATTTCATTCATTGAATTTTTGAAAGTTACTCTATATGGAAGTCATATCTAAGCGAAAATAATTTGCGCGCAATAAATATAGCACGAAATAAATTCCCTCGCAGTGGGAATAAAGTCTCGACACTAGTATAGATACAAATAATAGACTATCCAAATACTCACTCAGGCACACGCAATCGCAATACCAAACGCAAAAACAACGATCGCGTTTCTTTATAGTGACATCTCTCATAGCCACCGTTACATCGTCGTCATTTACTAATGCCACTGCAAAATTATAATAGATACTATAATTTGCTGGAGGCAGTTTTGTCATAGGAAAAGCATTCGTATCGATTTGTGAAAATCGACTCTATAGCTGAATATTCTATAGAAGTAATTAAAACTGTTTCATATAAACCACAGTTTTAAATATTTCTGCAAGCAATGAATCCTGCTTTGGTTCGATCTTAAGAGTGAAATGATTCTCTAATATGGATAGTCCATAAAAGAAGCTACACTTTAGGTGTGCTATGGGCGGAACAGTTCATAATGTCGCTTTTGGTTATGGATAGCTGTCGTCACTTTATATCTGGTAGGCCATGGTCCGTCAGCCTTGTTCCTATAAATATCCGAGTAACCCTTTAAAATGACTGAATATTAATTAAAAAAAATAATTTAATGCAGAAGTGTTATTAGTATATATAATGATATAAGAACCTTTTGCATAAATTTTAACGTTTTTTGCATAACGTTTTATTTTATATTTCACTAGGTAGGTAGCTATCTGAATTTTGTAAAAAATAAAGACTTTTTTAATTGATGATAATGGAATGGTAACCATGCCTGTGCTAACAGTATACGCGGACGCGGACGTATGGCGGGGCACCAGTGGAAGGAAAAGACAGGTCAGGTCAGGCACCGTGATACACATGGAATTCAGCACGATGGTTGTCAGGAGGACTACATAAAAGGTCAACCCGGCAGGGTATATACTTAGCAATTGGTCTGGTGGTCCGCATTACTAATAATCCCTTCCTCCTCGGGTACTTATAATCACTCCTTTCCTTCATTCCTTTACCTCAGTACTTAATAAATAGGTAAGTAACCAGAACAATGAGCGACATCCACAGGGATGTCAATGGGTAGTTCAAGTCGAAATCGCTTCGTATACATAGGAGCCAGCATGTAAGACTCTTCAGCGCCACCGTCGTTGCCCATGTTTTTGATCAAGCCTGACAAATCTGGATCGCAGTGTCGTGTCTGGATTCTGTTTGAACAGTATTGTTTTATAAACACAGAACAGTCGCATAACATATTCATCATCAGGAATGATAACGCATGATGGGCAGATATAGGTACCAGAGTGTTTCTGTCCATGGTATTGTACATATCTACCGCCAGCGGTTGCTACTATCTATCAGGTGAGTCGCCAGTTTGCCAAAACAGTGAAAATAAAAATTACCCTCTTTGCAATACTGGTATTTGCTGACGGGGCACCAGCGAGGGATAACAGATGAGGATGAACTCAAGTTAGCTGGCCTATTACGTCACCTGGAATTCGTCACAATAAGGGTGGACAATCTAAATAATTATCCCGATTATTTTCAAGGGAACTGTGAAGAGGTCGACCTGAATAAGAATACTGCTATCAATCCACTACTTCAACAGATTAATTATGTCCCTACGTTAAAACGTATTTCTACCTGAAGCGTGCTGCTGCTAATCCCATATTAGACGCTTGAATTGTCAATATGGTTCGTGTGCGTCTGGTGCTATCGGCAACGACAGTCGCGATGCGACCAGAACAACTGGATAAGAATAAAACATACATGCAAAAGTGCATAAGTAGGTAGATACATGCGGAGTACCAAATGAAGTGATATTTTAAATTATTATAATAGGTATTTGCATATTTTTAATATAGTAATAATTACCAACCCCACAAGAATTAATTGATTTTCATCAGCACGTGCCTCTAAATCTATTTGAATTTGATGTGGCCGTTGATACGGTAGAGTGAGATAACGTTGTGACCTTTGCTCTACAATTTTCAAATTATCTTTTGTAGTATCCAACAAGCGTCTTGATACATGAACTAAAACTTTACGCTTTCTCTATATAATTAAAATAATGAACAATTAGCTTTGAATTTATTAAAAGTACATTTACATTATTAAAAATTCTATTGCCTATACTTACCTTTTTACATTGTGTACTAAATTTGGAAAATTGAGAAGTATTTACGTCATGGTTGTTTAAAATATTGTCCTCATCACCACTACCCATAACATCTTCTATGGGTACAATTATGTATTCTCTATCATTGTCTAGAAAACCAAAACCATCATTTATATATATTGTGTATATGTACAAATATTGTCTTGAATTAAGATTATTTTTTATGCAACTCTAAATGGCAAACAAGCTGACGGCCCATCCGATGGAAAGTGGTAACCGTCGCCTATAGATATGAGCAGTACCATAGACATAACAGAGTATACTCTTTCGCCCATGATACTCTCCATGCGTTGCCATTCCTAAGGACTAAGGTGTTATTCCTCTGTAGCCTGTAAATTTACTGCCATATCTTACCCTTCAAACCGAAACACAGCCTTTGTACAAAGTCTCCCTCCGATAATTGAGAAACTATTATTATTTACCGGTTAATGGAACAAGAAGGCGTAAAGAGGAAGTAGAAGACAAACTAAAATCTTTTCTCGGTATCCACTCAGTCGGTCGATATCGTATATGCACATCTTGACCAGTCCACTGAGATGATATAGAACCGATACTGCAATTTGAATAAAAGAAATAATAAAAAAAAAAACTTATAATAATATTGCAAAATTCTAGTTCTAATCTAAATTTAGGCGACAAAAGATGAACAGTGCCCTTGATTGAATTCTCATAGGTATACGAGTATATACCTACTACCTAGCGTAATTCATCACCATATCATACCAGTCATTAATAGTCCATTGCTGAACATAAGTTTCCACCATAAGGGGAGTTTTGCCAGCATTTGCCATGCTTGGCTAGCGTGTTAGCAATCGCAATTAAGTCTTAGTAATGTTTTAAAAGGGATGCTGATGCCCACCCCTCGACCACTAAGTTCCCTTAGTCGCTTTTCACGACACCCACGTGAAAAGAAGGAGTGGCTAACATCTCACGGCTAATATAGTGTAATTCATTATGCTTAATAAATGTATTGAATTACTATATATTACTTTAAAAATTATTGGTATTTTATCGCCTGATTTTAAGTTACACCTTTAGGAATAAAATTGTAAAACCGCTTCCAATTTGGTTTAGTCGTTTTTGCGTAATGACGGAACAAAAATACAAACAGATGGATAAACAAAATTTCCAAACATTAATGTTTTGGCTTCTATTGATCTTATTAAGGCGACGAAATATTTAAGAAATTATTAAAATGAAGGATTTTAATAATTTCTTAAATATTTCGGTCGTCGGTACTTAGGAGATATTTATCTCCCAAGTACTGATATTGTCTAGTTACAATTTTATTATATCAGAAAATTATAAAACTGATGATACTGGTGAGTTTAAACTAACGTAGGTAATAGAGGATTGAATTATTTTAACACAAATAAAGTGAAGATATGCCATTTTAGGGACTACTCACACTTATTCAGCTCTATTCAGCTTTTGTCCATAGAAAACAACGATTTTGTATGGAAACGTGTACGCATCCATTCAGCTTTCCGCATCTATTCTGCTTTCGCGGCAACTCCGTATAAAATGAGGATAAATGTGTATTTATCATGTGAATGCTATAGAGAGCGGTCAGCGCTGTTCCGCCGCATTCACCGTCGAACGCGGCGAAACAGCTCTTTACAGGGATGTTTCGCGACTCCTTATGCGAACTGTATTGTTTTTGCATCGATTTGATTTATTATTGCGTAATCATTACGTACGCAAGGATTAAAGAGTACAGACGTATAGTAATTATAATTATTTTATTTTTACGAAATGTAGCATATTCAACGCCGTACGTACGACAAGCGTTTCAGCGGAAATAGCACGCTATGACGGCTTTTCTCATTCTTACGACGTCGTACGCGGCTGATAAAAGCAGAGCAGTATAAGTGTTACCAAAATGGTTCAGCAAAACGCGAATGGAGGTGAATAAATGTGAGTAGTCCCTTAGTATAGTATAATAGCCAAGCTGTACCGCGCGGTTTTACCCTTAGGGACTACTCACACATTCGCATAAATTAATACGCATTTATCCTCATTTTTACTGGGCTACCGCGAAAGCAGAATAGACGCGGAAAGTTGAATGAATGCGTACACGTCTCCATACAAAATCGTTGTTTTCTATGGACAAAAGCTAAATAGAGCTGAATAAATGTGAGTAGTCCCTTATAATAACGTAATGTTGAAAATAATTCCTTTCTTAAGAAATGAGCTATCGTGAGCTCAAAATATGTTTTCAAACTCGACTAAGTATTTTTTAGAGAGACTACATTCAAACAAACTTTTTCGCTTTATTAGTATAGATTTATGGCGGAAATATATTTCTTACATTATTACGTGTATTATTAAGATAAACTTATCAATAAATGTACTCGTATATAGTTGTTATCTTTTACCGTCTGTGAGATAGAAATCTTGTCCCTATTTAAGCATCTACGTGATCTTATCTTCTCGATAGAAGGAATAAAAGAACTGGCATGAACATGTAATTAAGTACCTAAGTATAATTTATTTAATGGAACTTAATAAAAAGATAGCAAAGTTTTGTTGAAATTATAATAGAAACACTCTTTAAATGAAATTAGTGTCAATTAATCCATTTTTTATTTGTACTAGATATTATCGGACATCAGCATTGTCTATCATCATCTGATGATGATGATAGACAATGATAGAGGTTGATATGATATCAGCCTTTGACTGCCCACTGCTGAAGATAAGCTCCCTCCTTAGAGGGGTTTTGCACTGGCAACTACTGAGTTGCCACGCTTGGCAAGCGGGTTGGCAACCGCAGTTAGACTTTGGAGATGTTTTAAGAAGGACGCTGCTGCCCATCCCTTGCCCTCCTTAGTCGCCTCTTACGACATCCATGGGAAAGGAAGGGGCGACCCTTTTAATGCCGGGACCACACGGCGACAGCATTGTTTATAGTCAAGTTTATTTTTGCTTTGTTTATATTTTTATTAAGTTCTATTGAAACATTGATTTCTATTATGACAATAAGCAACACTTATATAGACATCTAAATGATGCCCATTTTACTTTCTTAACAGAATTTGGTTACCTCACTGAGTCTCCGTTAGTTAGATCATTCCAAACAGTTTTCCCTTCTGGTGTGCTCCTTTTCTCAAAAAGTTGTACGTGAATGGTATTCCATAAGCATGGATTATCAATTTCAAATAAACCAAATTCTTTTTCATTTGATTCCAAATTATTGTAATTTGTTCGTTTCCCCTTTACTAGAGGGAGATCCCCTTCTGAGTATGTAATTTTATTAAAATTTTCATTTGTTGGTGTAGTGATTTTAAAATTGTCACCTATATATACTTTATTTGTCTCGGATTCCAGTGACATTGGTTTTCGATGTCTTCTGTAAACCTCAGAATGATATTGCTGAGTCAGCGAGTTTCTTTTATTTTCTAGACGCTTATTATTGAACATTACAGAATCATGTGTTGTCTCATGCTCAACGACTTCTGGTGACAAATGTATCTCTTCACGACGCTTATTTTTATCAGGCATTTGAATTTTGTATAAACCACGATCTGAGTCCCAAGAATTACCTTCGGAATTTGTTTGTTCAATGATAATATTATGTTCTTGACGCTTATCTCGTTTTAAAATGTTTACCGCAGGCATCTTTGCTAAAAATTTCATTATACAAATAAGTATAATTGTAATAAATATAAACAGACAGGTACTTATGTACAGTCACTCATGGTACAGTCACACTGGTAATTTAAAATCTAATTCAGCCACGACGTGTCTAAATTTTAGATACATCATGGCTGTATAAATAAGTCTGGAAAATTGCACTCGGTCTGCATACCTAAAAGTACGAATAACTACCATAATATTTTTCGAAATACATATTATATCACCATGTAGTCCTGGCATAGAATAGGCCATTTCCGTGAAAGTCGTCCGACTTTCACGTGAAAGTTCGTCCGTGAAAGGCGACTGAGGAAACCAAATGGTCGAGGGATAAGCAGCAACGTTCCTTTTAAAACATTACCAAAGCCTAACTGCGGTTGCCAACCCGGCCGTCAAGTGTGGTAACTACTGGCTGGTTTTGCCTTATGGAGCAACTTATATTTAGCAGCGAACAATTAACGGCTGATATAATAATAAAAAAAAAAAAACTATAATCAAGAGAAATAAATCGAGCTTAGTCGGCAATTGTCTTCTAGACTAGATTATTATATAAAAAAGTGGGCAAAAAAACTTAGTGTTCAGTGTGCATAAATTATTGTAGATATTTATATGAAATTTATAGTGCCAACACACGAGCGATATAGGTGTAGCGGCGTGGATGCGTTCCGTAACAGTCGTATAAACCGGTTTGATTGTAATGGTAGGACCAGACCGAGTCGTGCGGGGAGGGAACAAGCTCTCGCCCATGCCCGAGGCCCGAGGCCAGCCAGTGCTGCGGCGATTCCTGTCCAGTGACAGTTAAAAAAACACGCATGGAAACATTTATTAAAGGCGTACGTTCACAACCTTGTCTCTGGAACCCACTGCATCCTGATTACCGGGAGATGCAAGTCAGGGATAACGCATGGCAGCATGTTGTAAAACTTTGCAACAACAGTTCTATACCTAATAGTAAGTAACATTTTTGCGTTTTCGTTTATTTAAGAGCAAACATTTTAATACACTATATAGGTGATTTTTTTTTTTTTTATTTCAGTAAATTGTTCAATCTGTCAAAAAGTTATATTTAAATTTAAAAGTTTATATTCGCAAATCAGGAGAGCGATGATTGTGACTTAGTATATAAATATTACTCTAACTTATTACTTTCTAAAGATCGAAGGTTCGAATTTAGACGACAAAATTATTAATTTAATTATCTCTCCTGCGATGGAAACATCCTTACTATATTAAATCGCCTTTGTTAAAGTAATTTTATTTTAAATATAAATTAGATGACATGATTCAAAATTTCTGATTTAAAACTTTTTCAGTTAAAGCAGCAAGAAATGAATGGAAAAAACTTCGTGATAATCATCGAGAGGCTCTCAAAAGAGCTAAATTAGGTCAAAACAAATTGTTACCGGCTCAAATAACGACATGGAAATATGCTAAAGCGATGCAGTTCTTAGAGCCTCACATGAAGTATCGAATTACAGAAAACATTGAGATGGATTCACCAGATGGAACGCCTTCTAAAAGTGTCGAACAGGATATCTCCACGACTGAGATTCCCGAATTAGGATCAAGAGGCAGTCCAAAAAATAAAAAACGTTGCAGTGATTGTTTTACCGATAAATCAAGTCATCTCAATAATACTGATGCCTTAGAGTCGTTTTTTAATTGTATGTTGAAAAGTACTAGACAAATGCCACTATGGATGCAAACTCAAGTGAAGAAAAAAATATTTGGTATAATAATTGATGCGGAGGAACAGCTTTCAAGTGACCAAATTGATACTAAAGATGAAAGTAATTATTTTATGATAAACAAAATTAAACCTGAAGTGTTTTCAGAAGATAGCTATGATTCATAAGCACTTTAACACTAAATAAGTAATCAATACGACACATATTATTTTTTTTTTTATATTAATACTATATCAATATTTTAAAATCAAGAAAAAAAAATTTCACCATTACTTCTCGACAATCGTCCTGTGTATAGTGTAGATACAGTTGGGTACAGCTCTAGATCTCCAAATTTAAGAGAATTTGAACAACTGTGGAAATCAGGGCCACCATACTGCATGGTAAATAAGGATGATCTTGATTCCATTCCTTTAAACCATTTATTATTTTCCCAGAAATTATTATCACGTTGCGCACGATGACGGAACTGTAATTGATCATTATCATACATCTATATAGGAAGAAATACAAATTTTAATTTAACTCAAATAAAGACTCACTAAGAATTACTTTGAAAAAGTATACCTAGTACCAATGTATTACTTACTTCACTTTTTTCTTTTCTATTACTGGGGTCATCGGAACTAATTAAAATGCCACTAACAGTCTGAAATATATAAAATAATAAATGTCTGTAAATTAAAAACTGTAGATATTTTTTAAACATAACTAGAATTGTTCTACCTAGTTTTCATTACCTACCTAGTATTTATTAAGTACCTATTATATTTTTATACCAATTAGAATAGCGAACAAGCTAACAGTTTACGTGGGGGGAAAGGGATTGTTAGTAATGAAGACTGAGAATCCCATTGCTAGCAATATACCCAACCAGGTCGACATCCTCGCGGTTCTCCCTGGAAACTATCTTGGTTAATTCCTAATGAATTCATCATGATGGGCTAACTGACTTGTTTTCATTTTCATCTATCACCCTTTACTGGTGCTCCGCCAACGTATCCCGTTAGCGCAGGCAGGGTTACCATATCATTTTCACCCATCAAAAAAAAACAATTTACGTGATAAGATTGATAACCATTGCTTATAGACATGAACAGTATCTTGGACATTATAGAATATACTGTAATACCCAAGAAAATTTTCGCGAGCCTTGCTATTCCTGAAGATTGAAATGTTGTCTTCATACCCTGTAATTAACTGCCATATCCCACCAAACTAAAACAGCTATGTGATCATAACTACGGGCGCCAAACACGTGAGAGAGAGATAATGAAATACAAAAATATATAATTCAAAACTAAAACAAATTAATTATACATACATCGATGCTCCTTATTCGGTATGCTTGGAGTGGTTTCTCTCGACGTATCCTTAAGACGTACGGATTAAGCAATCGAACCCGTTTCTTATTGGACCCATCAAATACGTGCTCTATGGGAATGTACTCATCGTCTGTACCTAAATCTGGCTGAAAATATATTTTTAATTAAAAAATATGGATACAAAGACTAGGTACATACAAACCCCATTTATTTTATAATTTTAATTATAAAGTAAATGGGGTTTATAATTTACGTAATATATGTAAAAAAGTTTATAATAGAACCGACATAATAACATTAAGTACCTATCTTATAGTTTCAAGAATAAATACTTAGGTACCTATTCATAAAATTATAGAAATGAGTAATTTTCTCTAAGGAATATTATCTGAATTGAGGGTGGTTGGGTATGGGGAGCACGGAAGTATTTCAGCTTACTCTTACTTACGTATAGGGTATGTACATCACAGTGTATTCCGTGTTTTTCAAAATACTATTTTAAGTTCCGATGTACGTAGGTTTTATCCCCGCACAATACAAATACTTGTATTCATGAATATATACTGATTGTATCATTCAGGGTATTGTTTATTTACAAAAAAAAAAAAAACTATAGTACAATCATTGCTGAATTTTCGGCTAGATGGCGCTGTGCTTTATGCCAAATGGTATTAATTTATTTATATACCTATTTAACTTGTGAAGTTACTCGAACGTTAGCTTGATACAAATATTGCAAAATTCTATACTGAGAAACATAACAAAATGTATCATGGTTTATAAGAATAATAAAATACATGAATATCTGAAAATGAACACAGTCAAGAACGATTTTTTTTGTTAATGGGTGATAAAGCAATGGTAACCCCACCCGCGCTACCGGTATACACTGGCGGGGCAACAGTGAAGGATGATAGGCGAGGATGAAGCAGGTCAGTTAGCCCATCATGACGAATTCAACAAGATTTGTTCACGATGGTTTCCAGGGGGAACCACGTGAAGGTCGACCTAATAAGGTATATTACTAGCAATATGGCTGTCAAACTTCATTGCTAACAATTCCTTTCCCCCAAAGACGAAATTAGGCTTACAGCTGACAGATATATTGTAAATATCGATTAAATAATCATTCTAAACAAGTTGCCACACAATTGATTGATATTTCATAACAAAAACGTTTAAAACGATACAACAGATTGCAGGATAGAGCCTAAAAATGTTTTGTATGAGTAGATACTCTCACTGAGGAGCACACTCCCTTATTATTATTTGCAAACAACATCTCTGCTCATATTTCTTGACTGATATAACTGAAGAAAAAACAATAACTTACAGAAGGGTCATTAGTTATTTTGACAGTAAGTGCTAACTTCTTATTGCAATCCCCCAAAACACTATGCTTGAATAATTCCTCCCGTTGAAATCGTATCGCTGCATCGCTAATGGCACCATCACTTTCCTACAAATATAATAAAAAATATATGAAGCGTACTGCATTTATCCATTCGCGTTTCGTATCACGGACACTTACTTGTTCCTCATTTTTACTCATTTTATGATATTTAGAATTCAAACAAGCTGACAGGCCACCTGATCAAAAGACGCAACTTACTCATTCGGTAGCTAATAGCTATTGCCTTTTTTATATTTCAATCGTTCTTTGAATATAGCCATCGATTTCTTAAGCAGCCGGACGATGAAGATGTCTGCTCGGTGACCGACCATTAACGTACTGAAATAGCAGTCTTTGGTCATCTCTCCTTCTTTATGTTATGCTCCCCTAATACTCAATGTTCACCTCAATGAGCGCGCTAGCAACTAATATAATAGACGCTGTATCACTCGTATCAAATCGCAAAAATATGGCCTCTCTGTCTGAACCTTCAACTTATTAAAAAAGAGAAACAAAATTAGTGGATCAGAGTATTGGTAGTCCTATAGAATCAATTGCCTAGCGACTTTGAACGGTACTCTGATTACTCCACTAGTTAAAAAAATATGTATGTAGGTATACTAAAATAACAATGTATTAGGTAGACGAGGTTGTTTACTAATTATAAAAGAATTCTGAACTGAAACATACCTCGAGCTGGTAGTTGATCAGGACAGCTCTCACCTCTATCTGAGAATTTTTCTCCTTATCAGAACTTCCATAGTCCTGATTTTCTACCATCACGGGAATAGAATTTATTAACAAGATAAGTATAACACATGCTAATTCTGTAAGCAAACGTAATAATGGATTGATAATCCCGCCTGAGCTATTGGCGTACGCTGGCGGGACACCAGTGAGGAAGGAGTATTATATGCTACTAGCAGAAATCATCTCTGTAGAAGCGCACGTATAAATACAATATTAGTAACAAAGTTATAAAAGTAATGTGTAAACAATATTATAAACAAGTAATGTGTATACGGTTTAGATGCAATGTTATTGGATGCTGACAATTTGAAATTTATAGGTACATATCGCTAAAACGTACGATATAAAAATTATAATTTTATTAGCAAGCTTTGATGTTCAAATATGGCCACTGGCTAGTACTTACTATGTAGGTTAAAAAAATGTAAAATAATCGTAATCATTTAAACGAACTGTAAGTTCTATAAAATTGTACAATAATTATGTACGTCGTATAGTGACTAGCTTTCATTAATGTCAGTCGAATCGGCTATCTTATTTTTTTTCAAGCCAATTCTGTTTTGCCTTAACAAGGGGAGATGAAAATACTTTAAATTAAAAATAGATACTATTTTATCCTCATTTTACCCTCAGAAAAATATTTAGAAAATATCTAACTACAATAATATACACGACGTTAATTACAAAACGCTTAAGCAGCACTGTGATTAGAAATACAACTTGTCGATGAACAAGTCATGCTTTTTGTTGAAGTTCGATGTCCAATCGCAGTATGCAATTATGCATACCGTCAAACGTACACATGTGTACGTTTGACGATCGAAACCTTATATTTTACTCATAAATTTTTAATTATTGTTATTTTGGAGGGGCACGCCATGTTATCATAGATAATTTATACCTGAGGTTAAGAGTACCTACAAAAGAGCATGTAATCCATAGATAAATACGTACTTACTATAATGTACTAAATACGTTAATTGTCTATGAATGTACTATATAATCCTAAAATCACTAAACGTTATACTATGTCTATGAAAAAAAAAATAGGTTTTATGCATAGATTAAGAATAGTCCCTGACATTCTGTGTGCTAATTTTTAAAACATGAGTACGTTATTTGGCCAGCGCTATTAGTATACGCTGGCGGAGTACTAGCGAGTGATTCTTTAAATGCAGATGAAGAAAAATCAGGGCAATGGGACCATTCTGACAAATTTATCAAGTATTAACGACAATGGTCTTTGAGATAGGTCGCGAGGAAATGGATGAAAGGTATATTGCTAGTAATGGGATCGTTAAAACCAATTATTAACAATCCCCCTTCCACTTCTGATAATTTGACAATTATATTTTTATTTAATTTAGTGTTCTGTAGAAATTAATTACCTAACTATTTATTATGTTTTTAATTTTAATTCCGTACGCAATAATATATTTTTTAATGAATATGACTATACCTATTCCCTTCTGGGATTTGACATCTTGAGCATAAATTAAAAAGACATTTTCATTTAATGATTCATTTATTTTACACAATAAATCATATAAGTTTTCAGAATATCACAATTCAAATGAGAAAAGGAAATACTTCAGTCAAATAAGTTATTTTCACCTAATATGCATTAATAAATTAAACATTTCAACAATACTATCCTAAAGGTAACAAACTCCCTTTCTCATTTCAATTAATTTGCCATATTTATGTAATCATGATTAGTAATTACACATCAACAAAATCCATAAATATCCAGATTTTTCATTTTAATCATAAAAACAACAAAATATCAGTGGTAAACAATGGTTTATTTTTGATATTTATGAATTTAGTAAGCAGTATACTATTAAACACAAAGCTACGAGAGAGAGAGTGTAGTAGTGCGTATTGAAATTACCTATCAGTCATAGCTTCATGATTGTAAATTAGTGTACACAAAAAGACCTAACCAATTAGGAACACTTTATAGCGAATAATAATTTTATTAAATAAATTGTCCATGTTATAAAATTAATAAAAACACTATTGATTAGATCTTTTTTTATTTGTTAACTTAGTTTTTATATATCTAACATAATATAAATGATAATTTCAACAACTTATTTTGAAGTATATTTTTTCTTGCATAGTGTCGCAAAAACTAAATCACAAATTATTTTATAATTTATAATGACATTCCTATGCATGATGATACTAGTAAATATTACGATTTCGTGTGATTCTTGTAACATTTTCTTCAAATGTCTATTCTATATTTAGAAATGAGATATACACAATACGCAAATTGATAATTCGAAAATAATAATACCGATAACAAATCTGTAACTATTAACCAATATAAAAAAATGTAAACCTTTTTGTTCACGAGATCTAAACAATTAAAATAGGTAACAAAAATGGAGTCTATTATTTTAAGTCTATATTAGACCTTACAACCTAATCAAAATTATAATAGGCAAAATTAACTATACACTACCTACTAACTAAATTAGATAATAAAGTTTACCCAAAACTACAATACTTTATTGGTCAGAGCATTCAAGACGGCAAATTGCTACGCTATTTAAGTAGCAGTACAATCTGGATACTTTATAAAAATTACGTGAGTTTTCTGAGTGAGTATGTGAGAGCTCTCATTACTAATGTGACGACATTTATACATGTGCAAATAAGTCTATACACACCAAGCGTGATGCATTCCATTTTGAAATAGTCATAATCGAATCACATACGGTTAAATCAAGATAAAGAGAGAAAGGTAGGCAGAGATCATATTGTTTGGAGTAAGTACTTATACTTATGCTAAGAGTTACTTATGACTGAAAAATGCTTTTTTCAATAATAATCCCTTCTTGAAAATTATGTCCAGTATTGAATGCTCTGAATTTACATTCTTATACATATCAATAAAATTTACGATTCTGGATCTGTGGACGTGTATGTGGCCGCTTTACTTGTCTGAAAACAAATAATATAAGGTTGTTATAAAGAAAAATCAAAATAATAAGCTCATGTTATTGCCATGAAGCATTATGGGCTTTTAATATACTGAGTAATGAATGTTTTTAACCTTATGTTATATTAATACTTATGTTTAGTTCCAAAGACTAAACGATTTGCCAGACTCAAAGATTTAATCGGAGCCAGCGCTTGACAACGTTAACTAGTTATTTATAGAAAAATAAAAACTTACTTCACAACTATCATAGAACAGCATTGCCGTCTCACTATCGTGAAAATTCACTGTGACAGTCTTGAAGACGGGTTCGTAGCTTGTATAATCCTTGGCCGACCACACGCACGAGTCGCCAGACATCTGCAGATAATTATAAAATGAAAATAACTAAATAAAGCATTATGCCGTAACCAACAGTGTTTTGGAACAAAAAGAACATTCTACGTGTTAATCTAAAATAATGCACCAAACATTCAAACTGAATAGGAAATATGAGTAGGAAGTATGTAAATATTCATACAGATGTTTCGATGTTTGTTATACAAGATTAAACAACTCAAAGGATTTTAATAAAATTTAGTATATAAACGATTTCTTTCTTGCCGTGTGACCCCGGCATAGAATGGACCACCCCTTCCTTTTCCGTGAGTGGGATGGGCAGCAGCGTCCTTCTTAAAATATCACCAAAGTCTAACTGTGGTTGCTAACCAGCCTGGTAAGTGTGGTAACTATTAGTAAAACCCCCTAATTGAAGAACACTAATGTTAAGCAGTGAACAATGAATGGCTAATATGATAAGACCATTTCTTTAATTAACACATATACTACTATCTAATTCCATATTCTAATAAGAAAGTTTGTTAAGAATGAGCCACTATTAAGATTAATATCATTATACTGTACCTGGAACTCTGTATCCGTATGTATAAGCATGTCCGCGAGTATTTCTCCAGTGGCTGAATCGGTTATAAGGATTTTGGGCGAGTAGACATCTTGGTCATACAGCACTTGTATATGTCCATGCTCACACGCGGTCTCGGTGTCTCCCTGTCGCACCACTACCTCGCCATCACACGAATAGTACGATGATGATTCATCTTCCTCCTAAAAATTGTTTATTTTAGTACAACATGGAATGGTAAATAATTTAAAAAGCTCTGATAAAATGTGGTCAACCATTTATTAGCGCTTTTGAAATTGACTATGGTACCCCATATACAGCAATTTGAATCTTATATTCCAGCCAAAAGACAGCACGTAAGCACTGCTGCTCCTCTGAGCAATGTCTCTCACTAATGTCTTTGTCTCTACAAAGACATTAGTAAGATGGAAGTGCCCATGCAAAAACCTGTACAGTCCTCTCTTGTGGGTTATTATTATATTATATATTTGTATGCGCAATGACGGCAAAACATAGCATTCTACTTATATAAAATTCAAATAATTTTTAACTGCACTATTTATGCAAATAAATTGATAAATTACAATAGTACCACAGTATAAAAAACTACTTTTCATACAGTAGTTTTACAAAGGTGTCTACATAGAATTACTTTTGAAGGATGGCAGGGGTGGAAAGATACCGAGCTGCCATACAATTACCCGGTACCTGCCAAAGGCCAACGAATATTTTTGAATTTTATATTTAACCAACACTCGACTGAACTTAGTTAAACTGACTTACTGATTTGGTCGAGTCAAATCGCGCAATACTTATAATTCAGTCAAATTTAGGTTTTAATTAAATTTAAAATTTTGAATTAAGTGTTTAGAATTTTTAGATTTTAGAATTGAGAACAGAAAATTTAGAATTTGTTAAATTCGCAACAAAAACATATTCATATTAAATGATCACATCAAAAATATAAGAACAGGAAAACTTAAAGTGAATATCTCCTCATATTGAAGTCAGCTGAAAATAAATGTGAAAACCCTTGCCATGAATATGGCACGACAGGAGAGAAAGGGATTGTTAGTAATGGAGACTAAGAATCCCATTGTTAGCAATATACCCAACCAGGTCGACTTCTTCGTGGTTGTCCCTGGAAACTATCATGATTAATTTCAGATGAATTCATCATGATGGGCTAACGGGCTTGTTTTCATTCTCATCGATCACCCTTCACTGGTGCCCCGCCAGCGTATCCCGTTAGCGCAGGCGGGGTTACCATACCATTTTCATCCAATAAAAAAAAATATGGCACGACAACAGATTTCTATGGACGATAAACCACTGTATGAAGACTCCTTATACTGTGATAGTACTAACCTCATTATAGTAACCATCATAGTCTTCATTGTGATCATACTCATGTTCGTAATCTTCTTCATCATCATCATCATCCTCATCTTGATTGTCCTCTTCAGGGTCTTGGAAATGCACTTGTTTGAATATCTCTGTGACTGAGGAACCTTTATTAGCTTCACCGTTAGGTTTTATCTCAGTCTTCACACCGTCAGTTTGCTCTGTGGTAGCAGAAGTACCTGACTGTGTCTGATTTACAGCATTCGTAAACACTGAATTATCTGCACGTGCACTATTTTCCAAATGCTTTGGAAGTCTTAAAGGCGCTACGCCACTGAAACTATTATCTTTGGTCTCCTTCTCTTCTCTTATGGCTTGTGCAGCTTGAGCTTGCAGTTTCTAAAACAAAACAATAAATATGGTCATGACTATAATGTTTATTGGGGTATTCAGACCCATTTGTCCACTTTTGACATTGTGATGAAAGGGACGTTTGACATACTCATATTTTTCGTACCATATTACAATTCTACGTGACAAAAGGTAGTCCAGGACTAAGAGAAAACTGAAATTGTCACAAAATTTGGTGTCTGCCAAATTTGAACACACGACTTTTGCAATTTATAAATCAGAGACTGCAGTATCATTTACATTGTAATTTTGCAGAAGTAGTATACCATACTGTCATTCTATATAAGTAAATCCTTATTAATATTAAAAATATGTTTGTTACATTTTGACATCTTAACATTCAATCGTCATAAAATTTAGTATATACATAGTATTTGGGATGGAAGCCCATAGGTTACTTTTTATACCAGTTAAACAATTATCCCGAGCATGTAAATGAATTCATGGGTAAAAAGTAAATTTGCAAGTATGTATAAACAAATGTATGGTAACAAATAGTAAACTAATTCATCCCAAAATAAAATATGAGGAAAAATATTCTATATAAAAACAAATATAATGTGAACGTACAAAGGGGTTTAAACTACTACTGTACATAACTAGTTATAGTGAACTTACTCGTACACACTGGATTATTTTCTCCTGGAAGGCGGTGGCTAATTCTGTCGACTTGAACCTCACAGCGAGAGTTTCTTGCTCACCAGCGGCTGTCTCCGCGTAATTTCTACCGGCCCACGTCCATGCACGATCCGAATTTTTCATTGGTAATAGTTCTAAATCCATGAATAACAGCATATTCAGTACCGCTTTGTGAACCTGAACAAGTAAAAAAATGTACATTTATCCAACCTTAGGGAGGTTAACGAACTAATACATAACAAATATTTATTATATTTTAGACGACTTTGCATAAAATCTCCTCTTATTTTGGATAATGCGAAATTGTTAAATTCGATTTTATATATGTGGCTCTTCAAAAATTAGATAAAGGTTTCTCCTGAGTCGCAACCTCGTAATGTTCCTACGTATACATACATGTGTGTGATGCCCCTGGTATTGCAGATGTTCATAGACCGGTTAACCGGTAACCGGTTCATCAAACGGGACGTATATTAATTTTCCACCTCAGTGGTATAACACGAAAATATTGAATTCATTTCTACTCAGGCATAAATGTAAGTAAATATGTAAAAAAATTAAAAAAATTGAAATGGAATAGTGTTGGTTTACGATGACCGACTACCAGTGAGGTGCGAAAGATGAGAATGGTAAACAATTACGAATAATGTTTTTATACATACCGTAGAGTGGTGATTACAACATACCTGTTCTCGCCGGAGCAATAATCTATAGCTTTTCTTCTGAGGATGATACAAAATTTTCATTTCCCCAACACCGCGTTCCTTCCATTCTCGAGATTTGTCATCATAACGGTACAGTTTACAACGTTCTCCAAATAATTTTTCCTGTAAAAGTAATTATATAAAAATAATACTCATTTTTACATTCATATAAACATAATATACATGCACAAAAGTGAATAAAACATATTCCAATAATCTATATAATTATTTAGTATGTACGAGCTATAGTAAATCAAACTAATAGTAATTGAATTAGTAAGTATTGTTATTTACATAATGAAATTTACCTCATCTTCTTCTCCAGTTGTAACCACGATTTTTTCAGGCAATGGCACAATTGGTTCATAATGAGGATCATATTCTTCATCAGCGCCGGCAGTTGCACTAGCTTCGTCACCAGCACCGCTTTCACTCTTAGATGTATCAGCGTCTTTACTAGATTTTTGGGTGGCCCCAAACAATTGTTGTCCAGCACCTTCCCATTGAAAATCGGATTTTTCTGTAATACACATTAAATTTAATATTAATGTACACATAACATTCCCTACATAATTTACAATATCTGCATTAAATTATTACTTTGAAATCCAGGTCCACTAGAAGACAGCGCAGCAAACGATAAATGATTGTCGACTTTAAAAAGAGTCTCCTGTTCAGTAGCTGCATTGCCTGTGTTTGTGTGATCTGTTTCTTTATCTCCAGAACCTTTTGATGATATAATATTGGATTGTTTCTGCTCAATATTCAAACCTGAAGTCCACTGAGGAGTTGCATTAGTTGCAACTCCAAATATTGATTTCCCAGTGCCCAAATTTTGATTTTGCACATTTGTACTAAATATAGATTTTCCACTCGATGCAAATATATTATTAGATTTATTTTGAGTATTAGCTAAATCACTTATACCAAATATATTACTTTTACTAAACCCGACTTGTTTCTGTTCATCTGCTCCAAATATTGATTTTACTTCTGGTTTCTTGGCCTCCTCCTTTTTGTCAGAAGTGATGCCAAATATTGACTGATTCATTGATGTTCCTGAATTTCCACCACTAAATATTTTATTTCCAAATAAAGGATTAGATTGAGCAAATACAGATTTAGGCTCTATGTTCTGTTTTCCAGCCTGTGTTGATCCAAATACAGATTTGGTTTCAACAGTCTTTTTTTCATCTTCTGACGTATTTAAATTACTCAACTTAGGAGCTGCCAATATTGAATTTTTGGACACTGTCTGACTTTGGTTTTCAACACTATTTGTGGATTTGTTTTCTGGTGAGGTGAATAAAGTTTTTTGATCTGCAGACTCGGAATAAAAACCAGAATTTTTATCAAAAGAATTTTCTTTGTTTGTATTATCAATTTCAATCGCTGAATTATTATTGCTTGTAAGGGTTGAAGACTTAGTGTTTGTACCAATAGCGCCCAAAGGTGTTCGGAACATAGAACCATCAAAAGATTTATCAAAATTGGTAGGAGTTCCATAAAGGGATTGTGTTGGACTTTGTAATGTGAATGATGGTGTTTTTATTGGTGTGGATATAGAAGTGAAAGGAGAAGATTTTATAACTGTATTTGCTGAAACAGGTTGTATACTGTCATCATCTCTGCAGCCACGACAACCTAAACAAGGTTCTTTATTTTTATATGTAAAGAAGTTCTCTGGTAACATCAGCTCTTTAGCGATTTTCTTTTCTTCTACAGATGCCTGTATTTCACTCACGAAAATAACATCATCAGTATCACCAGATTCTTTTTGATTACTGTCAACCACTTTTTTATTTTCTAATTTCCCATCTCTCGCTTTATCAATAGCTTCCTTGAATTCTAGAGCAATTTCATTAGTTTTAAACCTAAGGCAAAATTGTTGAAGACTCAACTCCCCTTCACTAAAATCATTAGCAGCAAATAACCAGGTCTTGTCATCCTTTGGTGTATATGTAATGTCTGGAGATAAAACATGATTCAAACAAATCTTCAAAACTTGTTCCCGGCGCATTACAACTCTGTAAAAAATGTAAATACTGTATAAATACACAAACATATATATATACATGTAATACATTTATAGAGGTGAGAGGCGATTGTTAATAATTGAGCTTAATAACCCGCATTGCTAGCAATATTAGGTCGACCTACACGCGGTTTTCCCTGGAAACCATCGTGATTAATTTATTGTTAAATTTGTCACGATAGGCCAAGGAAACTGCTTCAACCTCACTGGCGCCCCAGTGAGGGATGATAGGTGACGCCAGCGTATACAGATAGCGCAGATATGGGGTTGCCATAATTACACTAATAATTATTTGAACTTACCTTACTTTACCAGTATCTTTATGCTTCAATATTTTAACTATACCAATACCCCTTTCTTTCCATTCACCTGACATAAATCTGAATAATTTAGCCCGATGACCGTAAAGCTCTATTTCATTTTCCTCTCCGGTAATTACTTCCACCTTGAAATAATGAACATACATGTTACTAAATATGCACAGTATAATTAAAAAAAAAATACATAAATAACAATATTAGAAATGATTTTTATTCTTACTTTGTCTGGCATCGGTATAACTGGACTAAAGTGAATATGATGTCCTTCATCCTCTGATGCATATTCATTACCGTCACTGTCTTCACCTTCTTGATTACTAGGTGATTTTACAGGACTTTTTCCTTTGGTTGCCGTTTTAGGTTTAAAAACAAAGTCAAATGTACCGCCTTCTTTACTCAGAGGAGTATTTGTAGTTTCCTTTTGAGGAGTTGGTAATAATCCTGGTTTTACTGGTGTAACAATTTTGATTTCTTCATTTTTATTTGTGGTAAAATCAACTGGTTCTGTGTTATCTTGTGTTGTTTTCAGGGATCCGAAAGCAGAACTTCCAATAGGCTTTTTATCTCCAAAAGATATAATACTTAATCCTTTATCTTGTGGATTTGAAGAAATACCGAAGCTAAATTTGTGGGCACCAGTGCCATCAAAAATTGAAGTTGTCTGAACTGGTGTTGTAGGAACTATAGAAGATTTTTGATCAGTTACTGTAGTAGAAGGAATACCAAATGTAAATTTAGAACCAGAATTACCCAGACCAAATAAAGATTTTGGCTCTTGTTTAACAGAATTTGGATTTTTTGGGTTATTACATGCATTGCAATTTTCATTGTTAGCTTCATTTCTAACAAAACATTCTTTGCACTCCCAAGTACCTTCTTTTGGTTTAAACTTATCTCCCCAACCTGAAGAAACTGGTGTAGTTACTACTGGAATATTACTCTCAACTTTTACAGTGGTATTTGTTTGAGCAGGAATACCAAAGTTGAATTTAGGCGCATTATCAGAAGTAAGTTTAAGTCCACTTTTTTCTGCATTAGGATCTTTTGGACTATTACAGGCACTACACAATTCAATATTAGCTTCATTACGAATTAAGCATTGCTGACATTCCCACATACCAGGTTTGGGCTTGAAAGCTTCTCCCCAAGTCGAAGTAGTAGGGGCAATTGCATTATTTTGCATAGAAGTACAACTAGGTTTAGGTTGTTCACAACAAGCACATTTATCAAAACTTTCCAAATTATTTGTGTAACAAGTCTCACAATACCAAGATCCTGCCTTGGGTTTAAATTTATCTCCAAATCCAATCTGACTAATTTGTTTTGCTGCATTTTGTTCTTCTTTTGCAGCCTTTGAGTCATCTTTCATTTTCGATTGTGCCGTTTTTATGGCATCAATGAAGCTATCACAGGTTTGGGCTGTTTTAAAACGTAAACAGAATGTTTCTGCGACCAATTCGCCCTCTGAGAAATCTGTTGCTCCCCATGTTACAGCTTTATCCATATTTGGCATTTTTTGGAAAATCATCTCTTTTGTGATTGCATGATTACAGCACACCTTCATAATCTGTTCTCTTCTCATTAATAACCGAACTTTTTGTATATTATCCTTGTGTACAAGCAACTTTATATTACCAAGTCCTCGTTCTTTCCATTCCTTAATAGAAGTATCAAATCGCAATAATTTAGCCCGATGTTCAAACATAATATTTTCATCTTCTTCGCCAGTTTTCTGTTCAATCAAAGCAGGCAATGGTACAACAGGTTTAAATTCCACTGTAGGTTCGAATTCTTCCACGGTATCTGAATTATTTAATTTATCTATTGTTTCTTTATTGGACTCTGTTTTGGTGACATTATCAGTAACTTGGTTTGAAGATGTACTAAATAAGCTACTAAAAGGCGAATTTGTTGTAGTTTTAAAAGTTAAACCACTGAAAACATTCGTCTTAGATGTTGCTAGTTCTGAAGATTTAGTATCGGATTTTATATCAGTCTCCACTGGCTTAAAAGTCGGCGTACTGCTAAAAGTGAAGCCTCCAATAACTGTTTTAGATGTCTGCGATTGTTCCGGGGTATTTTTTACTGTAGTAGTAAACTGGGTGAATAATGGTTTGGAAGATTCGGCCTTCTCTTTGTTTTCATGTTTAGAAGTGTTGGCAACGGTAAGTAGTGATTCTTGTCGTGCTTTTTCAAAAGCCTCATAAAATTGTTGTGCTATATCAGCAGTTTTAAAACGTATGCAGAACTTTTCTAGAACGACAGTCTCATCTGCAAAATCATTCGCAACCCAAAAGTAGGCTTTCGTTTCATTTTTCATGGGCTTTATTTCCATTTCTGGTGTAATAATATGATTGGCACAAATTTTATGGATTTGTTCACGGCGCATTAAAACTCTCACCTTAGCAGTAGTTTTATGTTTAAGCAATTTCATATCACCAAGTCCTCTTTCCTTCCACTGTTTATCGATGAATCGGAATAGTTTAGCTCTTGAACTAAATATTGTTATTTCGTCTTCTTCGCCAGTTGTTACTTTTACTTCAGCTGGTAATGGTATGATAGGTTTGAAATCGGGACAAGGATCATAATTTTCAACAGAAGTATTACTTCTCTCAGACAAAGTCCTAGATTTGTTTAGGCTAGTATTAGGTGAAACTCCTGTAAATACTCCATCAACAACATTCACAGTATTATCCAACGTGTCATTACCTTTTGTAGAGTTTGACGCAGTGTCTGTAGAGGTATTTTCCGCATTTGAAGATTGAGATTGGAACACTGTTGATTGGTTCCAATTATTAAAGGGACTTGTTGTGTTCATTGTTTTGTTCCCAGACGGGAAGCTAAATATTGGAGGAGTCATTACTTTTGTCTCATTCGTTGAAGGCATTGGTATTTGATAATTATGAGCAGTTCCTTTAATGTGTTTAGATGGAATTGTCACACTCAGTATTGGAGCTGGAGTTGTAGTACAGGTAGGCAGTGGGTCTGACGATGTAATTACAACATTTACTGGTAACGAACGTGGTATTTCTTTTGATTCAGGCGGTTGAACCATTTTTGATGTTATTACTGAAACTGCAGTAGTGGAGACTGATACCGATGCACTTGGAACAGTAGAAGCAGTTGGAATCGTCGGTAAAATAGGAACAGTTGGTACTGAAGAAACTGATGAAACTGCTGGAGGAGGTATATTTGGCGGAACAAGGTGAGACACATCTAAATACATTTGATCGGGTGTTGTATACATTCCAGGATAATTCATTGGAGCTCTAGTTGGGTCGAATAGCGGCGGAGCGCCCGGAACTTGAGTTGCTTGCGCAAATTGTGGGTACTGACTGTAAAAGTTATACAAATTTTGACCATATAATTGATAAGGATTAGGTGGAACAGGAAACGGAGGTACAAGGCGCTGATTAAATGAAGATAGCACTTGCGGCGGTGTAAACGGCAAGGGTGCAGCAAAACTAGTACTTTCATTTGTTCTATAGTCATCTTCTAAATTGTACAAATCACTTTCATCTATTGTCTGCTCAGATGATGCTTTCTTCAGTTTATTCACTTCTTTCTTCAACTCTGCAATTTGTTTCTTCAAATCTCCCACATCTTTACATTCATTTCTGCATTCATCAATTTGGTCTTTAACATTATCTACTGAAATCTTAAGGAGTTTAAATTGATCTGTAGTGTTCTGAATATTTGTATGAATAGTACTAATAATTTGATTACTTAATTTACGATTCTCTTCAAACCAAGTCTTACTCTGTTCCATGAAATCACTAATAGTGTTATCTCTCTTCTGCAAATTCTTTATTTCATTTTCAATTCTTTCTAAAAATTGTTGATCAGCTCTTGTACTTTCTAAAATATGAGAGTCTGTAGCAGTACGATAATTAGTGACATTTGGATTGGGCTGTTTTGGTGTAGAGCTTATGTTGCGAAAAATGTGAGAATTTGGTCGTGCCGAATTATATTCGCTTCCGATAAATGATACATTTTCATCTGAGGAATATTTGCCGCCTACATCATTAACAGCAGTATCAGAAAGGTCAGGATCAATTTTATTTAAATGTGTTTCTATACTTTCTATCATGACTTGAGTATCTGAATATAATGGATAGTCTTTATTAATGCCTGAATTTTTTAAACTGTCTAGTGCTTTATAAGAATAATTTCTGGCCCTTGTAAGTAGGGATACACATTTGGTTTTTGTTTCAAGTGAATTGGCATCTTTGGAAGTGTTGTTTTCATCAATAGCAATTTTTTTGTAGGTTAAACCAAGATAGTAGTATGCTTGTGGAGATTTTAAATTTGATAAAATTTCAATTACCTTAACATAATCACAATCATTTAGATGATTTACAGCTACAAACAACTTGCTTTCTTCTATTAATGATATCAAATCTTTTGTGCTAAGTTCTTTATGTGTATAATCAAACAATCTTTTTTCAGGCATTTTTACTACTATCTTAGATTTTAATTTTTCAAGCAATGGTATAGCCGAAGAATAGTAAAGGCCAGCTCTTATTTCTAAATTATTTTTGTCATTAACAACAGTTGTTAGTTTCGCTTTTTCACTAAATATTCGGCCTAAAGTACAAAGTAGCTCTGGATCTAAGCCATAGCTATCAACACATCTTACCACCTCTATCCCTCGACTCAATGTCGCTCGAATATCTGTTAACTCTGTGCCTAATTCATTTTGGCTAAATTTATAAGCACAATCCCACCATTTCATCTGGGAAAGAGGACATAATAAATCAGTAATAATAGCTGGTAAAACAGTCGGTTTATCAGCAACAACATAAATTCTTTCCGTATGCTTTTGCTGTCGTGTTGTTAAAGCAGCACAGTAAAGGAATGCATGAATATCTAATTTATTTAATGTTTCAGGACCACAATCAGATGTTGTTGGTGTTAGCATATCAAAGAGAGTGCATTTAAAATGTGCATAGTTTTTATAGTTCAGCAATATCCAAACAAAATGATGTAGTGAGTTAGGATATTCCTTTTGGGCATCAATATCATATGTTTCAACTTCTATTTTTCGGGGCAATCTAAGAACAGGAGCATTAAACCAATTAGAAGTGATATGAGAAGACTTTATCTTTGTCAAGTGTCCCCTACTAGTAAATATCTTTTCATATAATTTATCCCTCCAATGCGTACCAGAACAACATTGGGAGATCCGATCTAGTAAAAGCTGGCTTTGATCTTGAATGTTTGAAAGCAAATAATGGCCAGATTGAGAGCATCTGTATGCACCTTCAGTATACCATCGGCGGGCAGCTTGCTGTTGCTTCTCTGTAGCATGTGTTAACCAATTTACTTTAAGATCCTGAGGTGTGGTATGCCATGCTATCAACATTAAGGGAGCTGCAAACTTTGTTGCATCACGCCAACTAAGTTGATCTTTTTTAGCTTTCTTTAATAGAAATGTAGCTGCAATAAATGCAAATTGACCTCTATGATGCTGCAATAAACCTGTGTGAAATTCAGCATATCCAGGAGTTGCTCCAGCCTTAGTCACAATCTCAATAGCCTGGTCATAAGCATGTAGAAGTTCATTACTTTCAACCAAACTTTTTGATGAACCACTTGGTGTTTCTGTAAGACTCAACACACAAATCCGTTCCCGAACTGTCAATAAAAGTAGTTGAAAAACCCAGTCATTTTGGTTGTGTGAATCATGTTTAAGTAGATCAACAAGTGTTTCATACCAAGTATAATTATTTATGAAAGTTTTGGCACCAAACTCAATATTGCAGCTATGATCAACTGCTTTTTTTATTTCATTGGTTTGCATGTAATGTTTAAGTAAACGAGTATGAAGCAGTGCATCTTTTGGTCGAGCTACCAATTCAGCTGTCAGCAAATTGACAAGGGCTTCTGGGTCAGAATTAGATTCAGTAATTAGTCTCTCACGCATCTTAAATGTCACTGGATGTCTTGGAAATGTTGCCTCAGCTTTCTCACACCAATATTTTGCACGTCCAGGATCAATAGTAACATCATCATCAGCTAGTAATTCGCAAACTGAAACAATTACAAAAGATTAAATTGTAACCAACAGTACCATATAGTATTGCATTTGAGTTTTCTTGAATTTCAGACACTAAAACTTTGATAACAATATTTAAGAATAAAAGATATACTATAAAGATATCTGCTACATCTATATAGTAACATGTACTGTATAGATGTAGCAGTAAAGATATACTGATAAAAATTATGAAACAAGAAAATTTTCTTATTTAAATTTTTTATGTACACACTAATTTAATATTCTTTATTCTTTATTGTACACAAAAGGTTATTGAAATGTAAAAACAAACATAATAGTACACAAAGGTGCACTTATCTCCAATAGAGATTTCTTCCAGCAAACCCAATATGAGAAAACTGACGGTGCATTAGTAGTTACAGTCATACATGTGTACCAATCGACTTAAATGTTATAATTAAAAATAAATAAAATATCTTTACAATTAAAAAGACCGATAGGTATAAATAAATAAATATATAAGTAAATACATATAAATAGATAGATATATATTATATATAATACACAAATATAATAAGTATGTACATGAGCATTGTGAGAGGTAATAATTCTTCAGATGTGATTTGACATAATTGTCAAATGACATAATATTTATGAAAAGATTAAATAGATGGTGTTAGAATCAAATACTATGTATAACTTTTTTAAAAATTACATATTGTATTGTCTGAATATGAAATTCACAAAAAATTTATAATTTTGAATTATTTTGTAACTTGTATAATATCACTTAATTTAGTTTATTAATGATATTTTCCATTACCAAAAAGGGTGTTAGAAATTATAATTAATTTAAAATTTTGGCTTTGATTTTAGAAATTGGAGTAATATACTACTATAGTCCACTATTCTCGATAAGCTCATATTTACATAATAAGAAAACACAAAGGCAGTAAAATAATATACATTTTTTTAATAATATTTATGCAGGGCAACAAATGATTATAATTGGGTGTAATAAACTGCAAAGTAACCCGAGTTCATTTAAGGTAAATAAAATATACTTTGAAAAAAAGTTGTGAAGACCCTATTTAAGTATTTATTTATTAATTTCCTTGTTACAATGTCATTACAACATTGATCTCAAGTAGACTAGGTATAGCACACAATATTGATTTCAATTTTACAGTAACATATAATAAACATCCCATCCCTTGTGAATTCCATCACAGACCACAAAGAAATCAGATAGAGGTACTATCTGAAATATTATTTAATAGAATAAGTGCTCTAATAAAATAATATAAGCAATATATTTTAACCTGAACAAATGTTTTAGCATTAGGCACTGCAAATAATATGTGACATATACCATAACCATATTTGCTTAAAAGTACAAGAAGTTTACATTAGCCAATACAATAGAATTTTGTTTGTGTTAATAATGTTTGCCCTTAAAACTTTAAAAACATGTGACAGTTGATGTCTCTTCTTGCCTCTACTCTATTGTATCCCATCAACCCCAGTAAGAATAACGGAGGGTACATTTAGGGAAAAAATAGACACTGTAAGGCTTGAAATATAAATACCTAATAAATTTGTTCTGTAGATAACACTATAAATAACCTAGTAAGTTTAATACTAAACAGATTTCATTCCACAAAAAAAATACCTTCAATCATAGTAAAACTAGATATTTTAATTTAAAAACTGAAGTACTGAACTAATTTTATTAAATTTCTATAGTACTAATGTGAAAGAAAATTCTTTAACCTTTCAAGTAAAAGAGTTTTCCAAGTTGATTTATAAATAACAGTTATGAGGTAAAAAACTGGTTAGGTCCAAGTTGAATTCACACACCAATGGTTCCATACATAAATATATATGATATTAAATTACCTATATTGCCTTTAATATATAATTTCTTATTTTGAGCTATAACTGTGGTTAAAAACTGGATCATACAAGTAAGTTTGTTTTCAGAATTTAATAATTTGTCAATATGGTACAAGTTAGAAACATTGTTTTATTTTTCATGTAATACTCAGCCTTTAACTATTCACTGCTGAAGATAAACCTCCTCCTTAAGGAATTTTACCAGTAGTTGCCACATTTGCCAGGTGGATTGGCAACTGCAGTTAGGCTTTAGAGATGTTTTAAAAGGGATAATGCTGCTCATCCCTTGCCCTCCCTAAGTTGCCTCTTATGATACCCACAGGAAACAAAGGGATGACCTGTTCTATGCTAAGACCATACAGCAATATTTAATACCTGCTGATACTAGTAGGTCAATTTTAAAACTTATCAATTTTGAACCCTATCCTAGAGAAATGACAAGTTATTTTTTCAATTATTTCCATTGATATATGTACAAGCCAATAATATATAAAATTATTTCAAATAGATAGCTTTAATAGTTGTTCAGATATAACACTGTGACAGATAGACAAAGTTATACCATAAGGGTTCAATTGCATTTTTTTAACATGGAACCTAAATAAACCACATAAACATAAACCTAATAACCAAATCAAGAGCCTGATTGTTTAAAGTCAGTTTTATATAAAAGCTTTTTTTATGCAACTTTAAAGTGATGACGCTAATGTAGTTCAGATACTACTCCTGTCTAAATAATAGCATAAATTTCAAGAAAATAAGTATTTAACAATTACTCATAGTACTAAGTACAAATCCATTTCAAAACATTGTAGGCAACCTACAGGTAGGTGTTAACCTACATTTGATTAGTCAAGATAATCTGAGAAACACAAAAATAAATAATTATGAATATCTATTCTGATTATCTATTATTTATTGAATGATTTCGATAAGATGGCATCATAGACTTCACAAATGATCTGTAATGTCAATGACATCTCTTTAACACACATGGAAATTTAGTTATCGTGTTTTATTATCAGTAATTAGACAAGCTTTTACCCTTTACTGTGAAACAAAGTATAAGATTTTTAGTTCACAGCAGGGGGTATGACAATAGTCCCACCTAAATGAATGACACGAAATCTAATAGAATGAGAGCATATCATCCATAAAACTAAAAGGAATACAACAAATACTTACTGTCCAAAATAGTACTGGTTTGAGTTGGGTCTATATCAAGAGCAATTTTATATTGCTCAAGAGCTTTTTCTTTTTGTCCCAGTTTCTGTAATGCTTGTCCAAGGAGCTTGTATGCTGCGGCATTATTATCTTTTTGTGTCAGATATTGTTCGACATATAATTTGCAACTAGCATAGTCTCCCACTTCATAATACAGCCGAGCAATTGAATATGCCCTTGTTTTAAACTGAAAACAAACAAAGTTATAAGAAAATACTTGATAATAAACCTAATCCTTGAAAATATGCCAAGAGACAATTTTGTACACTTACCTCTTTTACAGACAATTTAGATATCAAATTTTCAACGTATTTATCTACATCCTTTTTATTTCTATACATTTTCACAGCTATCACCAAAACAATATTATTTTTTAAAGCCGATATTAATTGCACAAGATAAAATCGCGTGGAGAAAAGATCGGCATTCGGTATTCGTCATTTTCTGAAATGGGTGGCTGTTCTAATAAAATTCATTTACCCCACAGCATAGCGTTAATCAATAAACTTTTAGAAAAGTCGTTGGGTTTATTATAAAAAAATATAAATAACCATAAAAAAAAAATTTCATCAATTAATATATAAAAAAGTATCTACTATATATTTACATGAAATCAACACGAAACATTTCACTGTTTATAAGAGCGATGGACTCCATGTTTCGTAGATACAAAAAATTGTGAAAATCAATTTAGCGTTAACAATGTGTAATCATTTAATATAATTACAAAAAAACGACGAATTAAAAAAATCCTTCTTTGAAAAATCGCTTGAAACGACAAAAAGTTGAAATCAATTTAAAAAATTAGGAATTGGCTCTTTTCTTTATAAACCGAATTGATTACTCAGGTCAGTGGGTTACGTAAATGGATGGTCCATGTGGTCTCTGGACAATTAAAAATAATCCCTATTCTTATTGGAGATTAAGGAATCTGTGTTCCTTAATCTCCAATAAGAATAGGGAATATTTTTAAGTTAGGTCACATTCATTTTGTTATCTTAATGTTGGCTAAGATGAAAGGATGAATTTAAAAAAAGGAATACGTTGAACTTCCTTACGCCACATTTACACGCTCGACTCGCGACATTTAATAGTTTAATTATGACTCTATTAAAGGTTTATGAATTAAAACCATTTCTAATGCCGTTTGTAGAAGAAAAATTAAGTTGTGATTTACCATAAAAACATATAGGTAGTTGTTTGTAAATGATAAAAGTCAAGTTTTATTTTTTTACATTTTGTTCTATTTAAATAATGTTCTATCTAAATAAATATGAAATCATAGCGCCATTAGAAAGCATCGTATAAAAAACCACGGCAAATACTAGTAATTATATTTGATGAGGTCTTTAATCTTTGGTTTTATGAAATTTTATAAAGCTACTTTGTTACTTATGGTACACATCATGACAAACGTCATTCATATGTCTAAAATGTCATTCGTCAACCATTTCAATTCATTCATTTAGCTATACTGTAAGCAGTGTTTTACTTATCTTCTTTTATTTTAAACTAATTAAAAATATATATAAGGAGAATAGTGATTTTTAGACACTATATTTAATTGAATAATAAACTGTTTTGTCAATAAACAATTTGTGGATAGTAGAGACATTTTTTTTCTGTTGATACTGAAGGAACAAATACTACATTAAATGAAATATATCATTGTAAATAAATAAAATGGGCGATTCGGATTTTGTGTACGGATCGTCTTTATCTATTGATTCTATGAAAGTTATCGCAGAAAGTATTGGAATAGGCAGTCTCGGAGACGATGCCGCTAAAGAATTGGCAGATGATGTTACCTACCGTCTCAAAGTTATCCTACAAGATGCTATGAAATTTATGCACCACTCTAAACGACAGAAGTTATCCATCACCGATATAGATCACACTATAAAATCCAAGAATATTGAGGTAACTATTTTTAATAGAAACAAAGTACTTTAAGCATTAGGTACGATCTATATTATAGCGCCAGTCACACTCTACTGGTCCAATGTAATTATATTTGTGCTATAATGCTGGTCTTGGTTCTCTCAAGTTTAATATTACTAATTTTCTTTAGACTGGTTGTAATTAGAACTGGATTGTGACTTTTAATGTGAATAGGTATCTATATATAATAACCAATTGATTGGCACTATCATTTGAATTGGGCCTTAGATCTCACATTTAATACCTTATATACAGCTGCATCATTAATTAACAAGAATACTTTATGTTAATTAATGAAGGGAAAGCTGATTGTGTGGTAAAATAGGATATGGTCCATTTCTGTACCAAATGTGATTCAAATTAAATCATTTGAATATCATTGAGTAACAAACATACAAACTTTTACTTTTGTTATATTATTGTTTGTCTTTTGTTATACAAGAAGATGACAAGGGTGTGGGGTCCTCAAATTGAACAGAGCTTCCATGTGTAATTAGCACTCAATGAGTGTATTCATATACTCAAACCCTAGAGTACATTACTTAGCCATTGCCATGAAAAAAAATCCTGAAGGGTGGGATATGGCATGAATTTACTGGGTACAGAGGAATAACACCTGAGTCCTCAGGAATGGCAACACATGGAGGGTATCATGGGTGAAACAGTATACTCTGTAATGTCCATGGTACTGCTCATGTCTATAGGCGACGGTTACCACTTTCCATTAGGTGGGCCATCAGCTTGTTTGCTATTCAAAGTTGTATAATAAAAAAATTTGAAAAAAAAAATTTTAATTTGTATTTAGATTTAATAAATCATTATAAACAATTTCTTATCAACTTTTATACATTGTTAAATTGAAATTGTCAAGTCGACACTTGTTATGGAATATATCATTACCTGTTACAGTTTTATTTAAACTATTACTAAATACTTCAGCTTCTTTTTCAGTTTTTATAACTTTTTTTATAACCAACAATCTTACGAAGATACTTGTTACAGTTTTTACACTTATCAGACATTACAATTACTATATTATATTAATATGTATATTATTATAATTATTTATATAATATATTAATAATTATAATAATAATTATTAATATCATAATAATCATTAGGTTTAACAGTCACTAATTTTAAAATCTTGAAACTAAATACAAAAAAAAGTCAAAGTCATAAGTTATCTTCTAGAGCAATACCAATAATGCGAAGTTAGTAAACCATACAATAAATAACGTGATAACAAGTCCAAATATGTTTGTTTACAATTTTGTCCGCATGTTAGGTAAAATCATGTTCAGGTCCATATAAATGTTTATGTATTATAGAGCATATAAAGAAGCATGACATATATTATTTTCGTGATTGTAAGTCTCAAATAACACGAAAAACAAAATTATTATTTATTTATTTTTTTATTTTATTATATAAAAAGATCTTGTAAAAATTCTAAAAAAATATATGATATAATTTGTAATGTAACCTACAACCTCGCATTGGTCTCGCATCTTTAGCTTAATAAGTTTTTGAGATATATTACTTTGAATAATAGTCATGCATACAGCTATTTTTTCTCATATCTCAAGGTCAAGGTGATAGTTGGTCGCGAAATATACATAAATCGTGTTAGTACACCAAGTAGATATTAAAACATAAGTTTCGATATAGGTTACCATTTGGGGGCAGATTCGACATATTTATCTGGCTAAACCCTTTCTAAACCACTTTACAAACTTTGCATTTATAATATTAGTAGGACTAGTTGTGTCCTGTTGGGTACCCCACATAAAAGTACATTAATTTAGCATCTGAGGTCATCTAATTTTAATTGGATTAAATTTCAACTATTTGTGTTATATTTAAACTTTAATAGATTTTTTTTTGTTTTAGCCACAATATGGATTCTTACAACCAGATTCATTACCATTTAGATTTGCATCCGGTGGTGGCAGAGAACTTCACTTTATTGAGGAGAAAGAAATTGATCTATCAGAAATATTATCAGCTCCCCCACCAAAGGTACCATTGGATGTATCAGTGAGAACACATTGGTTAAGTGTGGATGGAGTGCAGCCGACAGTACCAGAAAATCCTCCACCACTGACAAAGGAAATACAAAAACTTGAATCTGTTGATCCAATCAGTAAACTCAATAAGCCCACAAATAAGGATGCTGCAGGTATTGTATAAGAATACTAAGAATGCTTAATTTTGTTAACCATCTTCAAAAAAGAAGGAGGATCTGAATATATATATATATATATATATATATATATATATATATATATATATATATATATATATATATATATATATATATATATATATATAATGAAATTTAGTTGTATTTTTTTATGTTTGTTACCTAAGAATTGCATCTTTATTAACTATTTGGAAGGATTTTTTTTGAAAGGATACTATACTTTGAGATTTATCAGGTAGAAATAATAACCTACTGGCAAATAGATTAGTAGATTTAACACAATTTTTACAATAATTATATTTTCCATGCAGGTAAACCAATGTGTGGCAAAGCAGCTAGATTGAAAGCCTCAGAATCAGTACATGTAAAACAGCTGGCGACCCATGAGCTTAGTGTCGAACAGCAATTATATTACAAGGAGATTACAGAAGCTTGTGTGGGCAGTGATGAAGGCCGTAGAGCGGTAAAATTTATTTGTTTTTATCTATGTAGTAGTATTATTTCAGTTTTGAATCCTCAAAAAAATAAATTAATATAATGGTGGGTGATTTGACTGATGTTTAATTTCTACAGTAAATTTAATTAAAATAAATCATGTATTATATTCTTAACTTTTGCTTACAGTTTATTATTTATTATGTGTAACAGGAGGCACTGCAGTCCTTAGCGTGTGACCCTGGACTTCATGAGATGTTACCAAGAATGTGCACTTTTATCTCGGAAGGTGTGAAAGTAAATGTAGTGCAAAATAATTTGGCTCTACTGATTTATCTAATGAGAATGGTGAAAGCTTTGCTCGATAACCAGTCACTTTATCTAGAAAAATATGTAAGTAATTCAATACTTTAGCAATAAAAAAACATATTTAATACTGACTTTGGCTATGGCAACATCTGAGTTGCTGGAATATATTTATTATTATAGTTTATTAGGATAAAAAGTCCTTTTCTATATCACTCTATTACATACACAGAATTGATCATAATAACAATTGGTAATATTCCTAATATTCCAAGGAGTTCTTTAGTTGTAAAAAAGTAAAAAAAAATATCTTCTTTTTTTCTCGACCTGCTGATTTTTTTTTTGCGTTGTTTGAGTTTGATATACATATGTATATTATTTCATTTTAATTTAATTCAATGATTGCTAAAATATACATATTTATACCTTTTTATGCAATATTATATACTTTCACTAACCTTTTTATATTTTGTGCCCATAAAAGTTACTTCATAAACTTATTCCATATTTATGTACTCGTATTTGTTTTGTGTAGTTACACGAACTGATTCCGTCCGTGTCAACGTGTATCGTGTCGCGGCAGCTCTGCTTGCGACCTGAAATGGACAACCACTGGGCGCTGCGTGACTTCGCCTCGCGACTCATGGCTCAAATCTGCAAAACTTTTAACACTTCTACCAATAATTTGCAGACCAGGGTGACTAGGTATGCAGTAGCAAGTATTGTACTCGTAATTCCAGAATTAATATATAATTTACCATTATAATCTAGCAATTGTAAAATTTTTTTCGAATTTCACTCTGTATGTTTTCCCATTTCTCTCGTCCCTATAATATTTCGAAACAGTATACTCTGTTATGTCCATAGTACTGCTCATGTCTATAGGAGACGGTTATCACTTTCCATTAGGTGGGCTGTCAGCTTGTTTCCCATACTAAGATGCATAAAAGAAACTTACAATTAACTATTTGGCATAATCAGCATTATTTTCCAGAGGGGATCTGGCCCCCTAAAAAAAATGCATATATACACATATGTTTTTACGAATCTACTCTCGCATCCTAGAATGGGGACAGTGGACAATTCTAAGGTGGGCATGGTCCACCCGGCTCTCATTTTAAATACACCTATGAATCACTATACAATTATATTTAGACTTTATCTAAAATAAACATTATGATATCCTGAAGGTACTTTTTGTAATTTACAGTAATTACCAGGAGTAACTGTATAAAAATCTTCTGTTTGGGTACTTATCGTATTTCTGCCGCGAAGCTGTGCTTGGATAGCTGTGTTTCGGTTTGAAGGGTGGTATATGGTAGTGAAATTTCAAGGTTAAATAGGTATAACATTCTAGTCCTCAAAAATTGCAATGTATGAGGGGTATTGGACATCACATAGTATTTTGTGATATCCATAACTACAGGCGACGGTTATCGCTTTCTATTAGTTAGATGGTCTGTTTGTTTACAATTCTAGTCTGCATAAACAAAAAAATGTTTATAAACCTCCAATGATGGACCTTTAGATTAGGGTCACTTGAAACTGTGTACATAGATCTTGCGACGTCCAGTTTTGCGGTCATCTGGAGGAGAAGGCTAAGATAGCTTCCAAAAAGTTAGGAGTGCTCAATAGGGTGAGACGATATTTCATGCCAGAACACCGCCTGAAATTATATAAAGCCCAAGTCAGGCCGCATATGGAATACTGTTCTCACCTGTGGGCAGGAGCGCCACAGTACCAACTCCTTCCGTTAGACCGCATTCAAAGTCGGGTGGCTCGAATTATCGATAGTCAACGCCTTACTGTCCGACTTGACCCACTGAAACTGCGCAGAGATGTTGCATCTCTGTGCATCTTCTACCGAATTTATCATGGGGAGTGTTCTGAGGAATTGTTCGGATTGATACCTGCTGCTGATTTTCACCACCGTACAACCCGCCACAAACTAAAGTTTCATCCCAATCATCTGGACGAGTGGCGGTCTTCCACCGTGCGTTTTACAAGGCACTTTCTTCCACGCACAACCATTCTTTGGAATCAACTTCCAGCAGCAGTATTTCCGAACCGATACGACAACATAACCTTCAAGAAAAGAGTATATTCCTTTTTAAAAGGCGGGCAGCACACCTGCAATGCCGCTGGTGTTGTGGGTGATCATGGGCGGCGGTAGTCACTTACCATCAGGTGAGCCGCATGCTCGTTTGCACCCTGTGTTGTAAAAAAAAAATCAGACTTGTTCAGTATTAAAAGCATGTACTTTATATGTTCAATTTACTCACATTGTGAAGAATAAAGCGTAAAATACATGTAAGTAGAAAGAATATTTTTAAAACGATTGTTTTGTTTATAGATTATTTGCCAAAGCTCTGCAGTGTCCGTCACAAACGAACAATGAAAATGGAGTGGGGCCGTCTATGGTCACGACTATGAAGGAATCAGAGAAAACACCTCTTGCATCACTATATGGTGCAGTTCAAGGATTAGCTGAACTAGGTCCAGAGGTTGTGAAGGTAATTTTAGTATGGTATCGCATTGCAATCAAACTGTCGCCGAAGTTTTGGAATTTGATAAAAAAAATTACTTCATAAAGAGGTTTTTAATTCGTCGATATTTTTTTTTATCTGGTATTTATTATTATATACAGTGGTTGACCTTGTGACTTCGCGCATAGTCACAATTAACACACGTATTTGCTTGCCAATTACGTAATGATATTTAAGTACAATTAATTCATGGCTCATTTTTAACCTGTCAAATTTTGGACAAAATCTCTAATGTACAGACTTTTTGACCTTTACGATTCTATAAATGATACTTTACCTAATTCTTTATGATTGATCTCCTATTATAATAGATTTGTTCGCGACATTATTTGTATATATCGTAATTTATAGTTGTTAAGTCCTAGTTAATCGTTTTGTATTCTGTTATTTTATATAGATTTGCATAGATTTAAGATAGTGTAAGTTAAATAAAGTATTCCTTTGTGTGTTGTCATTATTACCTACGAATAGAAATAAAAATTGTAACAATAAATAGAATTAAGAAATTGTAAATTGCAATAAATAGACGCTATAGAGTACCGATCTGAAGAGACACGCGTCTCGTTCTTTCTCGCCCCGTCCCGCTCGCACAGATCGCTAACGCGAGTTGGAAATGTTATCGTGCGAGCGGGCGGGTATAAAGATAGGCCGCCTCTCGTCGAGCGGCATTCGCTTCCGAGCAGCGACGCACTACACTCTCGAGAAGAAATAGGACAAGAAGAAAAAATACTCTCTTCAGACGGTACCGGAGGCTTCAGAATAGTAATCCCTGTGTTTCACTCCAGCCTGAACCAACGCCCCTACAGTCCACGCTCACCGTGCGGCAGTCCACACCGCACATCGTGGTCCTTCGAGAAGCCGGATTGCTGGAGGAACACCGTTGGTACATCGAGAAGCCGGATCGCTGGAGGAAGACCATTCTGAAGCCGGATCGCTGAAATGCCGACTACGAGAAACATGAAGTCGTCGCAACAAAAAGTCGCCGTCACCGAAGCCACAACGTCCGCCGCCACGTCGACTACGGCCGCCGGAACGCTGTCCGTCGCTGCCACGCCGTCCGTTGCTGCCACCACGTCGTCTGCGGCTGTCAGAATGCCTTCTGTCGCTGCCACGTCGTCTACCGCCGCCACCACATCGACTACGAACACGTCCGGCGATACGACGACCACAGGAGCCACGGAGACTACCGAAGCCACAGGAACGACAGAGGAGACAGCAAGGAAGAAGGAACCGAAGCACGGCACGGCACGCACGGTTCGCACCACGGCCTCGCAGAAGAAGAAGGCTCTGGCCAAGGCACGGGAGGAGCTACTTCGAAAGGAGGTGGAATTGGCTGCTGCACGTGTCGCCGCCCTGGAAGCCGAATCAGAGGACGACGAGGAAATAGAAGACGACGACGCTACCGTCAGAAGAGAACGAACGTCGGATTGGGTTCATCGAAGCACGCTAGCACTCACGATGGAGCCGCATGTACCAGAGATAGAAGAAGTCACCGGCAAGCGTCAGGGGTTCGTCCCATCGAGACCCGTTGAAGAGGATTCGAGAGCGCCGCCGCCACAGCCGAGCAGCGACGCACTTCACCGGGACCACGCACGCCACGTTGACCCACATGCCGCCATGCCTACGATAGCAGCAGCGATGCAGTCGATGAAGAAGGAAGAACCGGTGCTGAAAGTGGGCATCGATTGTAATGAGTTTGCGATCGCCATGCAGATGGCCGCTCGCAACATACTGCCCTCCACAGCGTCAAGAGTCACCGAGTTGCCAGTCTTCAATGGATCGTCGAGCGAGTGGTTACCATGGAAGATGGCCTATGAAGAGAGCGCAAGTCAACTCACAGAACAAGAGAACCTAGCAAGACTGCGCAGAAGCTTGAAGGGGGCCGCAAAGGACGCGGCACGCTCCCTATTCGTCGGGTCTACGACCGCAGAAGAAGTAATGAAGATGTTAGCCGCGAGGTTCGGCCGCCCTGGAGCACTCGTCACAGCCGAACTGAACAAACTCCGCGCGCTACCACGACTCTCGGACAACGCAAGAGACGTCTGCCTCTTCGCAAGCAAGGTGCAGAACGTCGTCGCCACGATACGAGCGCTGAACAAGAGTCACTACCTCTACAATGAAGAAATAGTGAGAAACGTCACAGAGAAGATGCCGTCGGTACTACGCTTCAAGTACTACGATTTCGCCAACGACCAACCGGAGGGACAACCGGACCTCATAACACTCTCTCAGTTCCTGCAAAGGACCGCCGCACGATGTGGAAACTTCGCCCCCGCCGAGGATATACCGTCCGAAGACCGGCGGGAGTCCGCTCCTAGGAAGACGGCGAAGACATACACGACGCAGGAGAAACCCGCTACACCACCGTGCCCGATGTGTCGACGAGAGGGACACGCTCCATCGGACTGCAAGACGATGAAGGAAGCAGACACATCGGCGAGATGGGAGTTAGCGAAGACTCATAGGCTGTGTTTCCGTTGCCTCAAAGTAAGAAGATTTCGCCACGCCTGCAAGAGCAAGAGATGTGGAGTAGATGAGTGCACGCAGACTCATCACCCTCTGCTGCACACCACGCGACAACAGCCGGAGAATGAAGTAACAACACACGTCGTCGAGGACAAGTCCGCCGCAGTCACCGCATCGGCAAGGGAAAACGACAAGATCGCGTTCCTGAAGATCCTGCCGATACGAGTCACCGGTCCCACGGGAACGTGCGACACCTACGCGCTACTGGACGACGGGTCGACTTGCACCATCATCGAGACGACGGTGGCGGAGCGAATCGGTGCTACGGGTCCCCCCGCACCATTCTACATGGAAGGTGTGGCCGGGGCACGGATCAACGCAGCTCAATCGACGCGTGTTCACTTCAAGATCCGCGGGCGGAATTCACAAGAATACACAGTGGGGGCACGGACGATGGACAGACTGCAGTTATCACCGCAGTCGGTACCGCGCAGCGTCATCAAGGGCTGTCCACATCTACGAGACATAGAGAGGGAATTGGTCTATGAAGAGGGCAAACCGACGGTACTGTTGGGGCAAGACAACTGGCACCTACTGCTGGCCCACGAAGTCAGAAGAGGATCCGACACGCAGCCGGTCGCATCACTCACCGACCTGGGATGGGTACTGCACGGTACGAGTCGCGGCAGGACAAGACAGCAGGTGCACAGAATCAGCCACATAGTGACGACACATGAAGAGGAACAATCGATGGAAGAAATGATGAAGCAACATTTCGCGCTCGAATCGCTGGGAATCGCACCGAAGAGGTCTTACAATGAAGAGGAACGTCGCGCCCTACGCATTTTAGAGGAGAAAACTCGTCCGTTACCGGCGGGAGGATACGAGACGGGGTTACTATGGAAGAAGGACGACCCTGTGCCGCCGGACAACTACGAATCGGCAATGCGACGTCTCCAACTGGTCGAAAGGAAACTCGACAAGAATGAAGAAATTAAGAAGAGGTATGAACAACAAATGGACACGCTACTCAAGAACGGGTATGCTGAAGTCGCCCCGCCACGGAGTTCCCAACGGGTGTGGTACCTGCCACACTTCGCCGTCATCAACCCGCAGAAACCGGGGAAACTGCGGATCGTGCACGACGCAGCAGCCAAGACGAAGGGCATCAGTTTGAACGACATGCTGCTGCCGGGCCCCGACTTACTTCAATCGCTACGGGGGGTCCTCATGCGGTTCCGGCAACGACGGGTGGCAGTCACGGCGGACATAAAGGACATGTTCATGCGGGTCACCATACGGGAAGAAGATAGGGACATGCAACGGTTCCTGTGGCGAGGAGATCGACGAGAGGGTCCACCTGTGGAATATAGGATGAAGAGTGTCATATTCGGCGCAACATCGTCACCGTGTACAGCGATCTACGTCAAGAACAAGAACGCAGAACAGTACAAGGAAGAGTTCCCGGAGGCAGCAACGGCGGTGGTCATGAACCACTACGTCGACGACTACCTCGCCAGCTTCGACACGGAAGAGCAAGCCGTACGCGTCTCAAGACAGGTCGTACAGATCCACGGTCGAGCCAACTACTATCTCCAACGGTGGGCGTCGAACTCGCATCAAGTGCGCGCCGCGTTCTCCGACACCGGCGGGGACAGCGTGGTACAACTCGACGCAGAGAAGATACTGGGGATGGTATGGCGACCTTCTGAAGACACCTTAGGCTTCAACTTCAACGGACACAAGCTTCCGCCACAGATAGCTAGCGGGGAACAGACGCCGACGAAGAGGGAAGCGCTACGAGCAATCATGTCGCTGTTCGATCCACTGGGCCTCGCCACTCCCATCACCATACAGGCGAAGAAGATATTGCAGGAGACGTGGCGTACCGGTATCGACTGGGACACCGAGCTGCAACCACGGGAAGCGGACGCCTGGCGGAGCTGGATGGACCACGTGCGACGGCTGTCCGCGCTGGAGGTGCCGCGGTGCTACCCGGAGGTAGCCACGGCCGATACAGCGGAGCTGCATACATTCGTCGACGCCAGCTCGGACGCGTACGCCTGTGCCGTGTACTGGCGGGCCGTAAGCGCGACCGGCGAGGTCCACGTGTCGCTGATCGCGGCAAAGGGACGAGTGGCCCCACTCAGCAAGGTGACCACGATACCGCGACTGGAGCTGCAAGCGGCCGTCCTCGGGTGTCGCCTATCGCGCACGGCAGTCGAAGAACACGACCTGAAGCCCGCTCGCCGAGTATACTGGTCGGACTCACGCACCGTGCTCGCATGGCTACGCACCGGTCCTCGCGCATACAAGCCGTTCGTCGCGCATAGAGTCGCCGAGATCGTCGAAGAAACGAAGACGAACGAGTGGAGATGGATACCGACGCGGCACAACGTAGCAGACGACGCCACACGCGACCCACCGACGGACTTCGGCTCGCAGCATAGATGGTTCCGTGGGCCGGACTTCCTGTACCTCCCCGAAGAGCAGTGGCCGCGTGAAGATAGTACGAGCGACGATAGTCAAGCGGAAACGGGAGAAGAACGCGTACACAAGCTACAGAACGCGACGCAGTTGTCTATAGCATTACCCGATCCGTCACGTTTTTCTAATTGGTTGAAACTTGTTCGCAGTTCAGCACGGGTGTTGCAGTTCATCGACCTCCTGCGACCGACCAGTCAACGGTGCACCGCCATCCGAAAGAGAAACAAGAAGAAAGAGAGCGCCGACCCCACTTGGACCCGCACGAAGAAAGTCGATAGAGAGAAGACGAAGATGAAAATCAAGAACAGCAATAGTCCATCTGTGTGTTTCATCCCCATAGACACACACTACCTAGATCGCGCGCGACGGCTATGGATTCGCGCGATACAACAAGAGGCGTTCGGCGACGAAATCGCAGTATTGAAACAAGGGAAACAGCTGCCGTCATCCAGTCGACTCATACAGCTGTCAGTCGTCATAGACAACGACGACATTCTGCGACTTCGATCGAGAATAGCAGCCGCCGCCGATCTGTCAGCCGAGCAACGAGAACCCCCCATCGTCGACGGAAACCACGCCTGGCTGCGCCTATACATCGCATGGGTGCATCGGAAACTTCACCACGGCGGCTTCGAGATCACCACGAACGAGGTGCGACAACACTTGTGGGTGTTGCGCCTACGACACGCCGTCCGCAGTGAACTGAAGAGGTGTCAGCTGTGCCGCCTACGAAGAGCAAGACCGGCGCAGCCGTCAACGGGCAACCATCCACAGAGCAGGCTGGCGCATCATCAACGACCGTTCACGTTCACCGGCCTAGACTACTTCGGGCCTATGACCGTGACAGTGGGCCGCACTCACCAGAAACGATACGGAGTGCTCTTCACCTGCCTAACGACGCGCGCAGTCCACCTAGAAATCGCCGGCAGCCTCAGCACGGACTCCGCCATAATGGCCCTGCGGCGCTTCATAAGCCGCAGAGGGTGTCCCACGGAATTATGGTCCGACCAAGGCACCAACCTCAAAGGTGCTGACGTCGAACTGAAGAAAGCAGCCGAGGAAGCCATCCAAGAAGAGTCATCAGTTCATTTCATCCGGTGGCGCTACATTCCCCCGAGCGCACCCTTCATGGGAGGTGCGTGGGAACGGCTGGTGCGTAGCGTGAAGACCGCACTAGCCGCCACGTTGAACGAACGGGCGCCCAAGGAAGAGGTCCTCCACACTCTACTGGTCGAAGTCGAGCACACCCTCAACAGCCGACCGCTAACCCACGTGTCGACATCGGCAGACGACGACAGCGCCCTAACCCCCAATCACTTCATATTGGGCGGTCCATCGCGCGTCCCACTGCCAGGCAGCTTCACCGAGAGCGACGCGGCGGGACACAAGAAGTGGCGTGCCAGCCAGAGGCTAGCTGACTGCTTCTGGAACCGGTGGGTGAAGGAGTACCTACCCGAGTTGCAACACCGGCGGGAGCCCCGAGCTACACACGGAGCCATCAAAATGGACGACCTGGTCCTAATAGCTGATGGGACCTTGCCTCGCAACACGTGGCCGCGAGGCGTGGTGGTGGCGACCTACCCTGGACCAGACGGCGAGGTTCGAGCGGTCGACGTGCGGACGAACAAGGGCATTCTACGGCGACCCACTAAGAAGCTGATCATACTGCCCACATCGACATCGAGCGACGCGAACACGAGTTAACTCCAGCTACGAGAGCTGCGGCGGGAGATTATGTTCGCGACATTATTTGTATATATCGTAATTTATAGTTGTTAAGTCCTAGTTAATCGTTTTGTATTCTGTTATTTTATATAGATTTGCATAGATTTAAGATAGTGTAAGTTAAATAAAGTATTCCTTTGTGTGTTGTCATTATTACCTACGAATATAAATAAAAATTGTAACAATAAATAGAATTAAGAAATTGTAAATTGCAATAAATAGACGCTATAGAGTACCGATCTGAAGAGACACGCGTCTCGTTCATTTTCGCCCCGTCCCGCTCGCACAGATCGCTAACGCGAGTTGGAAATGTTATCGTGCGAGCGGGCGGGTATAAAGATAGGCCGCCTCTCGTCGAGCGGCATTCGCTTCCGAGCAGCGACGCACTACACTCTCGAGAAGAAATAGGACAAGAAGAAAAAATACTCTCTTCAGACGGTACCGGAGGCTTCAGAATAGTAATCCCTGTGTTTCACTCCAGCCTGAACCAACGCCCCTACAGTCCACGCTCACCGTGCGGCAGTCCACACCGCACAAGATTAATATTAAAGTGTTTCTTGTTAATGTACATATATCTGTATTCGCAACTGGTCATGATACATTTGGCCATTGTTGATACTGTTAAATAATGTTTTGTTGTAAATTTGTCATTGGGTTATTTGGTTGGTTATTTCTATTACAAGACAACAAGCCCTTTTCTCTTGATCTATATATAATATATGGATGATGGTTATGTCTGTAGGTGTTTATTCTGCCACGCGTCCGGTGGTTGGGCGAGCGCGTGGAGGGCGCACTGAGTGGCCTGGGCGGCGCTGACCGACAGGCGGCCGGCAACCTCAAACAACAACTGCTCAAAGTGTTGGCGCCCGTCGTCCGCCAGTTACGCCAGCCGCCCGACCTACCTGAAGAATACAAGTAAGCCCTACACTCCAATGAGGTGGTTTTATTTTTATTCTATAAGTATTTAACTGAGTTGTGTCTTTAGATGTTCGTTGTCTGGTTCCATATAACACAAGTGATCCTTCTTTGAGGACAAGGCGATTGGTACGATTGTGTGACACTTATTATTAAAAAAATCTTTTATCATATTGATCAGATTTATCTGATAAAGAACCAGTTTCAGAAAGAATATTAAAAGTTTATAATATATAATTATATTTAATATATATGATACATATATTTGAATAATATCATCGCATCTCGGGTATAGTATCTCTAACCTCTTGTGTTTGCACAGGCGCGACTACGGCTACCTGGGGCCAAGCCTGGTGCAGATGGTGGCGAAGCAGCGGTCGTCGCCGGCGGGCGGCGGCGGCGGAGGCGCCGTGGCGGTGGTCACGTGCACGCCGCCGCTCGTGCCCTCCGCGCCCTCGCCCTCGCCCTCACCCTCGCCCTTGCAATCACACTCGCACACTTTTTCCACCAAAACTGTTGGTTAGTTTTCTACTACCTTTTACGATCGACATATACATGTACATTTGAATGCACCTTGTTAAGTCTACTTCAAAGGAATCCCTCTTGAATCCCTCTTGGGTTCCTCTTGAATGTTTCACATTTTCTTTTCTTAAGTTAACTTTTTACCTGTTACTTCTTATGTGCTCGTGGATTTCAGAAGTACGAAAACCAATGAAATGGTCCTCTTTTATATAGCATATCAAGTTTAAACATATCACCAGATTTTAAGTTATTCCTTCAAGATCTCAATTGTGAAAGCCGAATTCTATTTGGTGCAGTAGTTTTTGCGTGATACCAGAACAAATATACAGACAACAGTCGAAATTGCTAAAAAATGTTGTTTTGGCTTCTATTGTTTTTATTAAGATCCCTCATATCAATTTCTTTTAAATATCTCTCATGTAAAGACATTGTTTAGTTAAAATTTTATTGTATTCGCAAGATTGTGAAATGAGCATCGGACCACCGCATCTACATCGACCAATGATAGTATTTGGCTTAACTGTATATTTTTGTTATATACCTTTTCATTTTTATATAATTACATTTTGTCTTGAATTAACCAATTACTTTTATATGCAGAGACTGTAGCGACCCGTAACGTGGTGATTAGCGCGTCACCCACACCGCAGTCGCCGGCTCCTGCTACGCCGCCGCCACAAAAATTTGTAATAGTCGCCTCGCAGCAAAAACCTCCACAGGTCAGCTAATAAATTATTTGTTTCCGTTTATCCTCGTAACTTTTTAATCAAATTTATCATTTAGAAAGTTTATCGTAAATTCAATAAAAAATTAGTATAAATAATCCAAGTATAATGTAATCGTTATTGCATGAATTATAATATATAGTGATAGATAAAGTATTGAAAGATTACCGTTTTCGAATTAGATAAAATTATGCGAGCATAATTTTATTTCATTTATATATAATTTTATTAATATATAATATTTTTATACCATACCATAATTTAGTTACTATTATAGATGATAATATTAAAAGTACTTTTCTAACAGGCTCAACCAGCGAGCGGAGCCAGCCACATCGTAGTGCATAGCTCGCAGCCAGCCATCGTCCGGAGTCAAAATGTTCAGGTATAACGCATGCACATGCGAATATTCTATGTGACGGTATTTTAGGGAATTTGAATGTAAGTGAATTGAAAAATAAAAATTGCATGAAAACACATTGTAGATAATACAAGTTGAGCATGAAATTATTTAAATAAGAATTCATTTATTTCTTATCAAAGTCAGCTGCATGTGTACCAATTTTACTTATTACTGTACTGCCGACAACAGGCAAGCAAGCTGTTTGTTGCTACATGGTATGATCTGGATTGAAGGGTGAAAGGTAGTGGAATTACTGGGATTTTTTGCTCTTACCTTCATGATTCTTATATTTGTATCTCAAGAATTTGCAGTATGTAGTAGCACAGTATAAGGGACAACCAATTGTCTGATGCTTCCGGTATAGTTAAAATGATTACATGACAATTCAGGATGCACTGCTCTCTGTAGACGGGTCTAGTGGACAACTGGTAGGTAGAAAAGAGTTCTTTAGATTGTGGTAGTAGACTGGTTATGGGCGTGTGTGCAACTATGCATGTGTTTGCCGGTACATAGTCTGTGGTGGTGACGAGCGGGCCGGCTGGCGCGGCGCCGCCGCAGAAGGTGGTGGTGGTGGGAATGCCGCCGCAGGCCGCCCCGCCTGCTTCCTCCGCCCCCGCCTCCGCCGCGCACCCCTCACACCCCCCGCTCGTCCAAACCGCATCTCACCCGCCCGCTGTCGCCTCTTCCGCCAGCCAGGTCAGTCAGGTTGGTATCTGATATCTGTGGTGGCAGATGTGAATGCTACCCATGTTGCACACAAGTGTACATCATTTATCCGAACCTTGGAGTATTCTTTCGTCTTCCCAACTACCATCCTTAAAACAGGTTCAAACTCGAGATAGGTCAGTGCCAACTTGCTGTTAATTCCGATCAATTTGCAGCTATTTGTGCATAGAAAAATTTAAATGTTAAATAATTTAAACTAGATTTTTTTTAATATAGATCATGTTTTCGCAATTCAATATTTCTTATGAACCTTATCAGACACTGAATGACACTGGACATGTAATGGTATCTAAACAAAAATAAATTGATAAGCTTGAAGTTCACATAGTACCAGTATTTAAAAATTTACATTTTTGTTCTATTTTAAACTGTATGTCACAAATGTTCAATTTATGTATTTAAAAAAATCATGTTAATTTATCTTCTTACGTAAGTAATTTTATTTCTCAACAATTTTATACTACGGGTTTGTTTTTAATTTTATCATTCATACATTATTTAAAACTGTAAATAACGCAAAAAGACTTAGTTTGAATGTGACATAACAGTTAGTTTTGATACAGGCTCCAGTGTCGGTGGTGGCAAAGCCGGTGTTCACCCGCGGCGGCGGCGGCGGCGCCCCGCAACCCCCGCCAGAGCTCGACGACTTGTCGCACCTCGCCTGACGGCCGCGCCCCCTAAACGTCACCATTATCAAGCAGTACACTAGGAAAAAGTCGCAATAATACCCACAGCTTTTCCTGCATGCATTTGCGTGTATTTAATGGAGATCCATGACTTGCATAAGATTTGTTTATAATATAAATATTTTTTTAAGACATACATTGTGTAACTGGCTAGATAACCTCTGAAAAAGCATATACATTTTTATATGTTATATGTATTAATACTGAATGGTGCTGCACTTGATATATTGTTGCATCAACTGATCCTATGGACTCATTGATATACTCCATTAAAATTACAAAACATTACTGTTCATTTTAATGATATTTATCGCATTAATATTATAAATTTTTGTACATAAATTCAAAATTAATTGTAATTTGTGTTAATGACAAGTAAATAAAATTACATCGTCAAACCACATTTCTTTGTACTTGGATACTGTTGTGTTCCAATATATTATTTTTTTTTATATTAAGATACTAAATACTTATATATCATTCCGAAAATAATATAAACACATCGCACCTTTAGAAATGAAGTGATTCAACTCAGAATGTTACTTTTTAAGTGTTATGATAGTATAGAATGAACCTGGGGGAATAATCTAATGTAGTAATTAAAAATTATCCCTTTTTAGTCTAGATAAAGAGATATAAACTGTTCTGTCTTTTCTAATCAATTAATTTTCCGTACCCCTCCCGGAACCTTCATCTTTAGTGAAGTGTCATTCTTGACAACTCTTTTTATAATTTTTAGAGGCGCTTTCCAATTGGGTTAGTTTAATTCCTATATTTACATATACTGTGACGTTTTGTATTGTTTGAGTAATTTTTAAAATATATATTTTTTTTTTTTTTGGTGTCTGATTTATCAATGAATTAATATTTTAGTAATCTACATACTTTTATCTAAGTTTTTAACTATTTACATACTTGTATCTTAATACCTTTTAATAACAAAAAACTGTATAATCTATTTTTTTTTATGATATTTATAAAACGAATCTGAATATTTTAAATATATAGCAAAGGTGTTGTCCTGAACTATCAATAGTAACAAAATTATTTGACTTCAAATAATTATATTAAGACTGAATAGAAAATATTATTAAATTCAAGAATCACAATATACATTTTATAATTTTTTAAAATTCAAGATTCTTAATTTTAATAGAGTTAGTTCAATTCTAAAGGTTCGACATATCAATCAAAGCGATATTCGATTTCGGTTATCTTTACTTACTAATATAATAAAATTGTAACCAGACAATGTCTACATGGGCGATATTTATGCAAAATTAATGTGAGGGGGTCTTAATGAAACCAATGCCAAAACAATACGTTTTAGTAATATGGTCTGTTTCCAGCAACATAAAAAACTACTGCACCAAATTAGATGCGATTTTCATCATTGTATTCCTAATGGTTTAACTTAAAAATACGTGTAGGTTTTATCCTGGCACGCCATATAGAATTGGTCTTTTTACTTATAAATACACGCGTACGAAGTGGCGGGCAAAAAGCTAATCTAAATATATATTTTAACTAGATTGATTAGTTTTTTTTGTCTACGATATAGTCGCGGATAATAATTAAATTGTGTTCCAAAAAAACCCGGCTTCAATTGTGGCAAGAATATAGACCAGAAGTTTATATTTAAAAACTAAATTGCTGAACCAATTTTGCTAAGAAATTTATGGGACCAATTTGTAAGCATATCCTTTAAGATAAAAAAGAATTATCCAAATCGGTTTACAACTGACGGAGTTATCATGAATTATGAGGTGACAAACATAAAAAAGAAATTAAAAAATACAACCGAATTGAGAACCTTCTTCTTTTTGAAGTCGGTTAAAAATAAATACAATTCGTTATTTAAATTTATGTAATAAGGTTCACTTATAATATGAATGGTAAATATATAAATACATATTAAATTGAAATCATATTTCGAACTTCTAATATTTTAGTAATTTAACCTCCTATATTTTGCAATATGACTGAATGAAGACTGTTGTATACAGAAAAATATTTATCGTTTATAAAGAACGGGAATTAACGTGGTCATTTAGCTAAACTATGATAATTTAACTGACTTATCTCGAAGTTTCAATTAGGTTACATTGTCCGTGCTCACTAGTAGAGGATGTAGCGCTGTCATGGCTCCATTTCCAAGGCAGAAGTTTTTTTTCTTCTATTCACTCATTTTCCACACATCATACAGATCGTGTCATATATCATAGTTCACCTAAATGATCGCGTTAATTCCCATTTCTTATAAACAATAAAACGTGCAGCGTAAAAGTCTAAATGTTAATACATTTTTCGTTGCATTAAGAATTAAGTATCTCTTGAAGATCAATATATTATGTTTAAACCAAAACCGTTTTTCATTTTAATGTCTGATTCCTTAGAAATATGAAAACAATTATATACTTATCATAATAAACATTTTATTAAACTGATTTTTGGTTTGCAATCTTACAGTCTTCTTTCCAGCTAGAAATTTGGAGGTAAATTTCTAATTATACCAGGATCCCTCTTAAAGATTTAACCCATACCTCAATGTTCGATATTTCGAATTAACTTTACAAATTTTTTAGTTGTTTTTCTTTTACAAATAATATTTACTACATAATAATTTTAATTTTTGACTTCTATAAAATATTTTTTTTTAATTATCCTTAAACTAGTAAATATAGGTATCAAAATTTTGTGTTATGGTAATTATTTTTGTATAGTACTATGGTCGCCAGCAAACATGTCAGATAATAAATTAATTAATTAATAAGTTACTGTATTCTATGGAAGTCTGCGTCACTGATATTCCTATCAGTGATGACATGTGGGCGTTGCTGAGACTTAAGAAACCTTATTATGCCTTTTTTTCAAAATTTGATTCCATAGTGTTGAAGCTCCTTTGAAACTACATATATTTAAGGGGCTGTTAGTAATGGGGTCTGATTGCGCCATTTGTAGCAATGTGTATCCTGTTAGGTTGAATTTCGCCCGGTTCACGTACGCTGGAAACCATCGTAGTTTTTTTTTGATGGGTGAAAATGGACCGGTAACTCCGCCTGCGCTAACGGGATACGCTGGCGGAGCACCAGTGAAGGGTGATCAATGAGAATGAAAACAGGCCAATTAGCCCATCATGATGAATTCATCTGGAATTAATAATGATAGTTTTCAGGGGGAACCGCAGGGAGGTCGACCTGGTTGGGTATATTGCTAGCAATGGGATTCTCAAACTTCATTACTAACAATCCCTTTCCCCCCAACCATCGTGGTTAATAATTGTTAAATTCGTCACGAAGGGCCGTTGACCTGCTTCATCTTCACCTATCATCTCTCACTGTTGCCTCGCCAGTGGATACCAATAGTGCAGACGAGATCACTACTTTATTTTCACCCATGATGATTTCCTTGTCGACGGCAAGCGGTGCGATGGTTAAAGATATCATATCGAAAATTCTTCAAAACAATCAGTTATATAATAGACGGTATAAGATGCAAAGGGAAGCAAAGCCTCACTAAGGGGCTCTATACCACCTGCAAGCACAGGAAGTCGACAATTCTCATAGTACGCCTCTGAACCAAGTTAAGAGCCCTAAGTTAGTATCCAAGAGCTCTTATACAAAACTTAAGAACAGTATTAAATATGAGGTTAAACTTGTGACTTAGATATAAATATCAATTCGTCTCGAGGTCTAATCCTATTCTGCTCTAGTCAGTCATTATCATCATATCAGCCATTATGCGTCCACTTTTAAACATAGACCTCCCTCTTGGGAGGCTTTGCCAGTAATTGCCACGCTTGGCAGGCGGGTTGGCAACCGCAGTCAGATTTTAGAGATATTTTCCCGAGACACCTGTCTCCACTGACTCCCTTCAATGCATTTGAAATCGTCATTTCATTACCTTAAAAACTGTATGTTTTATGTATCAGATACACCACTTGAGTGTGTAGTAATTATACAGATAGTGATGTTAACGAAAAAATGTCTGTGCGCTATTGATTATTCACATTCTATTATTTTTAACTTAATTTTAATTATGCAGCAAGGGAACAATTTAATAAATGCTTTTACGATATGAATATCTTCTCAATTGCAGTGGTCAGAGGCATTTATATACAGTAATGACATAAAAAATTTACTCCCTTTTGGAATGTTAGTCGCATCTTACGCAATGAATAACAAACGACGCCGATTCTAAGACGCCATTTCTCTAAACCTTCTAAATCTATTATTTTAACAAGATAATTTAGCAAAATTAATGTTTAAATAGACTATCATAAACTACATTTATAATAATTTTAATTTTAATCTATTGGAATATTAATTCACACTGATCTTTACAATAAAGATACGAAAAAGAAAAAATAAATTACATTTATATTCACGACATGGGTTTAAGATTTGTACAGGCAACACTCCACTTAAAAAGTATTTAAAATATAGTGGAAAAGCTTTATAATTATGTAAAATAATGTATTTAGTATAAAACTTTGTTTCATACTTTTTATTTAAGATTAGCATAAAAGATATCTACACTTATCTTTATGTACAAATCTCAGAATTGAAGACTTGTACGAAATCATTAATCTTCAAATCCGTGTCCCCGAATATTCATTGTTTAGTTTCTCATAACTAATAAATGTTGTTATATAATATTATAGTTGGACTAAATATCCTACATAGATATTTAAATAAAACTCATTAAGTGTTATAAAAATAAAAAAAAAAAATAGATGGACGTACAATAGATTCGGCAAAAGTTTTCAAAAAAGATTAGTTTTTTGAAACAACCTTCTATAAAAAGAAGTGCTCTTATCATTTTTCACTAGGTGAGTTGTCAATTTGTTTGCAATTGCTATACTCAGTGGTATAATAAAGAAAATCAACCCAAACTAGAATGATTATTTGCACGTAAACTGAAATTATTTTTAAAAATAAAAATTCTAACCTACCTACTTAGACAAATAGTTTATGGTTAAAGCTTGTTTTTGGACGCAGACTCAACTCACAAACCGTTAATCGGGAGAAAAAAAATATTAGCAATGAGCACAACAGCCCCATTGCTAGCAAATGTTTTGTCAAGTCGACCTTTACTCGGCATTTTTTTTAATAGGTGAAAATGATATGATAACTCCGCCCGCGTTAACGGAATACACTAGCGGGGCACCAGTAAGGGATGACAGGTGAGAATGAAAAATACAGGCCAGTTAGCACATCATGATGAATATACCTGGGATTTAGCACAATAGTTCCCAGGAGGGATCACATAGAGGTCGACCAGACAGAGTATATTGCTAGCAATGGAATGTGTAGTCCGCATTAATAACAATCCCTTCCTTTCCTCTACTCAGTATTTATCGTAGTTAATTCCTGATGAGTTCTGGTACCCCATCAACGGGGGGGGGGGGGGATTGTCAGTAAAGCGGACTACCAGTCTCATTTCTAACAATATACCCTGACAGGTTGACCTCCACGTGGTTCCCCCTAAAAACCATCGTGTTGAATTCTTGGTGCATTCATTACGATGGGCAACTGGCTTGCCTTTTCATTCTCACCTATCACCCCTCACTGGTGCCCCGCCAGCGTATACCGTTAGCGTGGGCGGGATTACCATTTCATTATCATCCATTAAAATAACGGGTAACCCACCAACGAAAACTAATAGCTCAAGTAATTCAATTTTTATGTAATAAAATAAACCATTGTCAAAATATTATAAAATTATTGTAATATTTTAAAGCTCAGTTGTAAATAATATATTGACTCAAATAGACACCGTCGACTCTCTTTACGGATATATCGTATTATGATTTGAAGAGTTCAATTACAACTACTGTAGCATGTGAACGGGTAAAGAAGCACCAAATCCGCGTATAATAGATACAATACTTCACAATGAATGAATGCCCACTCGACTGAATTGATAAGTGGGTTGTACCGCTTGCGTGGGGAGCGCGTGTCCGCCCGCCCGCCCGGTCCGTTCGCTACGCCTTTCTGAAGGGGAAAGTATAGAGCGGGAGTTGGAGCTGTGACACTTTTTGCCTTTCACAATTAAACCTCTCTGAGACAGTGATAGTTTTTTTTTTTTTATTTAAATTTAATGATAAACGTTTGTGGTATAATAAAAAAATTATATATTTTTAGTAGGCAATTACAAAAAAATTGATACTTACAGTGCTTTAGAATAGCAATTACCGTTATGTATTTTATTTTACTGTTTATACATAATTTAAACATTAGGCTATTAAAGTTTTAGTTTTAACTGTTTTAGTATAAATATATTATTTATACTAAAACAGTTTTAAATAAAAATATTATTAAAATATGAATATTATATTGTAATAAATTTATTAATGATTGAAAATTTTCAACGCAGATGGAATAAATATTCATGAAACTTAATTAAACTTGGGTAGGTAATAATTTGCGCTTATTTTATATTTATTCATTTAATTAAAAATTAATTGAAGCATTGCATGACAAGACACGACTCAAATTCGAGATCTCGATATATTAAGAAATAGAATATATGAATTGTACAAAGTTGGTTCTGTTATTCCTTTGTCGTTTTCGTCGATGAAAAATTAAAAGCGTTTACAAAATCGTGTGGTATCATATTAGAATAATTATAATACATATATAAGATTACGTTCCACAAAAAAAAACCTACTATTAAACAAAATATTCTGCTTAGCATATACACAATTCTATTTTATCTTACGAAAGCAAAAATGAATAATGGTAAATTCTCATGTGCATTAAAAACATAAATATTTCGAGTTTCCTAACTTTCAAGTCTCGCTTGATCTTTGATGGGTCAGTCCCGATGGCGGCGGCGGCGGCGCGTTCTGTCTGCCTGACCACTGGCCACGAGTGGATGGATCCCAAACGGTGATCGCTTGGGCGACATTCTGTTACAGACGCAGCTAGAGCGCGCTCAATCTTTCTACGCTCGCTACTGAAATATTTCGAACTTCACTTTTTCGCGCCAAATATCTCGCGCAAGTTTCTCCGCGTTAATTTCTGTTATTTATTTTTTTCATTACAGTGAACTTTTTAAAGACAAATGAACAAAAGTATTTTGTGATGCGCGGTTATATTGTGTTTTTATCAGTTTGTTTTTTTATATTTTTACCACAATCGACAGAGGCGATTCGATGGCTGTAAGTATATTTTATTTTATTGCTAGTTTTATTCTATGGCAAAAGTTGCAAAATTTAATTAAAATTAAAACAATTGTTTCTAGGAAAATATATACATACATATATATTTTTGTCTTATATATTATAATCAAATTAAATTTATAAATTTCTTCAAACAATATTGTTATTTAAGATTTTTCTAATAAATTAATATGTGTATGTTTATTGTATACAGTAAAATAAAATAAATATTAAGGTACGGTAAGTATTATTATTAATTAACTCGGTATCTACTAAGAGTAATAAAAAAAAAACGCTTAAAAATTAAGGAGCTTCCTTTAAATAATAATTGATATGGGCCTATATTAGTTGAATCTCAAAAAAGTAGCCAACGGATTTGTTGATTTTACCCCTAGCCGATCCTTGATTTTGCACCTATATCAACTTTAGAAATTTCCTTTTAATTTAAAACTTCTGTTTTATTAACAATACACAGTGACGCCCATAGGGACATTTTGGATTTGATGTTAATGATCAATAAGTACAAAGTAAAAAAAAAATATTTCAGTAGGCTTATACAAAAACTATTTTAACTCATATATATATATATATATATATGTTTAACAATAAAATTATTATTAAGTCTGAATTGTCCAATATAATAATGAGATATACATAAGTAGTCGATTACTGGTTATTTAATATTTAATTTATATTAGAATATACATTATTTGTACAACTTAATATCTAAAGAAAGCAAAAAAATTATTTGCAGATCAATTTTTTGAGGCACCTACGCTGACATAAAAACGAGCGATGCTTTGATCTAAATTTTTTTATTATAGATCTAGACATGGACGTAACGAATGATCGTCGAAAGATAAGTACTTATACATTTGTATGTACTTATATAGTGTATTGTGCATACAATTTGACAAGCTCAATTTTAAATCTCATTGGAAGACAATTTTAAATCTCATTTTTAACGATATCTCTTATGCGAGCTTTCTACATAGAAGACCATAGTATTCCTCGGTATGTAAGCAGTGACAAAATATTCATATGAGTAATTTCAGTACGTTTATAATTTTCTTAGTGATACTTTCATTCGATTTACAATGGTGATAAAAAAAGGTATCTACGTATATAGAATAGCACACTGCTAGAGGTACCATTTCATAACCATGACGCAAAAAATTACGCCATTTCTACGTTATTGATATTATCCCGTGAGTGCAAAAGTTTTAAATGAATTAATAAAAACTCTTTATATACTACTACTTCCTTAAAGAATGGTACAGATATTCAATATTAACAATATATATGTACATATAAAGAAGTAAATAATTAATTACATATACTTCATAACTTAATTTCTCTTCTTTTTTACGTATAAGTACCAGTTAGTAGATTGCCCTTCTGTCGTCAGTAAGTATTTTATAAAAAAATATGATTTGATTCTAAAAAATAAATATTGTGCAAACAACGATTTTGACTAGACCCTTTATCTATACTAAACTACGAGCATCATAAAGAGGAAAGATTTGATTGTTTGTTTGTAATAGATAGACTCAAAACTGCTTAACTAATTTTAAAAATTATTTTACATAGGCTATATATTATTATCAAAAATTGTATATACCCGTGCGCAGCCGGCGTGGATTACAAAGTCACGGGTTAGCTATGAATAGTAGGTACAGCAGTTTTCGTATATACGAGTATGCTTATAATAAACAAAATCTACGCGAGCATCGCAGGCACCTAGTCCTTAATACTCTGTCTCTCTCAGATTTTCAATACGGGATGTCAAGCATAACACCACAGCTCGCCCCTGGCTGCGTCCATCAGCGTTTCCTAATTGAACATTGCACTAATGAGCGGCGTTGTTCGGTTGCAACCCGCAATTATTCGCTCCGAGATTACACCCGGAAATATACTGGGAATTGGGCTACTCACTCGGCGCCAGTAGCGACAACGGTAATTTCATTATTAGAAACGGATCATAAACTGATTATTGTTATTACGCACCTATTTAATTCATTGGCATATTTAGGATTATTATCCAGGGGGATACTAATGGAGGCTTTTTTATTTAAATATTATATCATTTAATAAAATAAATAATATTTAAATAAGCTGCCTGAGAACCAATGGGGGATAATAGGTGATAGGAATAAAAGCAGGTCAATTGGTCCATCATAACTATTTCGAGAATCAACTACGATATATTCCAGGGGAGTTTCTCCACCGCGTGGAGATCAACCTGACTGAATTACTAACAACAGGATTGTTAGCCCCCATTACTAGCAATTCTTTCCTCCCTTAGGGGAGCAGGCCCCTTAAAAAGGCACATATGCAATCTCGAACATGTCTTAGCCTATAGCTAAAAGCTATACTTCTAATTCTAAGATGTCCCACTCGTCCCTCCCATCCTGTACGCTTATGATTTTATTAGATATGCTTTACTAATATTGGGTTGTAAAGTTAATTTTTTTCCTGTAGTGACAGATTGAAAATACAAGTATACTCTTTTTAACTTCAGTATGTAATAAGAGATTAAGGAATCTAAAAATGATACACCAATACAAGATAAAAAGACTTTAAATTAAATCCCATGGCAGGCCTCTTGGTCAACGCGGTAATAGCATTATCATCCTCTTATGGTAAAGACTTGTGCCACATGATTATGGCAATATTAAACTAAAATTAATTTAAAGCCTTATAATAAAGACACGGTGTGTAGATAGATACATAATATAAAATGTAACTATCCGCATACCGCGGTTTTGTCCGCGTGTGCTAATTTTTTTTTAATCTACGTTTAATTTCGGATTTTTGTTTTATAACATGTCAATCTCACAAAATCTAAACAGGTTATCTACTGTTATAATTATAACTAAACAATACTACTTACTAATCCACTTAAGCACAAAGCGTGTTCTATATCAAATGTACAAACTTTCAATAATTATTACTTACCGAATTAAATACATACATAAGTATAAAGCTTAATACGATACTGTTTATTAATTTAGTATCCTTATACTGTCAAATATAAAATATAGTAGATTATTATTATATTTATAAACAGCAGGTGACCCGCTTGCCAACATACTCGTGAGAAACGCTCACCTGTTTCAGTCTTTCCATATTACAGCTACTTCCTGTAGGTGTACGTACTGTATCTTTCTAGTTAGTACACATTCCAGGGTACGATAGGACTGATATACCTGAAGAAGGTAAAAGCCCTTTAAATAAAAATAATAAAAAAGAAAAAAGACGGATTCACTTCGAAATTATTATACACTTCTTAATACTAATAAAAACATACAATATTTAGCTAATAAATTAACTGACTATTGCATATTTTCTATTGTCTGTAGTTATTTGCAGTAGAATTAAAACACGTTTGTTGCTTGTCAGTAATTCAAAATATTGTCTACCTACTAATAAGTAAATACTATATCTATCATAAATACATCTCTATTCGTACTTCTTTCCATTAATCAAATTTTCTAATACATTTTTACGATAGGCAGTTATGAGAATTTATTTTATAGATACCCATTACATTGACTAGAGCGATATTCGAAAGGTCTATATAATATATATCATTTTAGGTACTCCCTTTACAGGTAAAATATTATTATTCTACCTGCGTGTTCCAATAACTGATTGTATTCCTAAGCCTCCCGGGTATGGAGCTAAGAGCAAAATGTCCTCGTATAGTGATTCCCGTGAGGAGCTCTTTCAGTTTTCGCTGAGTTAGCAAGGGCCGTGTGTGGCAGACCGAAAAAATAATTTGCCTCGCTCGAGTTCCCACTGTGACTTTTCCAGGCGGCCGTCCCGTGCATCTGGCGGGACCTATTATTAGGGGACGGCTCTTAATGCTTTCTTAGGTATTTTTATATGGTTGGCGTCTTAGTTTTTACGATTGTGATTTTTATTGAATTCCCCCTTCCGCACTAGGTGGGTGCTCGTGATATGCCTGCGGACGAAGGTGAAATACGAGCCACTTTGCCAGATTTATTTTATAGCACTATGTGGAGCACACACTTCTTTAGGTTTTATACATTTCTGCAAATGGATATAATATCTGTTACGTGTTCAATTCTTCTTGGACCAAAAAATAAATATCTTTCGATTTTCTTTATGAAATTAAACGTACCTAGGTTTCTAGATGATCTTAACATAACTTTTTAAGTCGGTTCTACCTACTATTAACTAATAATAATAAGTTCCATAGCAACATGAAAATTAATAAAAAGCTCGTGTTTCGTCTTGTTTATATTTTTTAAATTCTACGGACATTTTATAATTATCTTTCGCATCTACTCGAAAGAAAAATAATTTTAAAATCGGAAACTTCTGTGAAAGCTTACAAGCTCGGCTTAGTTTAACGAACGTGAAGGGTTTCTCTGGTGAAACTTTGCGGTGTATACTTTACACCGACTGCTAGGTAAGTGGATAAGATTACCTACACGTGTAATTGGTACCTACACTAAGTTGCTCAAAGCTTGAAGGCAAGACTTATGCAAATTCACTTAATTATTGTGTAGGTATTTGGATTTCCTGTTTACTTGGCACTCGATTGGTTACTAAGTTAAGAAACAGTTCAGATATGGATCCCAGTTTGTATTTATTTATTATCTTTGTTAACTTAGAAAATGCTGACCTTATATTTGTATGGGTTATGGTTTGGACCTATTTTTACCATCTAATATTTAAACTTCTCAGGGCATAATTTTCCAAATGCTAATAATATCACAATATATCCTTAAGGAAATATATACATGATATGAAATCTAATACTCTAAGTGTTACGTATATATAACGTTTAGAAATATCATCTATATCTATGAATTCCGAACCGTTGCCAGCTAAATTAAAACAAAAACTACAAACAAATGCAATGATATATATATATATATATATATATATATATATATATATATATATATATATATATATTTGGCGAATTGTTTATAAAAAAATAATTTTTATTTTTAATTAGGATATAA